TGCTGAATACGATTCTGCGCAGAATGATGGATTGATTGGTTACCTTTTGTGGATTGAGGGGAGTTACCAAAGCGATCGGCGTCGGCTGCATTATCTGAGATCTGAGATGTCACACTTGGCCCACGTTTCCTGTGTAGCGGGAGACAGTCCAAAGCGGTCTGTGATGTGATTTATCGTAGCCTTTAATTACTACAATTACCGGGAAGACTTACTCGGCAATATGTAGAAGATTTGGTCGACTGACCCGCCCAACCATGGTTCACAATCCCGCCCTCCGTACAAAACCCATGAGCAAAATCACCACCGTTTCACTTCAACATCCTATCCGCAACATCCAAACCCCAATTCACCATGCACCCACCCGCCGCCTCTCCCGATGAGGCCAACGTGTCTTATTTCTTCTCAGCAATGCACGCCCTCGCAGTCACCGTCTCACGATTTGAAATCGACACCCTGCACATCCCGCCTTCCCTAAGCTTCTTTACCGTGAATGCCCGAGACGAAAAAGCGTTCATGGAAGGTGTCATGTTCTTTGCTGCTTTGATGAACTCTTTCGTCACTATACCCCTGCTTGACTGGCTGGGGGATAGGTACTACCCTAAGCCGCGGCCACGATATTGGATTCGGTCTTTCGGATGGTATTCGCTGTTCTTCGTCACATTCTACGTGATTAATGTTACTGTAAGAGTATTTCCAAGCAGCGCAAGATGAATTGTGCTAACAGAATGGTAGGGTCGCTTTGGGAATGGATGCGAGGGACTTCGTGCAGCGGGTCATGTCTGTTGACGAGTTGGTGTGCTCATGAGCTGTCAGTCCCTGGTGCTTGCTTCTTCCAATGTATGCTTTTCTACTAGGCATCATGAAACTATCATAGTAGACTGAATGGGAATATCTATCGCTTAGACGAGTTGTACCTACAAACTTTGATTCAATAACATAGTTATTCCGCATGCTGGTTGCTAAGATGAGGTAGGACTGTAATACACGCGGTGAGCTAGAAGTTATTCACGGTGTACCTCATCTTCGAGTGAAACGCCGTCGAAATGATGCTCTTGCTTATAGGATTGGGGAAAACGTTGGAACTTCTCCGTTGAAGCCTCTTTTTGTTTGTAGAATACTCCAGTTGTCTAAAAAGTATGGGCGGTCGCTATCACTGAGACTGACCAAAGCACCCTCGACACAGTTCTCTCAACGAAAACCTGGCCTAATTCGGGTTGAACTAGAAGCAACGGTATTAATAATTGGCGAGTTGGAATAGCCTGCATGCTCAGTATGAGATCAGTCCGAGCTAGAATAGACTCAGTAGTATTAGTGGTGTGCTCATGAGTATCACGTTTTGTTCTGAAGGTATACAATCAATCAAAAAGTCGGTGCATGTTGAGTCGAAGACTTTTTGACGTATTGCATCTGCTGGTTTGAAGTCTTGTTTTTTGTTTTGTGTTGATGTAGTCTCCTAGTGAGACCAATCGAGGAAGCCGACCGCGCCGATCATCAGTGGCGTCGTCCGGGGCGTGCCTGTCGACGAACTCAAAGACCTCTTATTCCAAATAAACACTTCCAATTGCACCACAACACACCACAACGCCCCTGAAGGACGCGCATCTTTGCTCTCGAATCCATCGCCCTGAAAAATAAGCTTGGAATCACGCCGTAATCGTTATCCATCGTCAAGGAGTCGCCATGGACGTCAAGGAGCCGCTACTCCCGTCGGAACCTCCACCGTCGTATGAAGATGCACGAAAGTCACCACTAGCACACAACAGATCAGCATCACAAGCCAGGAGACCACCACCAGGTCCTCCTCCTCCGCTGAACTTGCCCGCATTGAATGAGTTGAGAGGATCCAGAGTTGTGCTTGCGAGCGCATCACCAAGGCGGAGACAACTTCTAGCACAGGTACTACTACCCCTGGTGCTTCAGAGAAGGCGCAGCTAATTCCAGATAGGTCGGGTTGACAAAGATCGATGTAGTCCCCTCCAAGTTCGCAGAGAACTTAGACCACTCTCTCGGCGCCCTGAACTACGTGCTCCAAACCGCATCCGCCAAAGCGCACGATGTCTACAGAACGGAGATCAACAATGCAGAGAGGGGTGAACCGGGAATCTTGATCGCTGCAGATACAATAATAGTATCACACGATGGACGGATACTGGAGAAGCCACGGAGCGAGGCGGACCATCTGTCCATGTTGAAGATGCTGAGAGATCAGGGCGAGCACAAGGTCATGACGGCTGTTGCGGTGATGCGACCGTTGGAATCGGCTGTCGAGCCTGGCTATGCGATGGAAACCCATGTTGAGGAGACGACGGTCCGATTTGATCCTACTGGTAAACATTCCTCCCGCAATGGCCTTGAATGAGGACTAACATAACCTAGTTACCGACGAACTTATCCTCGCATACGTCAAAACACGCGACGGCAATGACAAAGCAGGCGGCTACGGCATTCAGTCTGGCGGGTCCATACTCATCGAGCGTATAGAAGGATCGTATGATAATGTTGTTGGGCTACCGCTACGGGCTACTTTGAAGCTCATTGAGAAGGTCATGGTGCCCGAGGAAGAACAAGGGGACGACTTCTTTGTGGATAGCACAGAGGGCGATGAATAATTGTTCGGTACTGAGCTTCCCAAGCTCACTAAGCAGGTAGAAGATTTTTTTCATGGTATATGAAGCGTTCAGCTGGCGTATTAGACAGGCTTAGTAGGATTAACAATATACAAACACATCAACAGCATTACATGGGGAGTTGAACAATCGGCCGAGGGTGCTTGCGGTGCGTCCGTAGTGTTTAGGGCCGAATGGTAAGCAGGCGCCGAAGCCTGAAACAGATTGGAAATGCCATGTCGACTAGAATAACTAATCTCACCATCACATCAAGCTTTCCATTCAGCACTCTACCTACCATAGCTGGTTACCGCTGAGAAATGTAAACTCCCCTCCATTACCAATCAACCCCACTTACCTCGGCATAGTTTCAGCTTGGCGGCCGCCTTGCCCGATACGGCCCACTCCCGGCGCAAACCTCGTCATGGCTTCGTGTTGTTCAACGTTGTCGCGAAGGTTCTGCATTTGCTACAAGATTTGTGCTCCGTGTTGAGATATCCGACCGAAGCATGGCTTCCACTCCCTTCCAGAACCGGACGGATTGCACACTTTGCCCGTCATTGCCCGACATGCAGTGTTACGACTAGCCTTTGCCTGACGCCTCCTTCGCCCCTTCTGGATGATGCAATCAGGGTCTTTCTCTCGGCGGTGAAATCACAATTTTAACTAGTTGCTACATGCTGGAGTATATCTAGGTGCTCGTTGCTGCCTTTTTTCAACCTTCATCAACCCAATTCCACTACCCTTTCAACATTGTCTTTTGATACCCAATTGCTTCATTTTTATACCCAAACACACCAAGCACATAATTCACAATGGTTCAGAACAAGGGCCTCATCTTCAAGCAGATTCCCGAGGGATGGCCAAAGCCGGGACAGGACCTCACCATTGAGGACCGACCTATCGACCTCGACCAGAGCCTACCAGAGGGCAGTCTGCTAGTAAAGAACTTTTATGCGTCCTTCGACCCTTACCAGCGTGGACGCATGCGTGCCCCAGAATCAAAGTCGTACTCTCCTCCCTTTGAGCTGGGCAAGCCCATCACCAACCGATCCATCTTCAAGGTTGTAAAGTCCAACAGCGACAAGTTTAAGGAAGGCGAGACGCTCATCACAACCGGCGTCACTCCGATCGAGGAGTACTCTATCCTCAACAAGGACCTTGTAGCCGGATGCCGGAAACTTGAGAACCCCTACAACCTCGACCCCAAGTACTTTCTCGGCCCCCTAGGCATGCCCGGCCTCACCGCCTGGTCCTCATTCTACGAGATCGGCCAACCCAAGAAGGGCGAGACAATCTTCATCTCGGCCGCCTCGGGAGCCGTCGGCCAGCTCGTCGGCCAACTCGCAAAGCACGAGGGCCTCACCGTCATCGGCAGCGTCGGCGACGACAAGAAGCTCGACTTCATCAAGAGCGAACTCAACTTCGACGCGGGTTTCAACTACAAGACGGAAAAACCCGCAGATGCCCTCGCCCGCCTCGCCCCCAACGGCATCGACATCTACTACGAAAATGTGGGCGGCGAACAACTCGAAGCCGCCATCAACGCCATGAACAACTTCGGCCGCATCATCGCTTGCGGTATGATCTCGCAGTACAACACTAAGCCCGCAGAACAATACCCCATTCGCAACCTCATGAACGTGGTTGCCAAGCGCCTCACTATTCGCGGCTTCATTGTCGCAGACGAGAACATGGGTCCCAAGCACGCAAAGGAGCACCAGGAGAAGCTGCAGAAGTGGTTGGCGGACGGTACTTTCAAGGCCAAGATTAGCGTGACGGAGGGTATTGATAATGCGATTGATGGCTTTTTGGGTATGCTGGAGGGGAAGAACTTTGGTAAGGCTGTGTTGCAGATTGCGGATTTGAGTAAGGAGTAGGTGGATGGGTTGGCAAGCTTTTTTGCTATATTGTTTAGCGATTGCTTTGACTTGAATGAATGAATGAAATAATAAGATTCGGTCTTGCTTTTGATGTTTTTGGTGTCATTTCATGGGCCATTCCAGAGTTTTTTATTTGGTACCGGATATCTCCATGCAAGATCATCATACAAGACGATATACAAATAATGATCTGACAGCACGTCATCTTTACTTCTGCCGGCTACAGACGAACCATTTCTTTCTGCAACCTCTTGTGGTGGCACAGCCTCCACCAACATTCAAAAGTCTGTCATGACGTCATGGACACGTGATCGTAGGTATCCCGGTGCTGTCGCACTTTGCGGGTGCGCCTTCTTCACCACCTCACCATTATGTAAGCCGATTATGTAAGCCGATTATTTCCTCAGCTCACTTATCTCAGCTCGACAAGCCTTTTTATCAATCCAACAAGGATACGCATTATCAAGCGGGAAAGTAATGATAGGTTGCGAACACACCCGATCACACAGGTGCCTTTTGGTGGCTTCGATATGTATGCGGTTCAGCCTTCGGGTGTGTTCGCTTGAGAAGGCTGAGAAGTCGTGCGCAACACATAGCTGAACCACTGCCGGTACAAATGGTTCGAATATCTTCTGCTTACAAGAGTTCTGACGGCCTTACTCGTGCAACATCTTTGAGCGTTTACCGACGCCTCCTGTGACCTCCCTTTTGCTGAGTTCTTGTCTTTTTTCAGACTGGCTGATCTACTTTTGCCGGGGGCCAAAACGCTGTCGCTTCATCTTTTCGTCCATCTATTCGAGTTTGAAAAGCACAGAGAAGCTCATCAAAGTGCCTATTCAGAAACAACATAACACCAAAAACAATATGGGTAGCTGTGGAAGTTCTCTCAACTGTGAAAAGTGCTACTCCAGCGAACCGATGGAGGGTTGCGATACCGAAATTGACATCAATCCAGACATCGCTGGCATCGGCGTAAGTAAATTATATAGAAACTTACAGTCTCTCTACTAAGTTGATACACAGGTCCTTGTCTCCTTTCTTTTCTCAGCTATCGGATTCTTCGCTGTCGTCATCTGGGCTTACTTCCAGGAAAGCCTGCCCCTTGACATTTTGACACCTACTGACCACTACGTACTACGACTCCTTAAAAGGCGTCTTGGACCTTTCGACGAATCCGACCTTTTGTTCGAGTCAACCGCGAAGCAGAAGAGAAGAACAAGGATCGTCACCGGCCTTGCCGTCGTCTTGGGTGATCAACAGCTTATGACTGGTATTGCAGTCTTGATTGCGGGACTTGCCAGTCGCTGTCATATATCCATCTATGAGTTTAACATTGTCGTTTCCCTTGCTTATTTAGCTGTCATTACGCATGCAGTCTCACTCAAAGTACTGCGAAGGTATCTCTTTGACCACAAACTTGTGAGAAATTGCCGAGTCGTCCTCACTATTGGTTTCCTGGTCCTCTTCGGCTTTGCTTTCGTTGTAAATACTAGTACAAAAGAAAACAGTTCAGTCGAACTTCAAAAGAGACTCAATGTTGGAAATAACCTACAATGCATCTTCGAAGCGCCGCATATAGGCAAGACGGTCAAATTCGGATGGTTTAAATCATTCACGCTCCTTTGGGCCCTGTTCTGGCACCAATCTGAAGCTGTTATACATCTATACCTCATTTCCGCGAAAGACAACCTGTTCAAGGCTGGATCCACCTGGTTTATCCATTACTTCTACCCAAAAGGCTTCTCAGAAAACGAGGTTTATGAACAAGCTACCGCTTTAGAAGAAGATCGGTACGATGGGCGTGAATCATGGAAGCTACGGGTCAAAGTGTGGCTTACCTTGGAGTTTCTGTCTCTGAGGGATTATTATGATGCATTCTTACATCAAATACCCAGAATGTTGATGGCGATCGCTTACGGGATTAGCCGTATCATCAAGGCTGTATGGTTTGGTGGACTAAAGCCAACAAAAAGTTTTCAGATCCTTGGATTTGGACAGATTGTCACCGTAGGACTGCTGGGTTTGACATTGTTGGCGGCTGTCGAGATGTCGGATGGTAAGCAAACATGATGTTTACGTGTCACAGCACACACGCTAATGCCATTACCTTGTAGAGCAACTCTCGCGACACGACCATGAGCCCAGGAACAACACAGCATCCATCCGCGAGATTAATGGTCAGGATAATAACAATGAAGAGACCAGTAGCGACGACACGCATACATCTGACGGACCCCAACCGGAACAAATAGTAATCGAGGACAACTCGTCCTCTACTCATACTCAACCAGCCCACGAAATATCACACCCTGGAATCGAACAAGTAGTCAATCCATTAGAGTCCAATTTGGAGTCAGATGCACCAAAATTCATCACCACGCCCATTGACCATGTCAAACCACGCATAGCAAAACGAATAGCCAAACACACATCCATATACTGCCTAACTGAGAGCTGTCTGCTCGTCTTCATAGGTATTGGCGTGAACATCCCGGAGATGAGAAGAACGGCCGGAAAAACGTTCCTCGTCTACATTATCTATAGCAACTTTTATTACGTAATGTACAAAAACGTCAATATCGTATCTCTCTTCATGAATTTTATAAAGACAAGGAGCGAGCGGCTGCGAAAAGACTCATTGGTATCTCCGCTGGTGGACAGTGGAACTGTTTCGCCATCTTCCGGACAACCAGCTTCTTCTGCCATATCACTGGCATCGATTCAGCAACCTCCTCAGCAACCTGGGAGGCTCGGCAGACATTTTCCATCTAGTACAGTACAGGAACAGGCTCAGTTCAGTCCACCTGCTAGAGTGGATACAGAAGCAGATATTGGACTCGCTCGGGTGACGAGGAGAGAAACGTTTACCTCCACCAGCTCGTGAGGAGAGATTGTGTCAGGGTTAGTCATGGACAATGCTTCGCTTTGAAGCCAGCAGTCTAGTGGGCGTGCTTGTAGGGCTTTTTATTATCCTTTAATTGTATACCTACTTCATCTTCGGGTGATGCGTCGTAGCGTGGGTCGTCAGGGGGATTTCATTTTTTTCGTCCTTTGTCGGACGAAACTCGTACTACGGAGCTGCCTAGGTACCTAGGTACTTTGAGATATCATACTCTTTCCAGATACCAGCGGTATTGAATTCACCTATACTACGCTCGTGCCGAGATGAATCTGATCGTTAAGCTCACCACGCCACTTGTTCGGACGTTCTCCCAACTACCTAGGTATGTTCGTCGGAGAGAACCTCGGGGACCGGAGTAGATACTATAACGGTGTCAAAGCCGACAGCGAATAAGTTGAGGGGAATAATAACTATCGTAAACGTATGTGCCTACGCAATCCCAAATTTCAACGTCTTACCAAGGACCATTTATCGTCAAGCTGGGGTAGAAAGCGGGAGGTGGGCCTCGTGGTGCGCCTTGTGGCTGCGTGCGCAAACTCAGCCACACGTCCCACTTTTTATTGGCGCTAGCCTTGTTAGTCGCCGCTGCGCCCTTGCGAAGTGGAAGGGCGGTATAGTAATTTAGCGCTCTCGCGGGTGCGGGACCTTCATTCTCATCCCATCCGCTTCGAGAGGGAATTCCAACTACTATCTTCAAGCACACGACTGTGGCGAAAGTGTAAGACTAGAAACATTTGTTTCACAAAAAGTATTATGCTAGTCTAACAATTAACAGTTGGAAGCCACCTTTATAGACCGCCGTCGCTCCTAGAGAAGCCCGAAACACCGCCTTGGCGGCGTGGTAAAGTTATAGCGATTCCCCACTATTGGCCTGACCGGTGGCCTGAACCTTGGATCTCCATCAGCCCTTCAGCGCCAAAGGGCTGCATGGATGACTCTGACCTGCGAACGCAATCATCTCGTGGGCGCAGCGCCCTTTGATCTAAAATACCAGACAGGGCCTCAGGCTCGGGAAGACTCATACTCCATCATACTCGCTCACTTTTGGTGCTCGTGATTGCTAAGCCCACGACACAAAGTATTGTTGCGTGTTGACCATAACGCCGCCCTTGACGGAAACTACTACATTCTATACGACAGAGTAACTACCTGGTCATGGATCATCAGGGCGCAGGTTTCGCCTTTGACCCTAACATGGATTTTCCGGCGTTCAAGTCAGTGGATGACACTGCTGGCTTCTTTTACGGCGACGAAGCGATCGACACATCCGCGATCGCGACCGCTGCGTCTTCTTTCGCTCCCGCCATGTTCGATACTCAGAGCTCATTTGATATGCAACATAGTCTGGTGAGGTAGTCCTGGGTTATATACTGCACGTATACTAACTAGGCAACAGTCCTTGGATGATACCTCGGTGACCCCAGCATGGAACACACAGCTCACACCACACATGCAGCCTGCGACAAATTCCTTCCTCTCTACACCCATGCAATCTTTCAACAGCATGCCTGGCGAGTTCAATGCGCTCGGCAAGCGACCACTCCAACTTGAGGAGACACACGAGTACCCTCAGGCCAAGCGACATGCAGGCTTCGACTTTCCCCTATTCCCTACACCGTCGACAGCAATCGACTCCTGGTCAATGGAACCGACTCCACCATCTACATCATCAGAGGGCTTGACAGACGAGGCGGCAGATGTTTGCTCAATTTGGTTCAACAAGTACAATGTCCTTCCGAGGCAAGTCAAAGTCAAAGTATCAAGAGGTTGCAACTAATGAATATAGCGACAAGCATATTGACTCTCTTAGCCAGCTTACCGGAGAGTCCGAAGAAGCCATTCGGAACTGGTTCGGTCGTCTGGTGAAGCAGGGCATGGACGGCAGTCAGAGCGACTCAGCTTACAAGTCACAAACATTTCTCATCCAACAGCAGCCGTTGGACAACACATTCTGGCATGACCCCACTTACCAGACAGAACTCACCCAAGTGTCGCCTCCACAGATCAATATTAGCCCTGAGATGTCACCTAGTCTTGACGATGTAGCCACGACGACTGTGCAGTCAGTCACTACTTCGCGAGGCAACAAGAAGCGCTGCACGCCTACCGATGATGTGGAACTGCTCAGAAGGGACCCCCAAAAAATCTACCAGTGCACCCGAAAATGCGGCAAGCGATATGGCCGTAAGAACGACTGGAAGCGAAATGAGGAGGAAGGCTATCCGGTATGTACTCTCACCCCATCCATTGCGAAGCAATCATATTATTACGTTGGTTAAGTTTTCCTCAAGAACACCAGCGTATCACTCTCGAGTCTGGCTTCTCCTATTCGTATCGCAACTTGCTGATTGTTTGCGGTACAGTGCAAATCATGGGTATGCAGCCTGTGCACCAGCGAGGGTGTCGAGCACGTCAAGCCATGCTACAGAAAGTACCATTTCGTGCAGCATTTTCGGAACATTCACTCCGGAATGAACCCAGAGGACTACGACGAGGCGAGCACCGTTTACTCAGAAACCGAGTTTCCACGCAAGTGCGGCTTCTGTCGCCATCGATTTGAGTCCAGACAAGAGCGAATCGACCACATCGCCAACCACTTCAAGCAGGGCAAGTGTATGCTTGACTGGCGCGATGAGGAGGATGACGACAACGACGATTCTGCCGGCGATGACGACGACCATTCAAATGGTGACGGCTGCGGTGGTGCGCCATCCTCCCAACCACCGCGCTTTGATCCACGTGGCGACAGCTCCAAATACTTTGGCAACAACGGCGGCAGCAGCGGCTCTAGTGGCCAACAACCACAAGGCGGATTCTTCCAATTCCAGCTCTCACAGCTTGGTGAGAGCCAGTTGTATTGTGCGGACCGACCTACCAAACCCATTACACTTTCGCCGAACATTTCTCAGTCATCGACCTCACCTGAGTCCAACGGCATTGTGTCACAAGGCGAACGCGTTCAAACAGAGGACAACGACGCAACTACTTTGGCCCGAGATGCTATCGCCCAGCCCATAAAGGAGGAATACGAGTCCTCATCGTTGGGTCGTCTTGCAGAACATCCCCATTGGAAGTATTCCAGGGCTAGTACAGAGCCCGAAGAACCGCTTCTTGGCGCGAGATTGCTGAACTTCCCAACCCGTTCAGAGGAAGGCCTTTCAGCGGGTAGAGATACCCAGTGTCCTGAATCTTCGACGGAAATCATCCCTAGGGGAAGATCGCCTGTTGGTTTACATATACCGCAGATTCCCAAGAAGTCACGATCGTTCCTCAGTGTTAAGCTCCTGGGCGCCGGTGGCTTCAGTACAGTCGACGAAGTCATACATCAACAAACGGGCCTACACGTCGTGAGAAAGACACTCAAGAATCGCGATCGTACGGCTCTCGAGGAGCTCAAGAAGGAAGTGAGTGTTCTCCAGAAGCTCCGTCATCCACATATTATCCGCTTGATTGGAGCCTACTCAAAGGGCGACAAGATGTCGATATTGATTTCACCTGTGGCCGAGACGACACTTGCCGGTTGGCTTGAACGACCCTTGTCGAAGAGGCCTGCCACACTGCTCCACACGGTCGTCAAGATGTTCGGCTGTCTTGCGTCGTCTGTGAGGTACATCCATGAGCAACGCCCTGTTGTCAAACACATGGACATTAAGCCTCAGAACATCCTCATCGTCGGAAGCGATCAAGAGATTCCACATGTGATACTTTGCGATTTCGGTGTCAGCTCTGCAGAAGATCCACATGATCATGGGTCGAAGCCGCTAACACGCCAATATGTTGCACCCGAGGTCTTTGAAGGCTTCGTTCGCAAACAAGCGGCCGATATTTGGAGTCTGGGCTGTGTCTTTTCAGAAATGGCATCTTTACCATTGAGTCAAGACAACACAGACTGGACAGCTTTCCGCAAGGAGTTCAGCGGACGCTCAGGCAAGTACTATTGGCAAGATGTGCCTGGAGTACAGCAGAAGCTATCCTCCTTCCTGGACGCTGCAAAGAATGCGACAGAGCAAACGGTTGTGCGTACGATTCAGTCGATGATGGATGCCAATCCGGACAATCGGCCTGACGCAGCATCGCTAACGCTGGTCTTTACTCCAGCGCCATGCTGTCTCAACTGGCCAAACGACAAGGCGACATTCCCCGGTCCAGACGAAGAACATGGAGGGATAGAAGCATTTGCTCATGAAGACATCTTCGAGCAGTATAGTCATGATAGGGACCCGACTCCCTATAGTGACAGTCTTTTGAGTGCAAAGACGTGGTTACAAGACTGTCTGCACACGCACGACGCTTGTCACCATGTGCCAACGAGCGAGTTCAGCGCCCTACCTACACGTCTCATTGACATGCTTCCTGATGGCCAATCCGGGCCTTACGTCCGCATTGTCGAGAGCGACATGCTCCAACCTACTACGGAGCAAGTAGAATATGTGGCATTGAGTCATGTCTGGGATTTCAACCAGCCAGTACTTTCCAGCAGCTCATTACCGGATATGCAGAATGAACTCGATCTCCAGAAACTGCCCAACACGGTACGACAAGGCATATCTGCCGCCCAACGCCTCGGGTACAGATATTGTTGGTTGGATGCACTCTGTGTTCTCCAAGACTCATGGCAACAAAAGGAACGCGAATGCAAGAGCATGTCTTTGACATTCCGTAATGCCGCACTCACAGTCGTACTCGATCAGCTAGGCGCCGACGATGATGACGACGACGAGTCTGAGAACACCGAAATAGGATTTTCAGGCACGACTCCTCACCCTGCTCCGTCTTTATTCAAGGTAATAGCAGGCGAGACCACGAGCACAGTCCGACTACCAGCTTCGGCCATGCTCCCATCAAGCATCCTCGCCTCCCCAAACTTTAGCTGGGATACACGCGCCTGGGTCCTACAAGACCGGCTACTGAGCCGACGCTTCCTGCATCTCGGCAAACAACTGTACTGGGAGTGTAACACGCTCAAAGCCTCCGAGACCTTCCCTTGCGGTCTATCGCCTCTTGTCTGGGAGAAACTGCATACCCTGCAATCCAGTCCGCCGGACTCAATTTCTCGCCGCCGTCGCACTGTCAACCTCGCGACGGCGGATTACCATGCGACGGCAGCTATTCAGGACAGCCTCGCACTATCAGGTGCCGATCGCCCGCCCCAATTTAACTATCCCCTGTTCAACTGGCAGGACGGGGACTGGTCAGCCCCAACCCCAACCCCCGATACAGTAACACCAGCTGCCTCGTCAATTCCCCCCCACCTTCGCCTTCACGTCCGTCGTGGGATACCAACCAACAAGCGCACTTTTGCCACCGCCCCCCCGTCAGACGCCCCCATGGACCACGAAACCCACTTCTCGGGTCTACATGTGCGCGGTCGATCGAAGATGCTTGTACGAAATCAACCTACGTCGGCTGTTGTCAAGCACAAGGAGCAAGCCTCATCGTGTCCTATCTGCTCTTGTTTGGGTGGTTGGAAATTGAGTAGTCTGGCACGGCACCGTCGAGATGTCGATGTCGATGGCGATGCAGATGCAGATGCAGACCGGTATATGCGTTGTGGTGTGTGTTGTAGTGGGTCGCCTGATGGCTGTATGAGTAGGAGTAGGAGTAGGAGTATTGGGAATAGGATTGGGAATGGGAATGAAGAAGAGAATGGCTGTACGGAATGTGGTATTGGGAATGGGATTGGGAATAAGAATAGGACTGATGGGAGTGGCACCATCACGGATCCGACTTGCATCCACGACTTGCTTGGTTGTGGGATGACCTAGATTCATCCACATCCACGTTCCTACGACGATTTTTCCTTTTTAGTTGGGATGGAAATGGGTATGCGAGGTTCTTGATGTCTTTGCTCTTTTCGGTTCGGATGAGAATGAGGCGTGTTAGTCTGGGAAAGTTTCATGTTTTGCTGGGCTCCTTAGTTTCTTGTTCTCTTAGGGAGTTATTGAATGGATATTTTCACGTAGGCTGTAATTTCTTTCTCTCTTAGGGAGTTATTGAATGGATATTTCTCATCTTCACGTTCTATTGTTTCATGTGTGCATGTGCATGTGCATGTAATGTCAACTGAGTGCAAACCTCATCACCAACAAACCCACAACAACTAAACTCCAAAACGTATCATTGTAATACCCCAAATCCTCTCCTCCCTACTTGAACCAGGGGTAGGAATCCTATTTGTAGAATGTCTGGCAGACAGGACTCTACCTATCTGACCATTTCCATGATGAACGTGATGAATAGAGCGAACGACTCGTCAGACGGACGTCCAATCATCACGTAAGCGAGGATAAAGAACCGCGTCTTTGGTTGTTTTTTTCTTCTTCCGAAGGAAACTGAATGGATATCTCCATCTTTCACATAACACTACAATCCATCCCACCGCTATACCATTTTAACCTCAAACGCGCATATACCATAACATCCTTCATAACCCACTCCCCTCCCCCTCCCTGCCCAAACCCCCAACCCCCTCAAACTAAATCTCCGGCCTCACAACCCCCCTCCTCCCCCTCATCCCCTCCACCCTCCTCCGATCCTCCTCAAACTTCCTCTTCAGTTCCCCCTCCGCCCTCTTCCTCCTCTCCCTATTCTGGAATCTATAAAAGTCATCCGTAGCCCTATGATTGCGTTTCCTCTCATCCAGCTCTGCTTTCTTGCGCTCTGCGTCTTCCAGTCTAGCGGGGCCGGCGCGACCGCCGCGGACAACGGCGACGAAGCCATCTTCGTCGGGGATGGAGCGGGCTGTTTTGCGGAGTTATATGCCTCGAGGCGTGATGGTTAGTAGCTTAGGAGTGAGAGTGGTGTGTGGAAGGTGAGTGGTTTGTAACTCCTAGGGGGTTAGTGATGGGATGGGGATGGGGATGGGGACGTACGTTCAACGCCTAATCCTTCTCCTTTACTCTTCCAGCTCACGGTCTTGCCTTCCTTGACAGCTTTTTGTACTTCCCTCAACGCTCCCCTTGCACTCTTCTTATCTACGAAGACGACAACGGCTGAACTCCCGCTTTTCCTCACCTCGCGGTTCCACAGCTGGGGAAGCGCTGACTCTGCGTCTTCGACTACACCCTCGGCGATGACGGCTGCGTCGTCGTTTCTTTTCCGCTTCTTGCCCCGCTGTTCTGCGTCTTCTGTAGTAGCGGCGGGCTGGGAGCTCTTCCACCGCTTGTGTATGGGCTGTGCGGGTACACTGGCGTCGAAATCCACGCGCTCGACCATGGAGCCGCCTAGTTGTTCCTGGAAGAGCGCGCGCATGTTACTTTCGGTTGCGTCCATGGGTACGTTTGTGATGAAGAGGCTGCGCTCGTCCGAGGCGGTCGGTATGCTGGGTGAGTGCGGTTTGACGTAGATGTAGTGTTTTGCATCATTGCAGTGCGCGAGGAGGCCGGGGAGTGCGGTGAGGGTGAGGGGAAGAATGGTGAAGTCTGCGACGGTTTTTGGTGTCGGTTTCGCCTTGCGCGGCTTGGTCGCCGCTGAGGGTGCCATTGCGATGTCGAGTAGGCGGGTGGTGCGAAGGTTGCCGTTAAGTCTACAATGAGAGCAAAGGTGACTTGGGTATATCACGATCGCAATATTTGATCAATATGTCGAGGCTGGAAAATACAAGCAAGCAGCAATGCTGTGTGTGTAATGGAATCGTCCACACGTATGCGCGCAACTGAGCTGGTGGGGATTCGGGTTCACGAAATTTTGGCAGGGATGTCACGGGCCCTGAGCTCAAAAGACACCAGTACCAGACTGAAGGCGCATCACATGACAAACACGTCCTCAACTTTATTAATTCAACCACTTGTGTATGAATGATTTTACATTTGATTGGTGGTTAAACCGAAAAGAAAATAGATACATTATCCATAAAGAATAGCTATGCGTAAGCCAAGCGTAAAGCAAGAATGCTATACAGGAGCCAAGCAAAAAGCAAGAATTGGTATCAGGGGAATCATAACTCGTAACGACTGTAGAAGCATGGCTGCACGCAGCCCAGGTGAAAAGTGTTACAAAGCAGATGGCGCCATATGCAGTCATCCAATCTGAATCAGGCCGTGGCGGAAAATAGTGCTGACTGAGCAATGCGCGAGTAAACTGCAAGTCAGCCTTGAGATGAAGGAGTCAAATCTATTCAAACCCGCCTGGAATGCTCCTCATGGGAGACTCTGGAAGAGCATGGACATCTTCCTTCTCTTCCTTCTCGTTTGGAGGCGATTGGTCGTGCGACTTCTTCGGCTTGAGTCGGTTGCCAATTTGCTCCAACCTGCTGTCTTCTACAGAGGATAGAGAAGAAGTCGAATCACCGCGCATAAGCGAAGGGATCGAGTCGGGGCTGTGCTTCGCCACGGTAGGGGAGGGTGCAGCTGATGTGTTCAACGATCCGTCCGAATTGGTCGACATGCGGTTGCGGAATGGGTTGCGGACTGGTAGGGCCGGAGCAACCGGCTTCGCGACCTGGATCACGCGCGCGCGGATGGCTTGTGGGGCTGGGGCTTGGTGAATCTCGTGAACGACTGGCTCTTCCTCAATCTCCTCTTCATCGTCATCAGCGTCATCTTCGTCATCGCTTTCTTCGTCCGACTCGGAGTCGGATTCGTGGTGAATCTCCTGCGCTATTGAAATCCGGGGCGAGCCGGTGGATGGGGTTGTAGCGGGGCTGATCGTCTTTACCTCGCCAGAGGTGGGTGTGGCCTGTTGAAGTTGCTTTTCACTAGTTTGCTTTCGTGGCGGAGTAGCCGCCTCGATCCTTGTCTCTGGTACCTCTGCAATGGGGGGAGTGGGCATGCGCGCGACGCTTGTTCTCGGAGGTAGTGAGGGTGTCGCCCTCTTGACAGTCGGAGGAGGTGGTAAGTCGTCAGTCTGCGTACTCATGTCGACCGTTGGGGTTCGAGGAGTCGTAGGAGTTTGAGGATCAAGCATGCTACTAATGGTGCTCATGCGCCAACTCGACCGCTGACTGCCGCCATAGCTCGATCGGTCTATGCTTCTTCTGAATGTGGAATTTCTGAAGGTGTTGTAGATGGGACTCGTCGGACTAGGTTTGAACTCGAATTGTTCGCTTGTGGGTCGGGTATGCGTCCCTGCTTCTCGAATTTCCAAGCCGGCTTCTTGCAGCGCTAGTACACCATACGGGTCAGGATCGACGGCGTCCGGAATACCAAATGTCTTGTCTTCAGGACCTGTAACCTCAAAATCTGCTGGCGGTGCTTCATCTGGTATCAAGGATTCGTCCACATCCGTGTCGCCTTGAGCCGACTTGAGCGTCGCCATGAGTCTCCGTATCTCGTACGGTGGATGACCTACTTTTCCAGCCAAAATGTCCTTGACTCCTATTCGCTGTCCGTAGAAGCGCTCGTTCTCGTCGGTGCGTTCGATGATGATGGTACCGTCGAGCTGAAGACCAGCATAGAAACCTCGCGATTTAATGTATGTGAACAGTGGTGATTGGCGCTTGTGGATCTCGGTGTCGAGCATGCCGCCAGTGCCAGCTGGACCTGCAGTTGCGCTGATTTCACCTCCCAGCGTACATCGAATCTTTTGGAAAGCCTCTAATGCGGTTTCGTTGTTGATGACAATGACACAGTCGTAAATGTCGACACCCGCCAAGAATCCCACACCGACAGTGTGCATCATGATACCCGAGGGCGGCGACCATGAACCATCTTCTGTGCGCGCAACTAGAATACCGGCGCCACCAGATCCAGAGATCCATAAGCCTGAGCGCATGGTGGTGAAGATGCAGAGGCCCTTTGCATTCTGTATCACCTTGGTTGGTATCTTCTTGAGTACCTTTTGCTTTCCTTGAGGAATACCCGCAATTGCGGGACGATCTTCTTCTTCATAAAATCCATCCTCTGCGGGCGTGTTAGTAGCATTTGGCGCGCATTCAGACTTGACGTACTGCAAAAACTCTTGAGGATTCTCGCGGCCTTGTCAGACTCAATGTCGAGCGTTGTAGGCCAAAAAGCCTCTGAGCCGACTTTGTTTGATAAGCGATTGACGGGCGCACCGAGTTTATCGACCCAGCCGTAGACCTTGTCAAAGCCAGTCTTGGATTGGGTTTTCGTTTTGGCCCAGAGCGCCATGTTCGCGGGCAATGGTAGGGTGTGGACGCACTACGTCACAGGTGGGCAGAATACTACGAGGGGGCACCGGCAGAATTATACATTAGGAATTCGGAGGCCGGGAGTACGAAAACTCGTACGGAGGCAAGGCGGAGTGTGGGATGAGGTCAGAGAACGGAAGCGGCGGGTGGTAGACTGGCGGGCTGGCACTGTTTTTGAGTCGGTCGGTACGTCAGCTGCTTGTAAGCTAGGCTGGACTCTGCTGGCAAAGGCTGGCGACGGCGCCCTCTAGTATCGGGTACCTTAATAAACCTTGAGCGTTACCGAGCAAACCACCCCTGTCTATCACGCCTCGGATCAAGGCTTAATGACGGTGCCCAGGTGATGATATATTGATTTACCACTTTCAGTCCATAGCGGGGTTGTGGGATGGCTATGGTCTGATTCGACGCGACTGTCTACTTGCGATAGTGGCTTCAGGAACAAGCACAACTCAACTACGGTCAGGAGGCGGGATAAATCTGGCATGCATGGGCATGGGTGTCGTGAAGACAGGACGCACGTGTGTCGCCGACTAGAAGGCGGTGGGCGGGTCTGCAATCAAATTGTGTGCAGAAGCAAGCAGGCAGCAGGCAGGCTGGGACTTGCTGGGACTTGCTGGGACATGCCCCGGCTTCCCGCCCTCCCCGGAGCAACAGTATCGCCGCTCCGATGCTAGCACGCGCCAAGCCGTGGCTGACTCAGGCGCGTCGCTGCGAGCTCGTCCCCAGAATGTTATGTTTTGCATGGACCGCGACGTGAGCTAGACAAAGAACAATCAAACGTACCCGCTATCTCACCTCGACACCGCATCGTAGATGAGGCGCAGCCTGTGATACCAAAATAGGGCGCCGAAATTACAAGTGCTCTTGATATTGGTTTTGCCCAAACATCCCTACCACTTGTCCAACAGCTGGAGGAAGCAGAAGCAGAAGCAGCACGGCAGCAATGTTTCGCAACAGCGGTCCACCTTCCACCCCCGGTCGCAACTCCTACGACAGTCAAAAGTTCTGGGAGGATGCGCCATCGACGACACCTGCAGGTCCTCCGCCCGACAAATCAATCTACCCCACGCCGAGGGGAGCGCCGCCGGCAATGAGCAAAGGTCTGTTCAGCACGACTCGCCCGACATTCGACAAGCCGAATAGCTACGGCTTTGGCGCCACCTCTCTGTTTGGAAGCTCGCCGCCCAAGTCACCGCCCAAGCCCATTTCCTTCGAAGGCATTGGATCTGGCTCAATAGGCACTTCCACCTCAGGCCGACCGCCAGTCCAGCGAGGCCGTCCCACGTCGGGCACTTTTCGCGTACCCAGCGTATCATCCGACGATGGTCCAAACGGAGACGCAGAGGGCGACTCCGACGAGGAACTCGACATGGACGACCGACGCCGCGACCAAGATTCAGACCAAGACTCTGAAGACCCGCCCTCTGCATCACGGCGAAACAAGACACAGAATAGATTCGCACAGTCCGTCGCCTCCATGACAAGCGCAAACGATGATTTCCCTGCACTAGTACAACCAGGCGCAAAACAGACACAATTCGATCTCCAGGCACTTGCCAAGGGCCTCGCGTCGAACAATGGCAAGCCAGCCCTGCAGGAATCGGATCAGGTCATACTGGAGACAGAGACCCTGATCGAAAGGGCCATGGAGTCGCTTCACTCAGACACACCCGCACAGCGGACTGACGTGCTCGCCTCGGTCGCCCAGGAGCTGATCAAAACATGGCAGACAGCATCCAAATCAAATCTTCGGGCTACCACCACATCAAGCCGTTCTGGGTCTGCAACAGAAATCCTGCACGCTAGTCGACTAGCATCGCTTCTCCTGACATTGCACCATCCACCGCAATTCGACTTGACCCAACGAGCCTCAGCCCTATCACTCGTGCCTGCACGCCCCGAGTCGAAACACTACACTGCAATCCCAAGGATATTGCTCAACTGGCTGAATAGCACATTCTCTGGTGTTTCCGAGGTGGACGATGTACTGAAAGAAACGCGTGGTTACTCCAGGCATCCTTCATATTGGGAGGCTGTACATATCACTGTCGTCCGGGGCAACTTTTCACAAACCTTGAAGCTACTACAGGGTGCCGAGCTTCAGCACGCCGAGACGGCGGAACTTGATGGGCTGGGTGGCACCGGATACAGTGGGAAACATCTGCAATACGCAAACCATGCAGTTCGTCAAGCACTTGACCTTCTTCGCGAATGTCCAGCTATTACATCAGAGGACTGGGACATCAAGGGACACGACTGGACCATCTTTCGACAGCGTGTGCAACAGACTTATGTCGATTTGGAAGAATTTTCAGAAGGAGAGAGCGCAAGCCGGCACGCTATGTCGCAATCTTTCCAGGCCGCACACTTTGGAATCTCACAAAATCAGGCAAGCTTCCAACTCAGCGTGGCCAGTCGCAAAGCCGAAAGTAAAGTACCTTGGTCCATTTATGAGAACCTTGGGAAAATGTATCAGCTCCTGCTAGGCAATGAACAAGAGATTCTCGAATTATCAGCAGATTGGATTGAAGCGGTAATCGGTCTCGGCGTTTGGTGGAACGGAGAGGAGGAGGATCAACCACAAGGCAGTCTTGCAGCCAGTCGTCGTTCCATTATGCGGTCACAACGAGTGCGCCAGGTCGATGTCACTCCGATCAAAGCGTATTGTCAACGACTGTCGGCTTCCTTGGCGGCGGTAATCTCCAATAGTGATGAGGATTTTGGTGTCAATATTGTAGACCGGTTCGAGGTTGGTGTAGCCTGCATTTTCGACGACAACATGGAAGGAGTTCTCCAGATCCTCCAGAGTTGGTCGCTCACCATAGCTACCGCAGTCGCAGAGCTTGCCAGTGTCGGAGAGTGGTTTTCGAACGCAAAAGGCCTGATGGATCAATTCGACCAGAGCGATTTGATGGTTCTGAGCTACACCGAACAGCAAGAACCAAAGGGCGTGACAAAAGACGATTTACTTGTTACCTATGCAAATCTACTAGCGTCCAAGGAGCAATTGGTTGGTCAAGAAGGGCAGGACTCAAAAGAAGGATGGGAGATTGCCGTACAGATTCTAGGAAGACTAGATGACAGTATAGCGGCAAACGAACGCATCGAGCGGATACTCAACGACTTGCCTCTTGAGTCGTCCGCACGAGTCGACAAGATCAGCCAGCTGTGCCATGACCTTGGTCTTGCGCAGCACGCCGTCACAATCGCCCAGGTAAGCTTTTGCGTGTAATTGGTGAAAACAAAGACTAACCTTGATAGAAATACGCCGACCACCTCCGCGTAAATACCGAGAGCTATGGCGAGACACTTCTTTACTATGCCCGCGCTCACGACGCCCAAAAGATCCAAGAGGTGCTCCGTGTACTGGTCGCGCATTGCTTAGTCAAGTCAATAGCCTACCCACCCCTAGATGAACTTGACGAATCTTTGCATTCGCTCATCACCTCACCTAAGCAGACCTTGACAAACCTCGCCAATATGGACCCGGATGCTGCCTCACTTCTGTCCAATCACCTCAGCGGTTACGCGACAATACGCAAGTACTTTGACCTACGAGATGAGGAGGTTCTGCTGAAGGCTGGGGAAAAGTCGGCCCACCGACCAATGGTTCGGAAACGGGCTGCAGCCAATGCGCTCATGGTCATAATTGCGAGTGCCGCATCCAGCATCCGAGGAGGATTGTACGACCCCGAGATAGAAACCGTAGTCCAAGTCGACGTCCTCCTACCTCTCCTCGGCGAAGCCCTCATCTTTGTCAACCAACCCAAACGCACCCTTACCCTCCGCCACCTCTACGACCTCCTCGCCGCAGTCGAAGACTTCGACACCGCCCCCGGTATGATCCGCGCCCAATGCGAAGAAGTCCTCTCCACCACCCTCCTCTCCGCACATGATCCACACTCTTCCCAACAACTACCGAACCCGCACCACCTACTCTCGAAATCCACCTCCAATCTGACAACGGCGTCGAGCCAATATTCGCTGATAGGCTCAACGGACTTTGGCTCCCAGGACGGTCAGAGCATGGAGGGATCGACTGTTTTGGTTAAAGACGGTCATATCGACGATAGCAAGCGCGGTTGGGATTGGCGGAAAGGCTTTCCCAAGGGCGCGAAGAGTGGGGATGTTATTGCGGTTTTGAGACTGGGTGTTGCTAGGGAGATTGGGAGGGCGTTTGCTGAGGGTGAAGTCACTGCTTGAGCGGAGCGTAGTGTAATGTAGTGTATGTAGGAAGCAAGGAGGGGGGAGTTTGTGGTGGCGGCGATTTGATACCATTTTCACTGTTACTGTAAGATTAGCATAACCCTGCGATTTTGAATTGCAGTCAAGGAGCCTGGGTTTGGATCATGGAGGCAAAGACATCAAAAACCTGAATCATTCGTGGGCGTTGAAAATTTATAATGAAATGCAAGAATTCGACCTTTTCGCTACTTGTGTTGCTGTGCTCTCCCTCACACACTCTCTCTTTTTCTGAGATATGTAGTTATAAACACGACAGTCCGGAACTATCGATTATATGATATTGACCGAGCTTTTTCAAACTGGCTTCACGACAGACAATACCACACCAACCATTCATCCATCCCCCCCAATCTACACATACAGATAACAAAACGGCCCCGCAGTCGTACTAAACAAGTCCCTGCTTTTCATAAAATCCTTACCCGCCGGCGCCACAACACTCAACTCCTGCTCGTCCTCTGGTGTACCTCTTCGGCTATTCAGATCAAACCAATTCGTGCCGCCTACAAACACAGTCTGTCGTTAGCACTGACTCACATCGTCATGGTTCCCCACCCCCTCAAACAAATAAACAAAAAGAAAAGGGATAAGGAACTCACCCTCATACATCCCCGTCCTCTCCTTCACTTCGCCCTCCCGCCACATGGCCCACATCCACCAATGCCGATCCACCTGCGCATGATGCAGCCAAAACACAGGCTCACCGGGACTAACAAAAACATCGCCGCCGGGGTCGCCCCAGACGCTATAATGCCCCGCTACATGCAGCGCGGCAAAGCTGTTCGACGGGTTTACCTGGAGTGTATCCTGGAAAGTGGAGATGTTGGCGTTAGACGTGATGTGCTCGACGAGGTGTTGCGGTTGGAGATAATTCGTAGTGAGGAAGTTTGAAACATCTCGACGAAGACACCGCGGGTTGTCGCCGTAGCCGGTCGCCAGCGGGTTGGCGGGGATGTTGAACTTTGTATCTACGGTTGGGAAAACGGGACCGAGGTGGATTGTTAGGTTTGCAAAGGGGCCTGTGGTTACGCATCCGCCGCCGGGTCCTGCTGGTAACGATTGTCCCGGTCCGAGAGTTAGATTCGCGTGGGGACCGACGGCTTCCCCGTTGCCGCCCATGCTGTATTCGTCGCCAGAGTAGATGGGGCTGTTGTTGAGCAGGTCCGGGTACCGCGACCAGTCCCAGTAGGGTTGGTAGCCGGTGTATGCGCATTCTGTGCGCAGCGCGGATTCGTAGGCCCAGATGTAGTAGCGGTGCCAGTGGAGGAAGTTTGCGGTTGAGTGGATAGGTGTCGTCATATTCATGTGGTCGACGGTGAAGTCGTCGTAGCGGGATTTGGCGCCGGGGTAGAGTGTGGGTGGGAGTTTGGAGGGCGAGAGTTAGGAGGCAGTTCACGCATGTCTGTAGGCTTTGCGTTCGGAGGGGGTGAGATCGCCGCTGAGGTGGGGGTTACTTTGATATTAGGATTTGGGGGAGGGGAGAGGACAATTCTTTGCGGATTGCGAGGGTGGCTTTGGTGCAAGTTGTGTTTGGGGAGCGGGTTAGGCCGTCGGATAGGGTGCCGTCGAGGACTTTGTAGGCGTTGGTGAGAGCATAGTTTTGGATGTCTTCGAGGGTTGTTGCGGTGGTTTGTGGGGGGCTGATAGAGTTGCGTGAGAAGATACGTAGTGATACCACTAGGGCTTTGGAGAAGATGTTGCCAATCATGGTGTGGTTTTTGATAGCTCAATTCGCCGTGAAATCCAAAGCTCTTATGTTGTATTTGATGTCTATTACTCAGTGCTGCACATTGACAGTGGATACCAATACCACTGTATTTGTTGACCTGTCTATTTAGACAGAAGCGGAATGCGGGGCGAATCCATAGAAAGTATCTTTGCAATAAACATTGGTATATAGTATAGGATACTTGGCGAGAGACCACTGTTTAGGAAACGATGTTCCGCCGTCTTTGCCATTCATATCGAAAAGTGACCATTTCTGTGTAGTACGACAGGCCGTGTGCGATTCATCGACGCTTCTAAGTGGTAGGAGCATCAAAGTTCAATGGTCAGTAGCCTTGGGACAGCGTTTGCTGGCTCCGGTGAAGAACAGTCAATGAAGCAATGTCAGTGTCCCCACGTATCTTAATTGCCATATAGAGCAGGGAATTTGAATCGAATTCCGAAGGAACCATTCAAGAATCGGCCCGTGCGATCAAAACGTATAATACTAGTCTTCAGAAGATAAAAGTAGCTGTGCTGTGTTACTTTGAGGAATGTAACAAGCGCCGCAAGCTGGATGCATATCAAGAAACGCACACATGTCGCAAAAACCGTCTTTTTCTCAGTCAACCAAATGTTCAGAGAGCCGGGAGTGAAGATTGTTGAAGTTTCCAAGCCTTTCAAATGACATGCCAGAGTGTGGAGTCAGCAATATAGGGTTTGTAATAACGGCAGTGACACCCCTGCAGTCGGGCACATTGTGCCGGAAACAAACGACAGTTGCCAAGACCGGATGTATGTGAATGAAGCCTAATTAGTCAAGATTGACCGTTTGCCGTTCTAATGAGAGTGGCTGTGCAAGTCAGTGGCGCCACAATCGTATGGAGGTTGCAGTGAAGGAGGTATCCAATGTTTCATATGTAACGACAGAGCGGGGTAGCACGTTACCCGACAGCATCCGCATGCACTCGGGCGCACAGCATGTGTTAGAACTGCATACTGCCAAGAGGGACGATAAATGTCGCAGTGGGTACGATGCGGTGCCCGGTGAGAAGCGTGAAGTAGATACAGTAGTGAAAAGATTTACAATGAATATGGGCTGACATTGATCTTACAACAGTTGCGTATGTGTTGAGAGCTAGACTTAGTTTTACTCATGTTCGGAGGTCCAGAGAAATGAGCATACAGGTTGAAAAATATAAGATGGAAAATAGTTGGAGGGCGTAGCGCGATAATCCGAGCAGCCCGGAATCCGTCTGTATTCGTGAACACTGCGAGTATTCATTCCAACGAATTCCAGGAGCAAGTATCGAACGCAGTTGGGAAGGACACAAGCGCGATTGTTAGTTGATCCGTAATGCTGGAATACAAGGCTTAGCCCCCAGCAAAGATGTGAGAACAAAGGACTGTAGCGATACGCCTTCAGTTATCGTCTCATCTTGGCACTCGTATGAAGTACGTGCGGCGACAGGTCTAGCGTATTGGCGGGTGAACCTCGCAAGGGTAGCTGAGTACGGGCAGGATCGAGGGACCTGGGTTTAATCAACTGTCGCATATTGTGAATTGCCACATGCGCGCATTCAAGCACGTCTGCAACGGATTGTGTCATAGCTGGAGCAAAACAAAAACACAAGGACGAGGTTGTAGTAGCTGAGATGAGCTGCGGATGTGTACAACTGCGAAGCCGTTGGGCGCCAGGTGGCGTCACGGGTTAAGCCGGATTAGGGGCTAATTGGTAACGTGAGGACGCGGCAGAATCGCGATGAGGGGTGAATGCCTGGTCGCGACCCACCCACTCAACTCCTCGCATCCCCGAGGCTCAATGGATCAACGACGCATAATTTCACAGCATCAGGCACCGTATCATGAATGCTGAGTTGGCTTTTTTCCAGCCGCGAATCCCATGAGTGCGCGGAGACGGATCGTAGTCTCCTTCTCAGCTTCTACGTCAATCGGGCCTACGACGCGATATTGCCCCTCAGGGGAACGGCAGAGGGTGTCTTTGATGGAGCCTGTGGAGGCCGGACGCATCTCCATGATTCGTCCATGGTGGCGATGAACGGCCGCTGGCTGTTGCACGGCGGCGACGTCGCTTGCTTTTCTCCAAACTTTTCTGGGTTGCCCTGGCCAAAGCTTCGGCTGTACCGAGAGAAGAAGCAGCCTTGCGCAAGGGATGCGACCAGTCATCTCATCACTCCGTCATAGTGTGTGTTGGTGTCGACATTATCCAGCAAAAGCATCGCGCAACATGTCCCAAGTATGGTTGTGATTTATTGACCGTCAGTCTCGAACAAGTCCAGTTACTCGACTGCCAACGCCATGCCATTCCGCCCACGCCAATTTAGCGACATTGATTCTTTGTTCCGCCCTTGTTTCACAACCTTGCACAAGTGCTACTTGGACCATGTCTTGGGCTTAGCCTCCGTCCTCCGGACTGACTCTTACGTCTCGAATGAGTTAGGCAAACATGTGATATCGCGTTTACGCGTTAGGTCAAATTTACGCGTCCAATCGCGTCTTAATTCACATCCACCCCAGTAGAGGGCCAGATAGCGGCCTCCTGTGAGGAGTCGGGTATATATACACGGCTGCAGTACACAGTACTTGCCTGCTATCGCCCAGTTTGCCTTGTTGCCTTGATCTCCTTCTGTTATCCGGTTGCCTACATCATTGCAGGTATAAGTATTTACGACACCTCACCATCAACACGTTCTTTCTATCTAAACGGAGACCCGTTTCGTTTATTTCATCATGTTCTCGTCATCCAACCGTACGCGACACCAGGAAGGTAGCTTCTCGAAGCATCGCGCAAGCAAATCAAAATCGTCCAAGAAGAACCCATCGTTCAAGGAATCATCAAGAAGAGCAGAGAGACTGGCACAACATGCTCAAACATCATCACCACAGTCCAACCAAACATCGCCGTCATTGGGAAGGTGAGTTTAACATATCATAACCGCCTTCCACACTCTACTGACATGCATAATAGCGCGATCATCACGATATCAGTCGGTCGCGAACAACGTTTATTCGCAGCACACGAAGATGTCCTTTCCCACTCTCCCTGGTTCCAAGCCCTCTGCAACGGCCAATTCTTCCAAACCACCAACAAGCGCATCGACCTTCCCGACGAAGAACCCGAAGTCTTCTCTTCAATCCTCGAGTACCTCTACAAGGGTGACTACTACCCCCGTATGGAGTACAACAAGAAGCGCAACAGCTGGAACCTCGAAGACAACGGCACCGCCACGCAAGAAGCAGTCATCCAATCACCAACCGGTCCCGTACTAAAAGACACAGTCATCTACTGCCAGGCCGACAAATACGGACTCCAAGAGCTAAAGAAGCTGGCTCTCAAGAAACAAGGTCTTCAGTCTGGTGTCCAGTGTTCTACCGTCTTGACATCTGCTCGTTACGCCTACGCCAATACTCCAGACACCGACTCGAAGCTTCGTGCTCATTATCTTGCGCTCATCATTCGAGCTAGACACACGTTTAAGCGCAGTGGTACGATGCAGGTTGAAATGGAGAATGGTGGCAAGCTCTTCTTCGATCTCTTCGTTGCCATGGTAAACCACATGGACGACCTCTCTGCGCAGTAGCTGCTGTCGACGTGTCTCGATTGTTCTTCCTACTCATCTCTTTTACCATCGCATCGTCCCCAATGACTTTGGCATCTAACGCACCTGTACATGTACTCTCCCCGATGAGCCTCAGGGCTACGTCTCTCCCACATCGGTTTCGTCTTCTGTTTACGTCTTTCTTTCCGCATGGCATTTTGATATCCCTACCTTTCTGGCACTCGTTTCCGCCAAGTGTTTGTACTATACTTATATCCTTTTGCTTTGCAGAATTTCCATCTTCTTCTATTCCCTTTTTATGGTTCGGCCTCCAAGATTGTACGAGTGTGCAGGCCTGCGTCAATTCCGGGTTTTCTCTTCCTTCTCATATCAAGACACGAAAAAAACATCGCACTTGCTCTTTTCTTAAGTTGAAGTTTTCCATTAGATTGTCACAGCTGCGCCGCTGAAAGTTGTTTACCTTGGGCGCTTGCTTGGTTGTTTTGTCTGCGATATCGCGGCCTCAGATTGTATCGAGATAGTCTTGATCTTCTTCCTTCGCTTTGAACGCGGTTTAATGATAGCCTTTGATGCACGAACGAATAGAAATTGCATTCAAGAGAGCATCTCCCATTTACACGTCTTGCCGTCTTTTGGGTCCTCATGGTGATGTTTGTGATTTATGGAGGACTCAAATACCTAGTACGTTACAAGGATAAAGAGCGGCCTTCTGAAGCTCACAGAGTCCGTGTGAACCGCCATGCTAGCATGCATAAGTTTAAGAATAACAGCATCGTTCTGAGCCGTTCAGCGCCCCCATTGTCGACCAAAATTCGTTGAACTGCATATACCCACACACATATCTTACCCAACACCCCTTCCCCCTTCACACACAGGTACCTCACAATAAACCCCACCCACCTACCTTCCACTTCCCACAGCACAAATCTCACTTTTCCGTTGTGCTGTTAGACAATTTATCCACAAATGAAGCAGCGATGACCATGACCAACGGGAATTAGGAGCCTACAACGCGACATCAGCTGAAGCGGCGACGACGCACCTGTAGCTTTTGACCGCGACTAGAAGTTCTACGACATAGTCGGTCTCTTACAACACACGCAAAGAGGAAGGCATGAATAACAAAGAGCGCAGACATGGTGTACATTGATAGGATTTTTTAGACTATCGTTTCCGTTACATCACGCTACGCTAGCTGGCTGATGAGGTAACAGCCACGTGAATCTCGATCGCACTTGTATTGCTACGAGGCTGCGTGCACATGCATCTGTAGCCAGTGAGAAGGCTTGGTGGGTAGGCAGCCGAAGCTGGCTGATGGGTGCTACATTTGTAAGGATAGGCAGAAGTTTAGGCATCAGACACCTGTTCCGGGGAATGCACCCTTTTTGTTCATGACGACCATGTTGTGCTCGCGTGAGATGTAGCCTTTCATGAGGCCCTGGCGTTGTTGTTAGCAGGTGTTGATAGTTTAGTGGTAGACTGCATGTACCTTGTAGATTTGGTTCGCCAATAGACACTCTACTCTCATCTCAGACTGCGCTGCTTCGCCTGCGTGCCATCTAGCGCGCCGCAAGTTGCTATCGGACCGCGTGACTTCCTTATTCTTTGCTGTTCTGTTTGTCCCTCTTTTAGCTCGTCGTAGCCACCGGCTAGGTAGACTTTGCGGAGGAGATTGCGCAGGGTGATGTCGCGACTTCGCTCCATGGTGAGGAATATACGCCGTTTGACCAGTTCGGGTTCGCCGTCTGCGAGAGCTTTGTCAAAGCCTGTAAGATCGCCTCGTTTGATACATGATACAATAGGGCCGAATATGCGTGCTAGACGAGGGGCTTCAGCGAGAAGGGCGGCGGTCGGGAGAATGTGTTGTGTGATGAGGCGACAGGGTATGAGGTATGTGAGAATGAGTCTGGACATGTCAGCGTTCGGTAATTCTCCTCTTGAACAATGAAACGTACGATTTGTTATGTTGAGCACTTGGCAAGCAAGACCGCCATGCTTCTTGCAAACTGATCTCTGCCTGGATCTTGTTAGTCCAAGTCGAATGCTAGCCAACTTGCCAACATACCTTGACATAATCTTCCTGCAGAAATGATAATACCCCTAGATAGTATTTGTAAGTCACTTGGTGCGCTCGCGGATAGTCTTTAAAGGGAGGTAGGTCGGACTGTGCTTCGATCGATCGTACGACGTTCTTCGACAGGCTAATGGCTTTCAACTGCACACGTACATGTTAGTCACTGTCAAAAATCACTAGGTTCTGCCAATCTTACCTTAAAGTACGTCTTGAACTGGAGGTTGGCTATGCAGTAAACACCCCACTTGCGCGTCTCTACAGGGTGTGGGTTCCTATGGGCAAGTAAGAAAGGCTCAAACAAGGGAAACGGGACTATGCACACCTGTCACCTAGGCAAAGGGCGAATATCCTGTTAAACACTCTGGCTGCCTCCTCGAGCTTCTGGTTTTGAGGAACCGTGGTCACGATATCGTCTGAGAAGCTGGTGTTGAGTGTTGCTGATTTCGATTTGGCCAAGTGCTCATCTGCTTTGATAGCTATCTTCCTAAGATGATTTGCGGTGGAGTACAAGACGAATATGGCCCATGATGGTAGCACGCCAGCTGTTATATGCTTGATGAGGTTGCTGGTCAAGTCCTTCCATGTATCATATACAGCAATGTATTGATGTTCACCAAGTCTTCCCTGGTTTGCTGCCTCATCCGCCTTTATAACCTGATTGATGGCGCGCCAGAAACAGGTAATAATCTCAATCCAAGCACCGCTCTCTTTGTTGGTCATACGCGTGTTCTTGTTGTACCTGAACCCATAACGCACGTCGCCTTCGACCTTGTCTTCGCTTGATGCACGGTAGAATTCATATAGTCGACCGGGATCTTGCGACGGCGGAATTGGACTAAAGAAGGCTGAGACATGCTCTACCAGCCCACTGGCGTAGGCCTGGTGGAAGGGTTCGAGTGCGGCTTGCATGTTCGCTTTCTGGGTCGCGATTACAAAAGGTTGATATCCGTTATCGCGAGGCGTCTGGTAGTTTTACGCAACTCCAGGTATAATTTCAGCCTTTTGGCATGTTGCGACAGGTCCTTGCGGGCACGAAGATGTGTGTTTGGGTTGAATGCGAAGTTGTCGGTGTTTGGGTTGTTTGTTCGCCGACGTCCCTAGCAGCTGCCGCCAAGTTGCTGGTGGGTCCGTTCTCGGCTAGCGCCCACAAGCTGGACTGGATTTCGGGCATCCACCACGACAGACGATCTGAACTTCTCAACTCAAGGTACTAACCTCACAGCACATTCAAGGTCAGTTGACGTCGTCTAAACAGTAGTTTATCGTTTACTAACAGATCGCAGATGGGTAAGCATTTTTTCTTCTCCGCCGCACCGTCCAGCAATTGCAGCCGAGCCGAAGGAATTTTCGAACGAAGCGAGCGCAATCGAATCACCGCTTCCGCAACGACAATGCACGAGATGGGGATCTGTAGAGAGAATAGGAGGGCTACAGGGCTGTTTCAATCGGCGTAGGACAGATTGAGGCTTTGAAGACTCATGATGACGGCGGAGGTCGACTCGCTCAAATATCGCATGCGCCTCCTGCTACCACGAACATTTTCCAACCATTTCAGACCGTCCGACCACGCTGACGAATCGACTGCAATTGCTGGAATATGGATCACTTGACTTGTAGAAGCAGCACTGACGAGTATCAGCACGCTTCCAGGAATACCAGATTATCGGGCGCCATCTGCCTACCGAGAGCAACACTGCGCCCAAGATCTACCGTATGCGCATTTTTGCGCCTAACGAGGTCGTCGCCAAGTCACGGTTCTGGTACTTCCTTGGCAAGCTCCGCAAGATCAAGAAGGCCAACGGTGAGATCGTCTCGGTAAACCAGGTACGCAAGGATAGGCAAGCACGATCAAATACACCACTGACTCGCTTCAGATCCACGAGAAGAAGCCCCAGAAGGTCAAGAACTTCGGTATCTGGATCAAGTACGACTCGCGCTCCGGTACCCACAACATGTACAAGGAGTACCGTGAAATGTCCCGTGTCGCCGCTGTCGATGCTCTCTACCAGGACATGGCCGCCCGTCACCGATCGCGTTTCAGGTCCGTTCAGGTATGTCACAATCAATCCCTAATATGAGTGTTACCTAACATCCTTTCAGATTCTCAAGGTCGTCGAGGTTGAGAAGTCAGACGACATCCGCCGACCATACATCAAGCAGCTCCTCACCAAGAACCTCAAGTTCCCGCTGCCCCACCGTATCAACAAGAAGGCCGGCAAGAAGGTCTTCTCCGCCACCCGACCTTCCACTTTCTTCTAAGCGTGTTTCTCATTACGGAGTGCGGTCTGGATGGGTTGGGATGATATGGGTTTCCCTCGGTTATGCATGCTTCACGAAAAGAAGTACACTAGGAACGAATGAAAATCCCTGATACCTCCATTCGAGTCGTCGCGGCGTGATGCTGTTCAGGGTGCTGGTCAGAGCGGGAGTGAATCTCAGAGAGCCATGTCAGATTACAGCAGTCAAGCTGGTACTAGATGGGCAATGGGAAATGATGTCATGCAAACGAATGGTTGTCGATGCTACACACATGCTGTCTAGATCTTTGGCCTCCCTGTCGGTGCTCCCCTTGGCCTTGCCGATGTATCCAATGGCATCCACCAGGGATACCCAGTCACGTTAGTATTCTCCATTGTCCCAGTAAACACCGCAGGTCTCTTTTCCATGAACGACTGAACCCCTTCAGTGTTATCTCTGTCTTTTATTAGCTCGCACCATGAAATCTCCACAGAAAGAACTTACGGCGACCCAAACAACTCATAAATCACCCTACTATCCAACAAGTGCTGTCCCTCGGCACTCCCCTTATCCCTAAACATCATCTCCTTCATCAGATACGTACTAACCACACTCGTATTCCGCACCACATCTTCCGCCAGCTCCAGCGCCCTGGGTAACACATCCTCGCTCTTCTCACACGTCTCGGCAAACAAGCCGTCCCACACCCGATGGCTCGCCGGGTATGTAGCCCCCGTCGTCACCGCCTGCATGGCGCGCGAGTGCCCGATTAGCCGCGGTAAAAAGTACGAGCTGCAGGCTTCCATGACGAGGCCGCGGCGGGCGAAGACGAAACCGATTTTCGCACTGGAGTGCGCGATGCGCATGTTCATGGGGAGGGTGAGTGTTATGCCGATGCCGACGGCGGGGCCTTGGAGGGCGGCTAGGGTGGGTTTGGTGCAGTGGTGGATGGCGAGGGCTGCGCGTCCGCCGCTGCGTTTACTACTGTATCAGCTTCTATCCATACATACATACACCTACACCCACACACACAACATCTCCCACTCACAACAACAGAGAAAGAAAAAAACCTACCCATCCCTATGCTCCTGCACCTTCTCAGCATCAGCCCCCCCATGAACCCCCTTCCCAAACCCATCGTCCAGATCGGCGCCCGCGCAAAAGATACGACCATGACCAGTCATGACGATGCATTTTACGCGGTCGTCGGCGTTGAAGAGGGTGTAGGCGTGGATGATTTCGTCGCGCATGGTGGGGGTGAAGGCATTGTGGTTGTTGGGGCGGTGGAGGGTGAGGATTATGATGCTGGGTTCGGGGGCGTGGTGGCGGGTTTGGATTTGCGTGAAGGGGAGGTCGTTGTAGGATTTGGGGAGGGTGAGGGGAGGGGTGGAAGACATTGTGCGGGGGATTGGGTGGGGTGGGAGATGGGAGATGTGGGAGGAGGAAGTAGGTAGTGGATGGTTTGGCTTCAATTGAAGCTCGACGCGCTCTTTGTTTACCCCATACTTTGGGATGGGGGATGCGATGAGGATGCGGGGAGAGGGGGGACCGAGGTATCTTTGGGGTGGATAGGCGACGACTCTAGGGCTCGGCCTAGTTCAGGAACCACCTCTTAAACCCACCGCTTGTTACAATGCACTCCATCAATTATGGTACATAGCATGAAAGTCAAATTATTACTCTATCATTACTCAGATCTCGCGCAGAATTGACCGACCGTTGATCCTTACAGATTATTTGCATTACTTCATGTCATAGTTGTAACAACATGTAAAAGCATCAGTCCTTCAAATTCATACCCCTCTTGATCACCATAGATAACACCTCATAGGTGGATAACGGCGAGATCGTTACATATCTGTTATACCTTCTCCGGATCGTTGATACCTCCGTTCGTGATGATATACGTTGCTTCCTTCTCTGGCATGTCTGATTTGGCATTAGTGATGCGAAGGGAGACAATCAGCAATAATTGACATACCCGGAGAGTCCTGTATCTTTGCGACACGCTCCTCGCCTCGGCCCTTACGAAGTAGGATTCTCGTAGCAGAAGCATGGGCGAGAATGTGACCACCAATCGGCTTGCGGCCATCAGCACCAGCGAACAGAGCGCTTGCTCCTGGATCACTTTGGACTTGATTTGTCAGAAGCACGGCGACGTTGAATTCTGCTAGAATTAGTGGAATTACTACATATCCGACTTTATCGCCTACCTTCAGCAACGTGCGTCAGTTTTGAGAGGAACTGATTGAGTTTTTGTTGACGCTCGTTGAGCTCGCCACGGCCAGTATAGTCGACACGGAAGAGGGCCATGATGCTGTCGATGATCAGGAGCCGGTACTCATTGCTGACGAAGAACTCGGCGACTTTGTTGAGAAGCTCCATTTGGTGCTCTGAATTGACTGCGCGAGCGTATGTGATGTTGTCTTGGGCTATGAGTAGTTAGTTGATGAATTGATAATGTTGTAGGGCTGCATACCAGTCTCTGGATCAACACCAAATCGCTCTGCAATCTGAGCTATCCTCTCTGGTCTAAAGGTACCTTCCGTATCTTGTGTTATGGTCAGAAGAGTTCTTCGGTAGAAGATGTCACCTACCAATGTAGGCAACTTTGCCCTCTGCACCACCCATATCTTTGGGTAGCTGTGTGATGACAGACATGGTATGCGAAAGTTGTGTCTTTCCGCAACGAAACTCGCCAAAGACTTCGCTGATACTCATCGTCTGGAAGCCACTGTAGTGTGTAAGTACGCGGATATGGTGTGCGTAAAGTATAGACTCACCCTCCGAGAACAGCGTCGAGTGCCTTGCTGCCAGTCGAGATCTTGATTACGCGCTTCCGATGCTGACCAAGCTCATGCGCAGTCTGAAAGCCACCTCCGGAAGGCTAGATGAAGCGTCAGCATGATATGTCGAAGCAGTGTCACAGTGCAGTACTCTACCTGACATTTGCCGATAGCATCCTTGACCTTGTCGACTTTGATCTCACTGAATCCCTTGATCTTCAGCAAATTGCGACGAGTAGCTGAATGCACGGAAGCAATTGTGTAGTAGCCGTTCGCCTTGAGCTTCGCAATATCGACAGCACCGATGCCATGTGCTTGGATCGCGTCAATGTCAACGATAAAGCCGTCCTAAGAAGCTAATCAGCTTATGGTTCTCGATTACCTGGCATGTTACTCACGTCGTCGATTATGTCGTCGCTGGCAACTGATGAGGGCATAGTAGCTGTAGGTGATAGCTGATGCGATGTGAGATGAAGAAATGCGACACAGGCGAATACAAATGCTAAGGAATGTGAAAAGAATGAACGAGAACGGTGTGAGATGAGCGTTGAAACAAGGTTTGCGAAGACGAAGATGACGAAGAAAGCAAATGAGAAGGAGCGCTACGCGACAATCCGTGCATGGTGGAACTGGGAAGGAAGGAAGGAGCTACCACCATCATGCGACTGCCTATGATTGACACTTTCATCCTGCGAGAGTGAGCTAAACTGTACTGTTTCATACGACATTCAGTGGTACACATCCACCGTGTACACACATCTTCCCAAAACTCACTTTCATAACACTTTCCGTCAACGAATGCACAAACAAGACACAGTTCCAAAGTGACTGCATATATTCAGATAGATAGCACTAAACATATATCCTATGCAGAGCCAGGATGTGTAAACATGCTGGATCACAAGCAGAATTGCCAACTCAGCTCCCGGCAATCACAGTCTGCTTCGCTCTTCCTCCTCCATACCACCTCAATCCCTCCAACCAAGCTTTCCACGCCCAACCACCACAGCCGCCTTCCAGGTACATAGCAAGCCCTACCCGTCTATCCAAGAACTTTAGTACCCCAAAGTACATGTATACAGGTAGGTGCGCCATCCAAATCGCCAAGCCGTCGTCTGTTCGAAAAATGGTAGAAGGGTTGAAGTAAGGGATAACGTTTGTGGGTATCAGCGTAAGAATCGTGAAGAAGTTCTCTCTTATCCGTTGGAGACTCGTGAATGCGTGAGATTTGTCGAAAGATGCTGACAAGCGTAGAAACAGTTGTAATGAAATAATGGATAAATGAAAAACATGTGATGGCCCGCCACAATGTCACTCATGGAGGGCCTTGGCCGAGCTCTTTGGTCGTCGTCTAAGCAACGGCAGCCGTGGGAGCAGGCGCAACAACAGGTGCAGCAGCGGCAGCAGTGGCAGCATCGCCATTCACCTCAGGCTGGGTGCAGTCCCGGGAGATGTGGCCAGTCTCGCCGCAGCGGTAGCAAGTCTTGCCGGCAGTGTTGAGGGGTCCGCCGTTGGGAGCGGTGCAGTCGCGGGAGATGTGTCCTATACAAATCAGACATGAAATGGTCGATCATCAGGCGTGTACTCACCGAGCTTTCCGCAGGCGTAGCATTTCATAGCCTGAGCCTGGCAGTCACGGGCAAAGTGGTTTGGTCCACCGCACTTGTAGCAAGTGGCAGGGCGAGCGCCGCCAGCGAAACCGCCCCTGAAGCCTCCTCCATAGCCGCCACGGGGAGCACCGGCGCCGCGACCCATTCCTGGGCTGGGGCAGTTGCGAGCAAGGTGACCAGCGAGACCGCAGCTGTAGCAGCGTCCGCTCGTACCAGCCCCACTCAGGCGCAGAGTTGGGCAGTCAGCCTGGACGTGTCCGACACCCTGGCAGTGGTAGCACTGCTTAGCTGTTCCTCTGTCAGTCCTCATTCGTTCCATGTATATGTGATTGGTCTTGGAGATTGGACGAGCGCAATCCTCAAACCAAGTATTGGAGCAGCAGAAATCTTGTAAAGTTGGAATGACGTACTCTCGGTGGTGCGGGGGTGGGGGCAGCCGTTGGACTCGTGGCCGGGCTGCTTGCCTATGGAGATATCAGTGATTGTTCGCATATGGTCCTCGGACTGGTCTTACAGTTGTAGCAGAGCCTCTCAGACGAAGAGCACACCTCTATAGATCCACGTTAGTCGCGTACATTCAAAGACATGACTTGCGCAGTCCCTGTGGTCGCGCTCTGCAAGTGTCACTCTGGGAAGTGGCATTTGGCGACAAAAGCCCCCCATAGTGCCATGGCAGCGGGTGCCACAGGTCTGCGCGCGACCGAGGCTTACCGGCATAGTGCCCGACATTACCGCACTTGAAGCACGCACGGCGAGATAGAGAAGACATTTTTACTGAGTTCCTCCACAAATTTCTGTGTTGAAGTGTGAGTATATATTGGCGGATGTGGGAGGATCGAAAGGGGGTGGGTCGCGGACGAGGGGTGGCTTGGAGTGGAGCAGAGCGTTTGTAGCCTCGTCTGCTCTCTTGGTTTGTTTGCAAGAATGCGCACGTGGGGTCGGTAGTAGTAATAGGGCGCTAGTACCTGCTGCGTTCTTCTGATCGTTTTCCTTCACCTGCGTTTTTCTGTCAGTCGCAGAATTTTCGAGGGGCATGTCGAGGGGTAAATGCAGCACCGACGAGTATGCGCCTGGTGGGACCAGGGCGCGCATATGGACAAATACGGGGGCTTCAATGGGCACAAACCTACTTGCAACTTCTCAGACCTTCCCTCTGCGACACTTCTGCAACCTTCCTCCGAATGTCTATGTGGTTTGCGAGTTCAATGGTTGGACGACGGGCGGGCAAACGGGCGAAATCCACATTGTTTGCCCGTGCTCCCCTGCTGCATCGGTTGCGCTAGCGGACTACCGACTGCGGACTGCGCAATTTGGCCCCATCCCGAGGTCAAATGCACGTAAGAATGCTAAGCCGCTCCTGTTTGCATCACGCCATGTGATGTAGCTGCATAAGCCTGTCCCCTTTACTCTAGGCACGTTTCGTACGAGTCTCATGGAATGAGTGGTCCAAGTTTCCATTGCCCGCACCCTGCCACGTTTTCGAGTAATGGTCCAAGTCGACTATGCAAACTACGTGTAGAAACATTGAATGTTTTCATCTCCAGCCAATCAATGTCGAAACGAAGCATTGGTGTAATACTGTGTCCATCTTGTGCTATTTGCCGTATCCAGTAAGAGCCTATCACCAAATTGCTATACGTCACGAAGCAAATAGACATGTTTGATGCATACAATCCACATTGTAGTCATGTATGAATAATCTTCGCCAAGTCGGCAATTTGAGAAAACGTTTAGCATATGTCTGGAGCTACTCGTGTCCAAAATTATCTCAGCCGCATGCCAAGTATACAATATGAGCGTTACATATAGTAGAGCCGGCATCCACCCGAACAGGCATATGCTACTATTACGTAGTCTGATGAGTTTTGTAGAAACAGCTGCTCATTGAAATGTGAAGCATCTGCACCACGTGGGATAAGTATTCAAGAGCGTCTTATTGTGATTGTATGCTATTATTATTATTATATTTCCATTAGAGTCCTGTATCAGTCGGTGACTATGTAGGACTTTGGCTAAGCCGTTCTATGTATGTTGTTCAATATGGAGTTTCTATAGGTCTTGTACAATTTGGAGGATAGTTGCGTAGTCCAATTTCCGAGCTAGTCTTCCATTGGCGCGGGTGCTAAAGAGCAGTGTGGTGAACAGAAAGAGATGTAACAGCGAGCTCTTTGCGAAAAGAAATATTGTTTGTAGTTTTATACAGTGTCTGTCTGTTGTTTTGTGTAGGCGTCTGTATATAGGGATCTACAAGAGAGAGAATAGATCTATACAGCTATTGCCTGGTCGATGTTTTGCTCGTGCGTGTGCTAGTGAAAGCAGGTGCTGGAGCGGTTCGGTATATGGGGTCGGTATATCGAGTCGGTTTAGGGCGTTCGGTAGAGAGGGTATTTGGTGTAGGCGTCTGTATATAGGGATCTACAAGACAGAATAGATCTATACAGCTATTACCTAGTCGATGTTTTGGGCGTTTTGGTGTAGGCGTCTGTATACAGGAATCTATTATAACCTAACAATAATAGACCTATACAGCTATTGCCTAGTCGATGTTTTGCTCGTGCGTGTGCTAGTGAAAGCAGGTGCTAGAGCGGTTCGGTATATGGGGTCGGTATATCGAGTCGGTTTAGGGCGTTCGGTGGAGAGGGTATTTGGTGTAGGCGTCTGTATATAGGGATCTACAAGAGAGATAGTAGATCTATACATCTAGTGCCTGGTCGGTGTTTTGCTCGTGCGTGTGCTAGTGAAAGCAGGTGCTAGAGCGGTTCGGTATATGGGGTCGGTATATCGAGTCGGTTTAGGTCGTTCGGTGGAGAGGGCTTTTGGTGTAGGCGTCTGTATATAGGGATCTACAAGAGAGATAATAGATCTATACATCTAGTGCCTGGTCGGTGTTTTGCTCGTGAGTGTGCTGGTGACAGCAGGTGCTGGAGCGGTTCGGTATATGGGGTCGGTATATCGAGTTGGTTTAGGGCGTTCGGGTATAGGTAGCATCTAGATATATAGGCCTATTACTTTGCAGCAATAGAGATATATACCTAAGGAAGAGCCGTTGCTCTGTCGGTTTCGTAGAGGGTGCCTTCGATCGAACATCTAAAATCAGTTGGCGCACGGGCCATTTGCAGAGATTTCTCTCAACTAAGGCCAGGTAACAACTCTGTCAAAGTTGCAGCGGCCAGCGCGCCCGCCACAACGCCTGCACGCAAAAGCAGACGTTGGAAACTGATTCTAGGAAGGCATTTCAATGGAATTGAGATGAAAAAAGGGTAATCCAGGACCTTTTTGTCATCTCGAAAAGTTGGTGTTCGATGTGATTGTATGCTAGCATAGCAGTGCTTGTATGGCATTTGTAGGATGTCTAGAATGACATCTAGATCAGAAGTAATTGAAATCCCACCAAAGTAGCAAACAAGCATCCAACCGCTGTTTTACCTGAGAATCTCGCTGTCAGCAAAATAACACTGACTTTGCATGTAAAGATGTGAAGTTGAGAAATCTCAGCCCTGCATACCTTACCCGCAAAACGGCAGCGGCGGCGGTGGTCCAAGCTCCAGAATTCTTACCTGCACGACATCATCGCCGTCACCAAGCGCCTCCAAAGCACAACCACCACACTAACAACGCACGACAAACACCACCACGCATACACACCAATTGCGCAAACAGCACGCCACCACACAAACCAGAAACCGTCAAAACACCCGCCAAAATGTCAATGTTCTTCGGTCAAAAACCTCAAATCTCCTCGGAGCAAAAGATTGCACAGGCCGAGGCGGAAATCGACATGGTTTCTGACATGTACAGTCGGTAAGATGCCTTCTTCCTTCCTTTACCTACCCCAATTCCTCCCACATGCTTTCCTCCCTCCCTCACCAAACTAACACAATAACAGCCTAGTCAAATCCTGCACGGCAAAATGCATAGACACATCGTACCGCGAGGCCGACCTGAACAAGGGCGAATCCGTGTGCCTGGACCGCTGCGTATCCAAGTTCTTCGAGGTCAATGTCAAGGTTAGCGAGAAGATGCAGGGAGAGGCGCAGGGGAAGCAGGGCGGTGGGGGTGGGGGTATGTTTGGGGGTATGTAAGAGTTTGGGTGTGGATATGGATGATGAAGACGGATCTGATATGAGGGTGGGGAATTGGGTCGAAAGTGGTGGCTTGGGATGCGACGACGTGTCGGGCTGTACTTGGACGCCTCTGAGGACGATGGATCGGACTTTCATGAAAAACTCACCTCACTTCCGGTATGCGTATCATGGAAATGGGCATAGTGAAGGCATGGTATGGAGACATGTGTACAATACGAGGGTTATGATTTGAATCGATCGGTCTATGTGTCTGGGTATCTTACTTCATTGCACTGTACGTCTTGATACGTAACTGCAGGATATCCACTCCCCTCCATCCCACTTCTCATATCCAGTACTCTAACCACAGAAACCCACGCAGTCGTAGAATCGTAAGTCGTCAATCATGTAATTTCAAACCAGCGTTCCATCACGGATGCTCCCCACCCACACTCACCTACCCCAACCGTGCAGCCTCATCAGCAGCCCAAATCATCTCATACAACCGAGTAACAGTCTCATCCTCAATCCCCACAAGTCTGGCCAACTCGGCGATCTTGACCACTTCCATTCTCGCCGCTTCCGCACTCTGCCCCGCATCTTTGGCCAAGGCCTCTGTGTGCTTTGCGCTGATGCTGGCTTGCTTATAGCACTCTGCCGCTCTGAGTAGACACTGTTTCGTAAGTTTTAGTAGGGGGTTGTGAAGGAATAGGTGGAGGGGTTGAACGAACCTGGAATATTTCCCCCTCTTGTCTGTTCTCCGTATCTACCTGTCCTGGTCGCTCGTCTACGGCGGCAGTGACTGCAGGGCTGTTGGATTGCGGTTTCGACCCTCCGCGTATGACTCGCGCTAGGGAGTCTTTGGTGGCACCGAGGAAGCTTTTTTTGGGCGGAGAGATGGGGTTTGGGGTTTGGTTCTTGTCACGCTTTGGGAACAAGTCAAGAATGCTGCGCCTGGGCTTGAGTGGGTTTGTTGGGGGTTCTTGGTGTGTGAAGCTCTGTTTGGATGGGATTTCTTGGGAGAAGGACAGGCTGGTAGGGTCGAAGATGGTTGATGGGGCTGGAGCTGCATCTAGGCGAGCGGTTTCCTGTGATGGTGTGTTAGTGGATGATTGACAGGAGGTTGAAGTCTATGTACCTGGTGGGCTTCCAGTTGGTTGCTTAATATCCCCTGGTATGCCATGATTTCCGAATTGCTCAAACTCGGGCTGGCAGCATGTTCTGTGCCATCTTCAGAGAATTCGGCGGCGTTCTGATCGTTGGTTGACGAGGGACTACGGCGAGGAGATTGTGTCGGTACTGGTATCCTGCTCGGACGTACGGAGCTTCTTTGACGTGGCATGACTACCGACGACATCTTCTTAGGTGAAGAGTCTGCTCCAGCTACCATATTCTGGTCGACACAAATAGTATCGTTACTGTCTGTAGTGCTCACGTTAGTATGTGCTTGGGGCTTCACCAAAGTGTCAGTGTGTTATGGGCAAGTGTCGAGGTTGATGGTGGTGAGCAGTATGGTCAAAGTGTTGCAGGCAAAGGATAAAAATTCTATTTGTAGCTCCTAAATTAAGGGTCCAAGACACAGCGTGTTTGCTTCATGGAGAGTAGTGAAAGCGGATCAGAAACTTGGAGAAGTAACCGCGTGCACCACGATCCAACTCTTTCAAGTCCCATTTCACAAGTCAACGGATAAAAGAATGCGTATATAATAATACATGTTTCCAAATTTTGGCCTTATCGGGTTATTTGTGAATGAGGCAGAGACATGAAAGTCGCGATGTGTGAGGTCATCAACGCTTGGACCATGTGTTCCACTTGACGAGAGGCCAGCTTGACGCGTCCACCCCATCGACAACCGCAAGGCCGACGACCAACTCGATCAATCGCTCCGTGGAACCATGGCGAAAACATATAAGCAAATGAAGGAGGCCTGGGTGTCGGGGCACACCGGGAGCTCCGTAGCAGACGTCAATAGCGTCTCGCTCGCAATGCCTGTACCGTACACATACCCGCTACTCTAGCCATGACCGCCTGCTAACTATGTATATAGTTGAGCATCTTACTATGGTCTGTGATACAATCACGTATGCGCTTGTTTACACCGTACACATTACCCGCCTTTTTCATCGACTTCCTGCTCAATTGCGGAGCGACGTTGTTTGCAACCACCATTTACTCGCCCTCCCCGTGGACTTTGAACCTGCTTCTTCTACTACCGGCAATCACCATATACGCCCTTGAGAAGCCAGCGACAGCCAGGGATCCCCCGCGGCCACCCAAGATTGATAAGGCGGAGAAGGACTCCAAACTAGATGCACTCCCCGTGAAGCCATTCATTACGAATTATCGAGGCGCAATGATGGTCATCACTTGCGTTGCTATCCTGGCGGTCGACTTCCGTGTTTTCCCTAGGCGCTTTGCGAAGGTGGAGAACTGGGGTACGTCACTCATGGATATGGGTGTGGGGTCTTTTGTCTTCACTGCTGGTGTGGTTTCTGTGCGGTCGTCTCTTAAAGAAGGTGCAGGCCGTCAACCACTAGCCAAGCGGCTAACGGCGTCACTCAGACATGCCGTTCCCCTCCTCATTCTTGGTACTATCCGTCTCATCTCTGTAAAGGGCCTGGACTATGCCGAGCATGTCAGTGAGTACGGGGTGCATTGGAACTTCTTCTTCACTCTAGGGTTCCTACCACCCTTTGCTGCCCTCTTCCAAACAGCATTTGACTTGGTGCCTTCCTACGCTGTTCTCTCCTTTGCGCTCGCAGCAATCTATGAGATTGCTCTAGACTGGACATCGCTGGGATCCTTCATCCTGGTAGCCCCGCGAACTGATCTCTTCTCCCAGAACCGCGAGGGAATCTTCTCCTTCTTCGGCTATCTCGCCATCTTTCTTGCAGGCCAGTCACTGGGTGCTTCCGCTCTACCAAGACAACAGCAAATCCCAAAAGATGCATCAATCACAGACAAAGTCCGACAAGCTACTCTTGGCAAGCTTGTCACTACATCTGTGTTCTGGACTGTATTGTTCTACTTCTCAACCAGCTATTACGGTCTACGACTACCGGTATCGCGAAGACTCGCCAATCTCCCCTACTTCCTCTGGGTCTCGTCGTTCAACAGCTACCAAATCACCATATGCTGCGCGATCGAGACCTTCCTTTTCCCGAATCTCTACAAAGCTATCACTAAAGACGAAGAAACTCGGAGGAGTCGAGATGCTACCAGCACCGTTCTCTACGCTTTTAATCGCAATGGTCTGGCTGTTTTCCTTGTTGCAAACCTGCTTACTGGATTGGTCAACATGACGATGCCGACGCTGCATATGAGCGTTCTGCAGTCTATGGGGGTACTTGTGGCGTATATTGCTGCTGTTGCATGTGTTGCTATTGGGTTGGACTTTTATAATGTAACGATCAAGCTTTGAGCATAGTGTATATGTCATACCTTGCAGCGTTCGTAATGATAGTTGATATCATCCATCAATAGAGTTCTTGCTTCTTGAAATGACAAATACCATCTTTCAACTAGTCTTTCAAAAGTCACGGGCTACTCTCGGTGCAGCTACCTAATCGTACCCCGAGGTGCTCCAGCCCACATGTATGATAACCTGAAGTTCTTATACCCAAGAGGAATGGGTCAGCCTCATAGTCTCAGACCTACATCAAACACCACACCCAATACTTTGTAAAGTTTGCCCTAGCACTCACTCTCCGCCTCTTGTTTCGTATTTCTTGTAACGATTACACCTGCTCCTGCGTTCACTCACTTTCCAGATCATTCCCAAAGAGTCACTTGTACCACTCACCAGAGTTGCTATCAGTCAGTTCAGTCAGTCCGGAGCTCTCTGGACTGACTGAACTGACGTCCTGAGGTCACTGAACTGGACTGGACTGACTGCCAAGACTTTTCAATTAAACTAAAACTGACTGACTGAACTGACGTCGCCGCGGCCTGCGGACTGACTGGACTGACTGAACTGAGTTACCTGACGTCGAACTGAGATAAATGCTCCTGTACTTTTGAGATTTCTTCCTCTGATAGTGTGCGCGCTAGCCCAGAAGCTGAGGTAGTTGTTGGCTGTATACCAAGCCTCTTCCAGCTCTTCAAGCTCTGCAAAGCTGAAATAAGCTCTGGCTTCATATGGAGTCTCCGGGTGCCTAACATGTCGCCAAGCTCGCTGAAAGTCCGCTCACAGTCTGCCGCTGCTGCTGGTATTGTTAGGACGTCAATAGCGAACTTTGAGAGTATAGGGAACTGCCCAGCAACTGACTCCCAGTATAGAAGCGGATTAAGAGACAGCCAATCCTCCTCAGCTAACGCTGGTTGCCGCTTCCATATCTCATACTCATCCTCAGCAAGGCTTGCCTCTAACTGCCGTGTGCTTTGCTCAATTGACGACTGTAGAAAAGCTGATCGCGACGTTGAAATCCCTAGCCGGGGCTTCTTACGCGGCGGCGTTACAGTGTGAGCTGAAGTGGCTGCAGAGTCCTTCCGCCCCTGCCACATACGCAGGAATGCCCGGTGGTTATTGTCAAGCCAGCCGTCGCGATAGTGGACACCGTCACGGGCAGTGACATGGGTGTCAGGCACCTTCCAGAGCGCTGAGAGGTGGTGTTTGTAGTGCGGGTGTAGTATTGTAGCAGTGTAGTAGACAGGCGCGTTATCGAATTTTGCGTAGTACTCAGCAAGCTTACAATGCGCAAGGTTAACGTTTGTAATAAGATGATCTTCAGGCGCATCTAGATCTTCGTAATTTACATCCTTAAGGCGGTCTTTGAGAGCCTCAAGCTGGTCAAGAAGCCACTCAAACGTTACTAGAACTTCCCATATAGCGCCGTGTCGGCCGTGTCGGCCGCGACCTTCAAGTAGCCGTGCAGCTTCGGCAAATGGCTCAAGGAGTCGAATGTATTCTGTTATTGTCGCCCAGTCCTTGCCGCTTAGACCCCCTTCGCGTATATATAACCGTGGCTGGGCAGCAGGGAGCTGCTCACGATTCTTCCGGCGTCGTGAGGTTGCTGTTGCAGCACTATGCTCCTCAAGTTTACACTCAATATAGCCATCGATAGGGCCGTGTAGCTCAGCTGCACGGACAAACGTGTTGAAATAGCTATTCCAGCGTGTCTTAACAGGCTTCACAAGCTGCCGGATGTGGGGTGTAACACCTAGAGACTCTGCCTCCTCGCACTGTAGGCGCTCTAGTAGTTGTCGAGTTTGAGGCGTACAGATAGACGCAATCACGTCAAAGAGGACGCCAACAGGACCGTATTTGCGCCACTCATCCATGTACTTCTCCTCTTCCTCAAGGTGTGCGGCTTCATTCTCGTACGCGCTACGGTCTTTGCCCCAAATTACTAATTGTGCGCTTAGGTTGAGTATATGGCAGCAGCACCGCAGCCGCCGCTCGCTTGCGATAAAGCCAAACTCCTCTGCTAAGGACTCAACTGCAGTATCATTGTTACTTGCGTTGTCAAGCACAAAGTACCCAACCCTCGCGTTGTCAACGCCAAATAGCCGAAGTATTGTTGTTGCTGCAGCGGCAATATTATTGCCAGTGTGCGCCCCGTGTAGCTCAGGCAACCCAAGCAGGTGGTCAACTAGCTTGCCCTCGCTGTTAAGGTAATGTACGCAGAGGCCAGTAAAAGCATACTGCCCACCAGTTGAAGTCCAGTTGTCGAATGACACGTGTATAAGCGACCGGGCTTCGCGAAGGTAGTTGGCAACAGCTAGTATGTATGTATTGTACTCAGTAATAATATGATCGTGGAGCGTTTAGTGGCTACGCCAAAGGAGAGCTTCGGCTAGCGGGCTCACGGCCGCAATCATGGCTCGAAACTGCGGCGTTTCTATTACGCGAAGGCTCTGGTTGTCCGCGACTACCCAGTCCTTCAGCGCGTCCTGAAATCGAGAGGTTGAAAAGCTTGCTGCTATCTCGTTTGCTACCTCTTGCGATACTTCTATCCCTTTAGACCTCATAATATATACTTGGGACTTTGCGAGCGCGCCCATAATATTGCCCTCCCGGCTAGCAATTGGTACAGGTCCGTTAGGTCCGTGTGAGTGTCCAGGCTTGTTGCTTGAGAGGTGTCGGCCGGCGTTTGTAGTGCTGTCAGCCTCGTAGCAAGCCTCCTGCTTCCGTCGTTGATGGCAGTACCGGCAAAGCCAGTAGTTTTTCTTGTACTTGCGGTGCCAGACGGCCCAGCCGTGGCGGTAGATCCAGCTTTTTGGCCCACCGCGACTATTACGCTCAACCTGGCGCCGCTCAAGATACGGCACACGCTTAAAATCAAGCCCGTCGTAATTGTCGTCGTCGTCGTCGTCGTCGCCGTCGTTGGGGAAGTCCGCCTGTACTGCCAAGGGCTCATCAGCCTGGGCCTCGCTCGCAGTATCGCCAACAGTAGGCGCGTTTGATAGCGATGGTAGAGGAGAATTGCGCTTGTCGCATTCTACAAGGCGGCGAAGGCCTGAATTAGAGGGAGTAGACATGAAGTACACCAAGAAGTATTATGGCAACAGTAGTCTAGCGTCGTGTGTATAGCAGACGCGACGCGACGCGACGCGAAAGGCTTACTAGGTGCGCACCGGGTAGCGCATTTCCGCAAACTCTAATTAGCTTAAAGCCAGATGCTTTAACTTATATAGGATTAGTGTCTTTATATCTAGGACTAGCGCGGCTTCGAAGCCGCACTAAATGTGGCTTTCACAACTCTAAAATACTGCTTTAAAAACAGCTAACGTCAGTCTAACGTCAGTCAGTTCAGTCAGTCTGGAGGCTTCTGAACTGACTGGACTGACGTCCAGCTGCCTCAAGAACTGACTGACTGAACTGAGTCTTGGCAGTCAGTTCAGTCAGTTCGAACTGAGTTACCTGACTGATAGCAAGTCTGCCACTCACCCACCCACTATACATATAACCCCCAAACTCAGCCACGAAACCAACATCCCACAACCAAAAAATCCCAGAAAACCATGCCCTCTCCAACCAACCCATTCGGACAGTCCCCAATCCCATGTTGGTACCCCTCCCCCAAACCACCAGCGTAAGTCCCTCTTACTCCTTACACCCCCCTCTCACAAACACTAAACCCCCCCAACCAGCAACGTATACGACACCCCCATCACCATAATCGTCGGCCACCCCGGTTCCGAAAAGACCTACCACATCTACCGCAGCCTCCTCTGCCACCGCTCACGCTACTTCGACCGTCTGCTAAACGGCCCCTTTGCAGAATCCGGTGCAAACACGCTGCGTCTTAAACACGTGAATAGTGCTACATTTCAGGTTTTCTACGATTGGATAAACACTGGTGTTGTTGATTTTACAACTTCCATAGCACGCACACTCACTGATAGACCCACAGACGGAGCAGACGCAGACGCAGACGCAGCAACACCCCTCCTCATCCTCTCCGCCTACACATTCTCAACCTACCACCTCATCCCCCTTTTCTCCACCGCCCTCCTCGACGTCTTCTACACCCACACCATGCAAACCCAGCGCCTGCACGCATGTCTGATACCGGTGCTGTATAAATACACTACCGAGGGCGATGCGATGAGGCGGCTTTTTGTTGATCTGTGGATTGAAAGTAGGGGCGCTGAGGGGGTGGGGAAGAAGGTGTTGGAGACGTTGGAGGGGGAGTTTTTCGTGGATTGGGTGGTGGGGTGTAGGGAGAGGGGATTGGTGTTGGGGGGGAAGGGGTGGGAGGAGAGGATGAGGAGGGTGAGGAGAGGGGGGTTTTGTGCGAGGTATCATCGGCATGGTTAGGCGGGTTGATAGGGTTTCTTGTGCGAGAGGGGATGTCACGCAGGAATTGGTGAATGTGTTTGATGGCCGTTCAAAGGGGTAGTAGATTATAGGAAGGAATTAGCTAATCGCTCGAAATACGTCCTAGCGTCATTCAACGACATGTTCGCTCCTTTCCGTTGCTCCTTTTCAGTAACTTCTGTTCCACGTGCCTCTTGTAACTCCCGGAACGTCGCCTCAGGATTGGGCTGATTCACGACCTGCATATTAACACTGCCAGTCTGTACCTCGTTGCCACCAACAACGATAATATGATTGTACTTTTTCGATCTAGCCTCTGCAATCTTCTTCGCAAGCGGACGACTACTGGTATCAACATCAACAGGAAGTTGGATTGTTGATAGAGGTAGAGGCTTTGGCGAGGATGTTGATACTTGTGATGGTGGGTCTGCTGCCTTTAGACCTGATAGCACGGACTGAACGCGAGACACGTGTTCAAGGACTTCAGCATTATTGTTGAGGGAGAGAATGATTGCGGGACGAGGTGAGAGCCAGAACGGATACTTGCCGACGTAGTGCTCGATCAGGAGAGCCATGAAGCGCTCGATGGAACCGTAGATGGCGCGATGTACAATGACCGGCCGGCGGAGTGTGGGATCAAGGCCCGCATCCATGGACGTCTGTGATCCTGCCTCTAGCTCTTCGGGTGATGCTTGGTACTGCAGATCAAATCGCTGCGGCAACTGGAAATCAAGCTGTATGGTGGCCGTCTGGTGCTCTTTGCCGTTTGAATCTTTCAAGATGATGTCGATCTTGGGGCCGTAAAAGGCACCGTCTCCTTCGTTGATGGCCCACTCGCTTCCGATATTGTTCAGTGCTGTAGTGAGCTGCTCTTCTGCACGATCCCATTCCTCTACTGTGCCAATGAAGTTGTCTTTTGGCCGGGTCGATAAGAGTAGTTTGTAGGGACCCAGACCAAACGTCCTATATACCATAGCCACAAACTTGAGTGTCTGCTCAATTTCTGCCAAGATCTGGTCTGGCCGACAGAAGATGTGCGCATCGTCTTGATGAAAGCGTCGGACCCTCGTCAGGCCCGTAAGTGCGCCTGAGATCTCGTTCCGATGTAAGGCGCTGAAGTCTGCGAGCCTGACTGGCAAGTCCCTGTAGCTCTTGATCTCATCCCTGAACAGCAAGCAGTGGCCTGGGCAGTTCATTGGCTTCAGCCCAAACTCGCCATCCTCGCCGCCCTCTGCTTCTGGTATTTGCGCGGTTGTCCCTCGTCCCTGGACACTGAACATGTCTTCAGCATAGTTCTCCCAATGTCCCGACTTCTCCCATAGCGACTTTTTGTATATTATCGGCGTGATGACTTCTTGAAAGCCGAACTGTGGGTACTGCGCGCGAAGAAATGACTGGAGTTTCTGGAACACGTAGGCGCCATTTGGGAGGATCAGTGGCGAACCGGGACTGTACGGCGATGTAATGAACAGATTATGGGTCTGCGCAAGCGTTCGGTGATCCGTGGGAGGTGCGGGTGGAGCAGCAGTCGTAGTGTTCAGTTGCGCATTGGTGGGTGGTTCAGATGAGACAGTCACCGTGTGCTGCAATTGCTGCAGCGCAGAGCACGAACAGCTCCTAACAAAAACACGAGCATACTTGCGCGTCCCTGCTATTTCTATCGGCCTTTTTCTAAGGGCTTGCAGTACAACGGAAAGCTGGCGCAATGGCGGCATCGAGAAGACTTTCCAATTTCGACATGTCCACAGGCCCAAGATGCATCTGCAGACTAGCCGTCTTGGCAGAGGGGAGCCCTAACATGACGTCGACGCGTCTGCAGGTCAACACCAACTCGCGGGGAGTTGCTGGCACCCCAAGATTGCGCTAGAGCTATGTTAGGGCTTCTTTGTGAGTTCGAGCTGATGATGAAGGCACCCAGCGTCCCGTGACGCACTTGGGCCAATACGCCCCGCCTTCTGACTGGTCGCGATTGACCCCACGTCACACTTGGGAGTGGCGACTTGTTCTACCAGCCTCCTACACATTCATAGACAACATGAATCAAAACAATTGAATCATCTTTCGCATTGGGCTCCCCAACACTACAATTAACCCCCCTTGCTTTTGACCTAGTTCATCCAACGACTTTACCTCATAGCTGCATACTATCAACCCTCATTCCACCACGCCAAGTATGAGCGCACATGCCCGGCGACTAGAACACAGCCTAGGGAGCAGCTGGGGCGAAGCCGACTACGTATCCGACGAAGGGGGTTCCTTTGATTCTGGAAGCGACGGCGCTAGCGAATTGGACTTGGAAGATTCGGACAAAGAAGTTGTACAAGAGCGTCGAGCGCTGCCAACACCAAGACGTCATCGTAACCAACAGAGTCCACCAGTACCTACAGCGCAGACAAAAAGCACACCAGTCAGGAAGCCGACAGAAAGAAAGAAAACAAGCCAGTCCCAGCATCTGCACTCTGACAAGAAGGGCCCCAGACAACATCCATTTGAGCCGAGCTTCATCATGCCTTCCATGGACAACTCATGGAGCGGGTTTAACCTGCCGCCCGCACAGAAGCCTCAGCGGCGAAAGCGAAGAGACACGGTACCGGACCGTCTATCCAACGCTTCAGGTATTGCTCCTACTTCTTTCAAGGAACGCCGTGTCGATAGCCACCAGGAAGTGAGCCCATGGCACTACGTAAGCCTCTTTTGGGAGAACGTCCTTGCGCCGTTGATTGGCCACTTTCTTGATGTATTATCCTATGCCTTGCGATACTTCATAAAACCCATCCTAGGCGTGCTGCTGGGCCTTGGTATTCTAGCCTTCAGCTTCAGGCTAGCCTCCGGCATGCTTCGCTTCACGGTTTCCAACGTAATCATGGGTCCAGTGTGTGCGATACCAGGCTCTTCATACCTCATCACAGCATGCGATACTTCTTATTCAAGCCACCACGCCAACTTTGAGGAAGTCACAAGTGTGCAAAGTCGCTTTGAAGATATTGTCCATGCAGCCAAGGATACCTACTCCCTACCTGCCACGATCAAAAATTCCGAGCTTGCAATCCGCGACCTGCGCGTCCTTGTCAGGCACTCTCATTTGCCAAGCCGCGAGGCATTGGAAAACGAATTTAATTACTTTGTTCTCACAGCCAATACAGCCTCTAGGGAGCTTTCTCGCTTCAATACCCAAATAGGCGGAGCTTCGGATCGCTTAGTCGCGGCGAATCAATGGACAATGAATGTTCTCTCCGGCATCAGGGATCAAGACGCATCCACTGGCATCGCCTCGCGGGTTATCGACCAGGTCGTTGGTACATTCGTAGCGGGACCACCAACTCTTCAGGAACGCATTTATGATCAATACATTGTCCACCTCGGCAGGAACAAGGAGGAGATCACGAAGCTCATCAGCAAGGCACAAGCTCTGCTCATTATCCTCAATAGCCTTGACGATCGCCTAGAGGCTATTCTCGAGATTGCGACACGCGACGACCAAACCGTTACACGCAATCAAGAGGAACTCTTGGCCTCTCTATGGACAAAGCTAGGTGGTAACCGGACCAACGTCGCAGCCAACGCAAAAGCCTTGAATCTTCTTTCCAACATTAGCGCTTACCGCAAGAAAGCTGTCATGCACGTTACTCAAACCCTGCTCAAGCTCCAGGAGATTCAGGACGAGTTGGAGAATTTGAGGGAGGGTGTTGCAGCACCTGAAATCCTGGGGTTTAGGGGTGATTTGCCGTTGGAGTACCATATTAATGCTATTGGAAAGGGCATAGAGAGGCTGCAGATCAGCCGAGGCGAACATATGCGTGTGGAGGCTGAAACATACAAGAAGCTCATGCATGCAGGCGAGGAGGGGGATGATGAAAGGAGGGAAATAGGCGATGGTCCGACGACTATTACCGCAAAACCTCGATAAAGGACATGTTGTCTTCGTCTCTTGGATAAACGACGAGACCAAGCGTTTGATTTTTGATTTGGCTTTCCCATAACCCAGTCCCATCCCCCCAACATTCCTACCTAGATACCCTCGCCTTTTCTATAGTCCCCAACTCATTCTTTCAATCAATACATCTGCACTTCAACCAAACATCTCCGAACCCCTTCTTCCAAACCTTCAAACTCCACTTCAACACCCACACACCCCCTCCTCGCACACTCCTCCCTAAACCCATCCACACTGCCCCCAACACCGAAATACACCCGCTTGGCCGCCACCACCGTCTTCCCCATCCTCACCCTACCCATGAGTCCCACAATGGCATCCGTAAACGCCTGAAGCGACGCTGGACTGTAAATCGTTTCAGAACCCAGGATGAAAGTGTTCATCTCGGGTGTTGACGGGATCAAGGGAAGTAACTCCGCAACTGGGGTCCAGGATCCAGAGATCAGTGTTATCGTAATACCCCTTTCCTCCAAACTCTTCTTGAACGCGGTGAGTAGATGGGGGGTTATGCGTAACTCGCCTTCGTCCTCCCACTCCCCACCGTCATCTCCAACACCGTCATCCCCCTCCTCACCAGCAGCAGCAGCAACCACGCCCCTCCGCTCCCCTAACCCCAACCCCGCCCGCCACGCCAACACAAGATTCGGCACAGTAACCAACCTCAACACATCAGCATTATAATCCGTCAGCGTAAAATACATGCCCAACCCGTTCCTGAGCGCGTACTGGAAAAGTAGTAATGAGGGCAAGGCGCTCCCGCAACCCATTTCTACAACGTGGTCGACGCGCACGAGGTCGTCGAGGTCTTTTCGGGGCCCGCGGTCGAGAAGGTAGCGCACGAGGTCTAGGCTGCATTCCCAGGTTTTGTAGCCGCCTTCGTAGATGTTTGGGCGGAGGTCTGTTGTCTGTGGGTGTGGGTGTTAGGGGTGGTGGTTTATGAGAGGAAAAGGGATGATAAGGAGAGGAAAATGGATAATAAGAGAGAGGAGGGTATATATATACATACATCCAACCCAGCCAACGCCTCCTTTCCCACCTCATCGTCGTCATCCTCGGCCATAATCTGCACCCTTACATCGAATAACTCTCTTCGCGGTAGCTTGGCCGTGAAGCCTTTTGGACTGGTGATGCTGAGGGTTGAGTAGGATATTTTTTCTGGGAGGGATGATAACTATATTTTACGTTAGATTTCGTCTCTACATGTTCACATTTTCACATTTTTTTCTGATTAATGGTCTTGGGGTTGGGTTTGTGTAGATATGACTGGTTACAATGAAATGGGTTGTGGTAGACTTGACTTACTAGTGCATCAAAGTCATGTGCTTTGGCTGGGATGGGCGGCGCTAGTGTGTCTGCATTTGCGTCTTGGTTGCGTTGGGTTTGGCTTTGGTCTTGCTGGGTGTCGTTTGGGTCTTCTTCTATATCGTCGCCTAAGAAGCCGAAACTGAAGGCCATTTTCTTTATTCTTCTTGTTTTGGGGATTTGCGTTGGTAGGGCTTGAGCGGGGGTGTGGCATGTGAAAGATAATTTTGGGGATTTGGCTTATCGATAAGAGGTGGTATGTGCGTGGGTGAATACATGGGATGTGGGAGAGGCGGGTGGTCGTATGATGTGATGATATTGGGTTATGGGTTTTATTGTAGGGGCTTGACAACAATATTCTGAAGGATGTCGGGTATCCATGTCATGTGTATCCAGCACGCACTATGCGATATATACTCGGCATATGTACACGACCCCGCGACCAGCACGTCACTTATGTTATCACCCCATATCACTCCCTCTTGATCTCTGCGTCCTTCTCTTCTTGTCGGTCCTCTGCAAGCGTCCTTTCCATTTGCCGAGCACACGCCTCCATCGTCTCCTTGTCCAACTCCCACCCCGTTGTATCCACACCCTTTGCCTGTGCGTCTGCAATAATCTGCTGGCGCTCCACAATCTTCTCGCGCATGAGTCTTATAGCACCGCCCAGTACGACGGCCTCGCTACGTCCTTGACCTTCGAGGCCAGGCACGATGGAGGCGAGCCGGTCGAAGCCTTCTCTAATGGCTTCGCGGCGTTTTTGCTCGGAGCGAATGTGGTTCTCCTTCTTCTGGGCTTCGGTGAGGCGGGGCCGGTCGGCAGGGTTGGTAGGGCTTTGAGAATCGGGCATCGTGGTGGGGGTCGTGGTGGATGCGCTTGTCTTGCGCGGTGGTGGCTGATTCGTGAGGTTTCAGACGCGTGAATTGTTTACGTCGCGGCGTCTATGGATGAGGGTTGTATGTGTTGTTACATGCCGAAACTGTGCAGGGCAGTGGCGACTTGGTGATTCTAGATGGAAAGGTACGATGGAATCACGCTACCCGATTTCGTTGCAAGTTACCTAGGCATCATGAAGTTTGTGCATTTGCCATTCATGTGCGGGCCCAGGTGCCGAGCTCAGAGGTACATTGTAAGCATATGGCACAGGCAAGTTACCTCAGGCAGGTATTACAATCATGCGATGAAGTGACATTGGGTGACTGGAAAGTCGCATGTGACGAAGGTCGGCTATCGATATGAGGGTGACGTTTGCTGGCATTTGCCGGTAGTTAGCTGACACGGTAGGTGCGCAAGTAGGATAGCTCGGGAAGACATGGCGCCATAGAACAAGAATCGTACGGGTAATTAAACTAAGGAAAGCTTTGTTTCAATGGCGACGTGAGAGACCCAGTCAGCAATCTAGGGCTCCGGGCTCCCTGCAAACCATCAACAAGTGACGCACTGCGGTGGATCTTCGCGCCACCAGCAGCCCGTCAGCCACGAGCCACGAGCCACGACGCGACGCCCAAAGATACTGCCGACAACACCAAATCTCGGTCTAGGACCAGATTCAGACAACACCGTGAAAGCAGACGTCCCGGTCTTGCGGACAAGTCACAAGAGAAGGCACGACCCCACCAAGTCATCCCGCTGGGCAGCTGCAGCCCCCGAACACGCATAGCACCACGACGGCCGTGATATGCGCCCAACTGCGGCCATACTCCTGCACCCACACAATTGATCCCCAACACGACCTCTGCAATGGAGGGCACCCGGGGGAGCAACCGTCGCATAAACAGCCTTGCTTCGCGAGAGGGTCTGCAACGCCAGGGCTCCGCGACCGCCCGTGGGAAGCGCCCCGTATCCGCCCAAGATGCCTACCTCTACGCCCTCCGCGTGGCATATCTGGCATATCTGCTCCAGCCTCGCCAGAAGCGAGTTCAGCATGTGCCTGCCGCGCCCAAGCAAGTCCAGCGGTCCTCGACGTCCATCAACGACCTCATGAAGGACTTCTCTCTAATAAGAGATTCCAAGAGCACCCGCTTCCCTCGCGACTTCATGGCCGCCCTCGATAAGCGGATAACAAAGGTGCTGATGGGCACAGAGCGCATGCCTGAGTTTCAGGATGCCACGGTCAAGCGGACGTTTGCCGTCTTCTTGAACGCCTTCAAGGATCCGTCTTTTAGGAAGAACATGGACAAGGACAGGAGAGTTGAGGATTTGCTCTTGATCTTCTACTCAAACGCCACAAAGGAGCTGGGCAAAGGCAAGGCGCCAGGAGACGACAGTTGGAAGCTCATGGTGGACCGACATGTTGCTCTCTTCCTACGACTCGTTAGCTCTATCCTCGTGCACTACGATTGGGCCAAGGACCGCCCAGAACTCGCCCATCGACTGGCCACCATGGAAAAGAAGCTTTTGGTACATGATCAGGATCTAGCAGCCGAGAATCAGCGTAATGGCGGGTCGGGAGGCAAAACAGTCGAAGTGGAAGTCCCAAGAAGCTATGAGGTCAAAGATATGCCACTGGTCCTGGTGGTGTCACGCATCTTTGCTGTTGGGTACTCCGACGTGCAAGCCGATATCGATCGATATAAGGCTGTATGGACTGAAAAGGCTGCTTTGCAGGATCTCAAGACCTATCAGGCACATCTGAGTCTCATGACAAAGAAGACGCTCAACAGCGACGACTTTGATACCGAAGAGGCTTATGAGGCGTGGAAGAATCAAGAAATACCAGACCTCTCGCAGATGATTCTAGCCATCATCCAGTCCAACCCGGAACTTGCAAAGAGTTCTCCCGGGTCTGTACCACAATTCAGGCCAAAGTCAACTTTGGACCCCCTCTCTAGTGGATCCAGGCAGGGTTCTGTGTCCTCTGAGAACAGCTACGTCATTGACCAGCCCGTGGACATGAGCGGGCTCAACATCTCAGACGACCCAAATGACACGTCGTCATATACCTTTATACCCACAGATCCACGTGCCACGTACCGTGCGATCCTGAAAGAAGCATTGACGTACGACTTGGCGGATACCGAACTTGAACCAAGCGAGGCAACTAGCGAGGACCCGCCTGTCAAGCTACTGTCAAAGCACTCGGCCGAACTCTTGAACGAGATAGCCGTCAGGTGGCGGATTCCTCAGTTTTCGCGTCTTGTATTGTTCCTGGATGTCATCCGCGACAAGTACATTGACCAAGAAATCAGTCTAGATACTCTCGACGCAGCCTTTAACTACGTCAAGGAGCCCCCGCCAGTAGACACCAAGTCACGTCGAATGAGTCAAATCCCAGTACAAGAATCCTTGTTTGATCGGTCCAAGTGGACAATTCAGGACTATGCACTTAATCAGCAGATCTTGCTAGCGTTACACGACTGCTTGTTGCGTGAACTGTATGAGCTGATGATGTGCGTGTACGACCCCAAACCGCCTGGGCTCGGGCCAGTCATGTACATACTCGAGAGCCACATCTACGACGATCCCACGTTTCCTGGCACAGAGGAAGACATGGACAAGTTCACTGAGCAATTACGCCAGGGCTTGAGACAGAAGGCTGGTGAAGTGTATCGTGAGCTTCTCGCAAAGCATATCCCCGACACCAAAGAAGAGTGGGAATTCTTCCATGTTATCGAGCTTGGACGCGCCGTGGTTAAGCTCTGCGAGCGTATACAGAAGCGGTATCGGAAGAACCCTGAAGTCATGGGCGCTAGCCCTATGATGTGTCTTGTGGAGAAGATGTTTCCTGCGTATGCTGCCGATGCGCGAGACCTGGTTGCGCGGATTATGGATGTTGCGCATAGCAAGGGAGAAGATGTGCCAGTACAAGATGGATTCGACTTGTACAAGGAGCTTGTCGAGATTCGTCGCATACACAGCGATGCTCTACCAGACAAGAGCTTTGCATTTAGCATTGAAGATCAGCTACAGGACTTTGTCTGGAGATGGATTCAAATGACAGACCAAAACTTGATTGGGTGGGTCGAGAACGCCTTCAAGGCAGACCAGTTCCAGATTGAGTCGCAGAATCCCATTCCTATGGACGATGAGCGCCACAGCGTCTCAGTTGTGGACATTTTCCGGTCGTTCAATCAGAGTATCGAGCAGATTGTTGCCCTGAACTGGGATAACGACGTTCAATACGCTAAGTTTATGACAGCCGTGTCAAAATCGATTGGTATCGCACTTGCAAGATACTGCGAGCTTGTGGAGCAAAAGTTCGCCAAAGAGATGGACCGCCTTACGCCCGAGCAGGAAGCTGCTGCTAATCAAACAAGACAAGAGAAGTGGTTGTCTACGGTCAAGGACTTTTACAGCCAAAAGGAGAATGTCGAGCCGTTCCAGTTTTACCCAGAAGTAAGTAATGAGTTTGATGTATATGTTCGAAACTAATGAGTCTAGTCCCTTGTCAAACTCAACAACATCGAGTATGCAATGCAGCAATTAGATAAGCTCGAGCGCGAAATTGGTGTAGACGCTTGTGCAGAGGTTATCCAAAAATACTCTCCGCCACCAGCTCAACGCCCGCGAAACAACAACTTTGTCTTTACCATCAAGATCATCGAGGCTGAAGACCTGAAGGCGTGCGATATGAATGGACTCAGTGATCCTTATGTTGTTCTGGGTGATGAGTACCAAAAGCGTCTGGCAAAGACTCGGGTAGTCTATCGCAACCTGAACCCACGCTGGGATGAGACAATCGACATTACCACCAACGGTCCGCTCAACGTGGTTGCCACGATTTGGGATTGGGATGCCATGGGTGATCATGACTGTGTTGGTCGTACATCACTCAAGTTAGACCCATCGCACTTCCGAGACTACATGCCCCGCGAGTACTGGCTCGATCTGGATACACAAGGTCGCCTGCTGCTGCGTGTGAGTATGGAGGGAGAGCGAGACGACATCCAATTCTACTTTGGCAAGTCATTCAGAACACTTAAGAGGACTGAGCGTGACATGACACGGAAGATTACGGACAAGGTAGGCAGATTGTTATTTGGTGTATGGTTCCAGCTAACATCATCAGCTCTCATCCTTTATTGGATACAAGCTCTCTCGCCGGTCGCTTGATGCCCTGCTCAACAAGGGTGTTGCCTCAAAAGTAACGAATTACTTGGGCAACTTCCGATCCGCTCGACCCATGTCGGTTGTCCAAGGTCCTACACAGCACGACATCGCGTCGGCACTTGGTCCTTTGTTCACCTACTTTGACGAGAACTTTGCCATCATGAAGCAAACACTGACTGATGCTGCCATGATCATGGTCATGACGAGATTGTGGAAAGAGGCCTTGGCAACAATAGAGTCCCTACTTGTACCACCACTTTCCGACAAGCTATCACAACAGCGCCCGTTGACTCAACAAGAGCTCGACATCGTTTTCAAGTGGTTGAAGATGTTGTTCGACTTCTTCCACGCAGTTGATGAGGACGGTAACGTTGAGGGTGTACCCATGGACGTTCTCAAGTCGCCGAAATACCACGAGCTCCAAAACCTAAACTTCTTCTACTTTGAGGCGACGGAAGATCTCATCCGCACATCTGAATCCATGGCTGCAGCCAGCGCACGAAGACAACAAGAGCAGACACAACGGTTGAACCGCATGTCTGCACCACCCACCATGGGTCATCAATTCGGTGGTGCTGCGGGACTTGTTGGTATGCCGACTAGAAAACACAAGACTGTCATGCTGTCACGTAACCTGGGTACAATGAAGAAGGCCAAGGAAGAGAAGAGAAAAGAAGCACAGGCCGAACCCAATGACGATATGATATTGCGTATATTGAGAATGAGGCCCGAGGCGGAACGCTACCTCAAGGATCGAAGTAGACAAAAGGTATGACATTGATCCATTTGCGCGTCCTGAATCCTGCTAATAATACCCCCACAGGAACGTCTTGCCGCCGCCCAAGCCGCAGAAATGATAGTCCGCCAAAGTCTCAACTCTGGCGGTGGACGTATGACAGGCCCGTCGAGACGTTAAAAAGAGTGTGCTTTTTGTTCTCTCTTCTCTTCTCTTCTTTTTTTACTTCGCAGATGTTCTTCTTTCTCTTCTTCAACACACTCTACTTTGGCGTTTTTTAAATATCTTCCTCTTCGTCTTCGTCTGATACCTCTGCATCATTATAACTGGCTGATCAGGCGTCTTTAGCTGGGGAGCAGGCGAGTTTTTTTTCTGTTGTTCTGTCTCGGCGTTTTTTTGGTGGGGGGTTGTGAGATGGATGGTGTCGTATGTCTTACTATTGCGTTTTTATATTTTTCTGGTGATGATGGGGTATGTGGTGATGAGGTGGGGGGTGAGGCGTATGGATGGGGGTATGGGGAATGGGGGATGGATGGGGTAAGGTTGTAGGTAGATAGATGAATATGTATGATGTTTTAATGCAAGGGTTGGTGTTTCTGTCGGGGCGTTTTGTGGGTGTTGACGGTGTGTGATTCAGTTTACTTGCTTTTGCTCTCTTCGTTCTGTCTCTCGCTCACTCACCATCAATTGAAAAATCATATCTCTCGTGTATCAGTACTTGATCAAGCGCCGACCGTTCGCGCAAGTGTAGGCTGACATGTACAGTGGCAAATTTCCGGCAGTGCAGCTTCCAGGTGCCTCTCCACTAGATCGTCCCGATTGAGACAGCTTGAGCATCCGTTTGCTCTGCCAGGCAACCGTAGAGGTCCTACGCACGGAGCAATGTATGGGACTAATCGCGCTAGTCTATTCGTTGCCTTTTGGCTACTTTGGATCTGTTGACCCCTCTTCTGTTGTTAGCTTCGCTACTCTTTTCAACTTCACCGGGGCCGCACAATTGTCGACTCGGCACTTTGTACAGCACATCTCTCAGCGCTCAGCGCGCGACACGCAGCCTCAGGGCACACTGGATCGAAATGGGCGCCCAGCCAGTCGCCGCTGCCGAACGCATACCTTGCAGCCACCGGCCCTCTAAGCTCCCGCCTAGCACCTACGACAGAATCTTCGCATTGACTGTCGAGAACGACTGTGACGACTTCGAAGACAAGGTCTTCCATGTTTACCGTGAGGTCTTGAAACATTCTTCTATCTGGTTCAGCAAACGTTTGGAAGATGAGTGGAAAGGAGATACAGGCTCTATGAACCTCCATAAATACAAAACCCCTTTTTGCTCTGCCGTGGATATTTTCGAACTCTTCTTCTACTGGCTGAACACAGGAGAGCTTGCCATCTCAACCTTCGCCGCGCACATGGTATTGGAGTCTCTGGCTACGGCTTACGAGTTTTCGAACGAGTATGATATTAACGAATTTGGTAATGCTCTTTTAGATGCCTTCTACCTCCATCTTGTTGAGCTGGGCGTGATGATTCCGTCTACCATCGTGGCCATCTACAAACTCACAGAAGAAGATAGTGAGGTGCGACGGATGTCAGCTGAATGGGTCTTTGAGAATGGCGATACTGCTATGTCAACATCTCGTCGCAAAAAAATTGACAGGGATATTCTGTGGGAAACTATCAACATGTCGTACGAGCATAAACAAGGAGTCGGCTATCTGAAGCGCCTAACAAAGGGCCAGCGCCTTGATCATATTCAGAACGCCAAAGATCACCTCTGCGAGAATTTTCACGATCATGACTTGGAGTCAATCAAAACCGATGAGGATTAAGGCAGCGCATCACCTCGCTGTTCCGATTTTCACGGCTAAGAGCGACGGATAACGGCGTGGAAGCATCCGAACACAGCATCAATGCACTGGCTTTGCTCCAGGGAGAAATGGATACTACATTTGGGATGGATTCCATACTGGTGGAGGACCGGAACTACGTGTCTTGTTCAAAGCCGTAGAGAGTTCACACCCTTGGAGGACTGTAACTACTTGTTCAAATCCGTAGAGAGATACTACCGATCGAACTCAACTTCAAGTTCAAATCTAGTTTACAAATCACATGCACCTCGTGAACTAACCCACCCCAAGCGTAGTCCTTACATACATGGCTCTTCCAATCCCTAATCTAGCACATGATTTTCCTTTCTAGTCACAGTGACCATCTCATCACAAACTCTGTATATCCCATGACGTAACCCTGCTCCCCCCAAGTGCGCACATGCGCTTGCTACACTGCACCACGTGCACAATACCGCGAGATATAAGATCTTCCTTCCAGCAAGACTTGGGATGCGCGATATTTACATCTCACCGGCAGGCACCTGAGTGTCATGGAATACTTCACATACTAGTGTACAACGGCTACTGTAGTCGCTAGACACGCTTGTTAGGTGTTGCTTACACACACTTTCAGGTACTTTATGATATCTAGGTGCTGGTTATAATGTGTTGTATAGAATGTTTTAACTGCGGTTGCTGGATACATGCTTGGGGTGAAGTGCGTGTGCTTCTTCACTTTCACTTTCATTTTCACTTGTTTGCACGTGCACTCTGCAGCTTAAGCCGCTTGGGTATATAGCTTGAACTTCTCGCCGCCTACACCACAAACCCCTCTATACCAGCACTCACCCACCCACTACCACCCGCATATCGAAGAAATGCCACCCATTACAGTGCCATGCTGTGCGCCATACGTCCCCCCAGTGTTCACCACCAACAGCAAAGACGTGATTTTCAAAGTTGGCCATGGTAGTGAATGTAAGGAGTTTGAAGTGGAAGCGGCGCTCGTGCGGGCTTGTCCTGGATGCTTCCGCGATTGGTATGTAACTGTCTTGTTTTAGCTTTTTTTGTGTCAGGGCTTGATCTGAAGATGGAAAAGGGGCAAAGGATGTGATATTAACAATGGCATAGGCTTAAAAAGAACCAGAAGAACCCAAACAAGGAAATGGCATTACCAGATGAAAAGCCAGCAGTGTTCTCGGTTTTTGTTGCGTTTCTGAAGACTGGCACGATTGTCATCCCCTCCGACGACCATGATACGAAGGACGACACGGATGAAGGCAGAAGCGAAGACATAGATAAAGACATGAATGATGACGTATACGAAGAGAGAAACAGCGACACGGACGACCCACACACCAACACGTATATCGACGAAGGCACACAAACCCCCGCCATCCACATGCTCATTCCGCTATTCACCTTCGCCAAAGACCATGTCATCCTCCCCCTTCATAACGCCATTCTCTCCACCATCATCACCACCACGTCCATAACCCCCCTCCACACCATGTACGCATTCAACCGCCCCGCATACGACGCTACATCGCACCCCTCCCCCCTCCGCGATCTTCTCATCTGCACCATCCTCGCGATCGGCAGCGCCTCAGAAATGCAAACCAGGCTAGACATTGTCCCCAAGGAATTTCTGGCAGATTGTTTGGGATTGGCGGCCGAGGTGGAAGGCGTACCTTTTCAAGAGGGAGGCAGACTGGGGAAGCAGGGATGGTTGGCGGATAAGGCGGAACGAGTTTGTGCCCAGTACCATGATCATCACGACAGGGATTCGGATACGGATACGGATGATGGTAGGAGTGGAAGGAGGCATAGTCCTAATCCGAGGGTTTGGCAAAGGTTTTTAGGAAGGGCAAGTATGAGGAGAGGAAAGGGGTGGCGTAATGGACCGAGGCCTGGGAGTGGAATGGTTGGAGGACGAGGTGGGTATGGAAGAGGTGGGGGGAGGGGAAAGAGCGAGGAGGACGAGTGGAGTTTGTCTGACGAAGTAGAAGACAAAGAGGATGATGAGGGGGTTAGGGAAATGAAGAGGCTATTCCAGGAGGAGTCTGATGCGAGGATGAGGGATTTGCTAAAGCCCTTGCCGCCGAGAGAGCGGTACTAGAGGGGTCATTGAAAATGAGGGGATGGGTCTATACTTTTAGATTGTGGCTTCACGATTAGAATCGAATTAATGAATTACTTGATCAATTAGCTCTAGGGTGAGTGTACTTCTAGGTTGTCTGATTGGCTTTGAAGCTGAAAGATTGAGTTGCTTGATTCAACCTTGCTTCACTACCTCATGTCTTAAACACGATAAAGATAGTCATACAAATGTAACATGTGCTTAACATAGAAACCCTACAAATTGAACTTGATAGCTTACAGTAATTCTACCCTCATGTGTTCCGTCCCTTGAGATGAAAATTGAAATCCCTGTTCACCAGCTTCAAACCATGCAGCAAATTCAGATATATCGTATAGTAGCCAGGATATATTCGGTTAGATAGTACATAACCGTCTCTTCCTTGATCACTCCCTGTAGTTATCTGGAGTCCTCAATGTCATCTACTTCCTGCCATCCATACTCTTTGTATACCGTCTGGGGTCGCTAAAAGGAGTGTCCACGTCTGCATTCAATGGCCTGAAGTACCTGTCGATGCCGTATCCCTATCACTACAGTGACGTTGTGGGTACTGATGCTCTTGTCGAGTCACTCAGTCTATATGACCCTGTTATCTTGTAAGCTGTTGTCGACAACAATCGGGAGTTATCACTTACCTGAGAGGAGCCGTAGGGTCATGTGCGTCAGACTAACGACCACCGTGGTTGTGACACATATCACAGAAGGTGTCCTTGGTAGTCTGCATGTTTGTCTCAACCTCGGCCTCGAGCTCGGCCTCGGACGCCCATTCAAGATATCCCATTGCTTGTTGTTGCAGAGACGACAAGTCGAACAGGTCCGACATAAGGCCCCCGGGAATTTTGTCTTGATCTTGGAAGATTGCACGGCCGTGATAGTGGAGGTTGAAGACGTAGCTAGCGAGCAGCTTCCGCAGTTATGAAGTGCCGTCGGTCCCGTTGTAAACGATTGTCATGGCATGAAAGCTGATGTATGGTGCCTTGCTCAGGGTAGAGTAGAATGCGTCGAGTACGCGGTTCTCAAAATCCTGGATACCGTAGACCTTGGCGAACTCGTGAGCATCTATGAAAGATTGCCATGTGTCGTCTAGCGCAAGGCTGGGAATGTAGATGTTACTAGTATTAACCCAGTCGATGAAGATGCTGAATGTATCGGAAGATACATCTTTGAGGTAGATGGTATCTTCCGACACGCCTTCGGGTTCCACGAGCTTACCGAAAACCGGGGCGTAATGGCTCAGGACCCCACGGTAGATGCGGAGGACCATCTTCTTGCCTTTGACCTTGTCCAATGAAATTATGGCAACTGGTTCGCCGTACGCGGTAGGTAGGGGTTTTGTTGGAGGCCAGCGGCAAAGCATAGGCTCGACGTAGATCGTGCTGGAACCCATGTTGATCATGTATAGCCGCAAACCTGAAAGTTAAGAGCTAGCAGTTGAAAGTTGCGTGGGGTGCAGAAGACTGGAAGAGTTCAACAGGTGTAGAACTTAAGAGAGGGAGGGACGACTAGCGCGAACGGTGGGTGCTCCGTGTGTAGTGGTGACTAACAGGTAAACACTGAGTGAAACTGCGCCACGCAGAATCCGTTGATGTGCATTGCATAGGCTGGAATAAGAACCGTATATACCGCTGTCAAAATATTGGCAGCTATATGCATTTGCATACTTTAAATGGGTACTGCTGCTTGGGCAATCACAGGCACGTGACAAAACTCGTCTTTTGCTCCTCCTGAAATTCGCTCGATAGCTTATGATGTCACAGTATATTGAGAACGACGATTAAGAAAAGTAGACACTGAAATTGATGATTGAAAAAGAGAATTGTAATTCCGGTAGTATGTACGTCTTACTTCATTTATATACATCTACCAAGTCTCACCTGACTTCCTAGCCTGTTGATTGTTAGCAACATGTCAGTTATACATATCATCTGACTTACTGGTACAGCGCCCTTGCCTCCCAGCTCAACATCAAGGCCACCTGGGTAGGTCTTTGGCACACTGATCTTGTCGGGGTAAACGGTGCTTACTGCTGCGCAGAGTCCAAAGACAGTCGCAACGGAGATGCCCAACAGAACGGCACCCCATCCAGGGGTGAAGTGGTTGTAGTCATGCAGCGAGAGGACTCCGAGGATATCGTTATCTTCGTGGCAGGGCTCGCCGTAGTTTCGACGCTCCTGCTTGTCCCACCAATCGCCGTACGGGTCGCGGTTTCCGCGCTTCTCTGGGGGAGGGTTGATGTAGCCGCCATTCTGCGACTATCAGCATTGCATCGCTCCTTCCTTCAAAATTGGCAGCGCACCTGGTTCGGGTCTGCGAGCTCCTGCTTCTCAGCGGCTGTGAGGGCTGTGCGGATCTGGGTGAATTGCGGGCGTGGGCGGGCTGGGACAATGGTGCGAGCCAGCGGGCGTGCCGCTACAATGCGCCTGGAGAGCATGCTACGGCGCTGTGAGTATCTCTAGGATATACAGATAGGGAGTCTTCGTACGTGGCGGCTTGGATGCGGGGATTTGTGGAATTGCGGTATCGTGTGTCGTTCGTGATGAGCTCAGTTGCGGCACCCCAGTATGGCTTGGCGGAGAAGTGGGTCTTCTGCAGCACGGCGTATACTACTACCACATTGGATGTCACACCAAAGCCGTGTACATACGCGACGGATTAGCTTGACGCCTGGCCTAAGCATCTGGCGGGGATCCTGGACAGCCACATTCATATTTTCAGCCAATACTGAATTTCTCATCTTTGCACTTGCAGTTGCACTTGTTCGCGTCAAAGGGATGATGCGCGCCCGTGCCGGTATTTAGCGTGATCCTTTACCAAACATTATCGACGGCTCTCTTTTTATCTCATCACTCGACATCACAGTGCATCAAGCCAACGCGCTGCCCAAATCAAATTTCGACAACACCACCGTCTTCACCACGCGTCAGGCTTCCTTGCGACACCGGATTTGAGCTGATATATGTCGATTTGGCCGCGCGCCGGGTGGTCTCCAGGCTTCCCAGGCCGCCTCTTCGCCCTTCCTGAATGGAAGAAGTTACCGCCGCGGATCGCGACATCAACTCCATCCCACAACGCGACTCGACCGACATACCCACTGCAGCCGACACTGCAAGCAATGGAGACGGTTTCCAGCGAGACGGTGCATCTGAAATCAACGAGGAAGATGATTCAGCGCCTGTAATTGGACATGATGGTGGCGTCATCGAGAGGCCCGCTAAGCGGCGGAAAGTTGAAGACAACACACCGCGTCGCTCGGCATCGCGGGCTGTGTCGCCGCCCTGGAAGTCGTTTGTGGCAGATGGACCGACGACGGTATTCGAAAATGGTATGCGAAAGTCGTCGCGAGTGAACAAGGTGACAGCACCACCGACACCAGAGCCTGTAAAGCGGACCCCGCGACCAAGCAAGACAACGCAGACGAATGGCACACCAAAGACCGGCATCAAGCGTGAGGCGCGCAATGGCTCAGGGCCCTCGTCTATCCCGAAAGCGAAGGCACAATCGACCCTAATCAAGAAGGCGTCCACGCAATCCCTGGTTACGCCTGCGCGCAAGTCGGAACGCCAGAGAAAGGGTCCTGCAGCTGCGACAACCTCCCCTCTTGTATCGCCAGCATTGCCAAATGGGTCGCCCGAGGCTTCGCGCAAGCGGTGTGGGCGACCTAGGCGGGGTGCCCAGACATTGACTGATGATATAGACGCTGAGCCCGAATCGAACGAGCATGATCCTTACGCCAGTCTGTACGGATCCCCCGACGACTCCAACCCATCCATGCCAGCACCGCGCCTCCGCTTGCGGCTACGTAAGCCCGATCCCCCCAATCGCCATCCCCACCATGCCCCGCCCAAGTCACAGTACGCATCGCTGGAAGAGTGGTTGGGACAAGACGATCCACTGGATGGCGAGGAGGCATTGCGGATAACAGAGGAAAAGGCTGAAGAGGAGGCTGAGCGTCGGTTGCAGATTGTTGAAGCCGCCGAGCATGGTGTGTTGAGTCAAACACGATGCAGCATCTATGCGCCCGAGGCCGCTCCAGAACCTCCGCCACAGTACGGTCATTGGGATCATGTAGTCGCGCACACTGTGCACTTCAACAAGCTGCTCAAGGAAGAAAAGGCTTTTCATCGTCGGACGGCCAAGATTCTGGCCAGGGAGGCATACGATTTCTGGAAGAACAAGTTCAAGCGCAAGAGCCAGGATGAGATTGAGCAAGAAGAAGCTGAGCGACAGGTGACAAGGTACAAGCAGCTTGTGAAAGACGTCAAGGATGCGTGGGGTCTGGTCAAGGTCGAGATTGACAAGGAGCGTGTGGCAAAGTGGGAAGAGGAGCAGTTGCAGCTGGGACACAAGGCCATGGACGACATGTTTAACCAGGCGCAAGAGATTCTGGGTGGCCGCAATGTGGGCGATGGAGCATCCTCCTTGATCAGCGAAGACCGGGACTTTGATGAAGAATCTCAAAGCGGGGCATCGAACAACTTGGAACTACCTCACGACGACGACGTCATGTCTTCAAGCTCAGATAGCGAACAAGAGAATGAAGAGGACGACGATGCTAATCTAACGGCCGAACAATTACGCGAAAAATATGGGGAACTGCCTGATCTCCCGGAGAGCAGCTCAGAAGCCGAGCCAGACTCTGATGAGGAGAATGCGGAAGATGAAGAAGGCACTCCCGCGCCGACGCCCGACCCCGAACTCGATCTTGTCGCTCCCGATGAGTTGCCTGAGAATCCATTAGTCCATACGAACGGCTTCCACGATGACGATGAAAATGAGGATGAGAACAAACCTGGTTATATTGATCCTGCTACAGTGGAGCTTGATCAGGTTGATGAGGCTTTACTGGACTCTGACGACGAAGACAAGGGCTCAGAGTCGGGCAGCGAAGCTTGGTCGAGCAATGAGGGGTCCGAGACTGATGGCAATGAGCAGGAGGCAGATGAATCTGAAGAAGATGATGACGAAAGCGGGGAGGAAGATATGGGCATGATGGGCTTCCTGGCCCCCAAGGACATCAAGAAGCTCAAGGAAGCTGCCAAGACAGCTGTCGAAGATGAAGAACCGGACAAATCGGCAGAACAGACGAACGGTCGGTCTCCATCGCCAATGGACGTTGATGAGGAAAAGCCCCACATCAATGGTCATGATTCGGTTGCTGAGGATCAAGAAGCGCACGTCAATGGAGACACCACGGAGCCTGCCCCATCAGTCGAGGTTGCTGAGCCTTCAGCTGAAGTTGCAGAACAGCCCAAGAACGCACCCCGATCTCGCCATTCTTCTCCACCACGGACCGAGGTACCATTTCTGCTGCGTGGTACGCTTCGGGAGTACCAACACGACGGTTTGGACTGGCTTGCGAACCTCTACGAATCTGACACCAACGGTATCTTGGCAGACGAAATGGGTCTCGGTAAAACGATACAAACTATATCGCTCTTGGCCCATCTGGCTGTACGCCATGAGATATGGGGACCACATTTGGTTGTGGTGCCCACCAGTGTCATGCTCAACTGGGAGATGGAGTTCAAGAAGTTCTTGCCTGGTTTCAAGATTTTGACATACTATGGTGATATCAACGAGCGAAAACGGAAACGCTTGGGTTGGCGCAACACTGGCAAGGACATGTACAACGTCGTCATCACCTCGTATCAGCTCATTCTGCAAGATGCAGCAGCATTCAAGATGCGCCCTTGGCGGTATCTCGTGTTGGACGAAGCTCACAACATCAAAAACTTCAAGTCTCAACGGTGGCAGACCATGCTTAACCTCCGGACAGAACGACGACTGTTGTTGACCGGCACACCGTTGCAAAACAACATTGACGAACTCTGGTCCCTGCTTTACTTCCTCATGCCAGCTGGCTTTGCTGGAGAAGGCCGCATTGCTGGCCTGGACGAGTTCACCCTAGCGTTGAAGAATCCCACATCACAGATTCTTGACCAAGGTCGCCAACAACTCGATGCAGAAGCTCAGAAAATTGTCAAGCGACTGCATGAAGTGCTCCGCCCATACCTGCTCCGACGACTAAAGTCAGAGGTCGAGAAGCAAATGCCCGGCAAATATGAACATGTCGTCTACTGCAAGCTTTCCAAGCGGCAGCGACAGCTCTACGACGGCTTCATGGGTCGTGCCTCGACAAAGGAGATCTTGTCCTCCGGCAATTACATGTCGATTATTAACTGTTTAATGTCATTACGAAAAGTCTGTAATCACCCCGACCTGTTCGAGACGCGAGCGATCGTGACGTCGATGGCTATGCCCAAGTCGGTGCCTGCAGAGTACGAGATTAAAGACCTTCTCATTAGAAAGCGCCTGCAAGAGGGTATGGAAGACAAGCTGGTAAACCTGGACGCTCTAAATCTAGTGTTCGCACGACGCGAACAAGCTCAGCTAGGCCATGCAAGACGTACATATAAGATCCGTGCCACACGGCCCTTGGAAGACCTCCTGGTTGAGTGCAAATCACGGCGTCTCAAAGATCCAGTTGAACCCGGCACGTCGTTACAGTCGACCATGGCAGCTATGAGGAAGAGGGAGGAAGTGGCCGTCCAAGATCACCTACAAACGTGTCTCAACCTCACTCGCGCTCGTACCCAGTTTATGCCTATCTATGGCAAGGATATCATAGACGCACTCACCGTCGACTGGCACGACTACACCTTTGGAGGTATCACGGAAGGAAAGAAGATACCCAAGCCCGTGCCATACCGACCGCATCATACCCCATATCCAACCTACCATGGCTTTGGTCAAGCGCAGATGCTACCAAAACAAGAAGAGGCCGTTCAATACGATATTGTCAAGCGCCGTCGCGGTGTTCTTGGATTTAGGTCTCCACGATCTGATGGTGTCATCTCACAATGGCATGATCAACAAATCACACACTTCTACGACATGATCCCGACACTGGAACAGCGTGCTGAAGCTTTCGAGCCTCTCATCACTCGCTTTACATGCGTTACGCCTGCTGTTGCGGCTGAGGAGCTGGCTCCACTAACGTTGTCCAAACGTGGTGTCGATCTGATCAGGACGTCAGAACTAGTACATCAACCAGACCCCTTCCATGCTTCACGCATCCGTCAATCTATCGCCTTCCCCGATAAGCGTCTTCTCCAGTACGACTGCGGTAAACTACAACGGCTTGCCACGCTTCTGCGGGATCTACAAGCTGGTGGTCACCGTGCTCTCATCTTCACACAGATGACAAAGGTTCTTGACATTCTTGAGCAGTTCCTCAACATCCACGGGTATCGGTATCTGCGTCTCGATGGGTCTACCAAGATCGAACAACGTCAGATCCTTACCGATCGTTTCAACACCGATCCACGCATCCTGTGCTTCATTCTCTCTTCTCGATCCGGTGGTCTTGGTATCAACCTTACGGGTGCTGACAGCGTCATCTTTTACGATCTTGACTGGAATCCAGCAATGGACAAGCAATGTCAAGACCGTGCCCATCGAATTGGTCAAACGCGCGATGTGCACATCTACAAGTTCGTCAGCGAATACACCATTGAGGCCAACATTCTCCGAAAGTCGAACCAGAAGCGTCTTCTGGACGACGTCATCATTCAAAGGGGTGACTTTACTACCGATACGTTCAACAGGGTCACCTGGCGCGATGCACTCGACGAGAACATGGGTATTGACACAACCGACGAAGCAGGTGCAGCAATGGAACGCGTTCTTGGTGAGAAGATTGGTCTTCTCGGCGATGCTCGCGTAATGGGCAGTGTAGAAGACACGGAAGATCGCACCGCCGCTTCCATTGCACAAAAGGAGATCGTCGACGAGATTCAAGTAGATGAAGTCGACTTCAACGAGAGTCTGAATGCTACCAGAGCCGCCTCCGAAGCCGCAGCCGCCGCGAAAGAAAACGAAGATCTTGACATGGACGGCAATGAGAAGGAGAGGAGACATGTCGACGAGTACATGCTTAGTCTGTATCGTGAGGAATATGGCAAAGAGCCTTATCGACCACCAACCGACCGGCAGAAGAGGAACCGCAAAGGTCAGGATCCTCATGTAAGGCATCGGAAGAAGAAGTACTAGTAGTAATTTTGTAGTTGGGCGGATCATCACTATTGCATTCTTAGCGAGCGGGTGTGGTTGGTGAATATTGTGGAAGGGGAAAACGAAGGACCTGTATTAGTAAGCTTTGTATGAATGTCTTGTGTGTATAGAAAGAGTGGCATATGCATGGTCTGGCGTTGCATTCAGATGAGAAAATACGAGGAGTTTTTGCAATGATCTTGCGGAGTGTACCATCTGTCTAGTGAGGGCAGTGGGAAAGTGACTCCTGCACAAAGACGTCGCGAAGGTGGGGTCACACGTGCCAGCGCGATGGCGATAATCTCGACGCGTCGTTCTTTCATTGTGTTTGCGGCCATTTACCTGATTCACTCCTGCTACTTACCCTGAAGTCTCAATGTTGGGGTTTTGGAAATGTTGCACTTGACTCGTCGTGCATCCTACCCTCCATGTCTACTTTTCGAGGCATTGTTGCTGGTAAGTACACTTCTACCCGTTTCCCGCCGGCCTGTCGGCTGCCGCATAATTCATTGATGTCAGCGCACTAACGGCTTCCTGCAGAATTCCCCCGGATCAGGATTGACTACTTTCGACAACAGCCAGAGTACAAACCGCCTCTTACGTGCTTCTTGAGCCACGTTCATTCCGATCATTTGGCTGGTCTTGAGTCGTTGCGCGCACCATTTGTATGCTACTCTGCTGCAACTAAAGAAATACTCCTACGGCTAGAAAAATTTCACTATAGCATGAACTTTACCAAAGGCATTCTAGAGAGTCGGAATGTCACCTATGACCGGAGTATGCGCAAGTTGGCCAAGGCACTTCCTTTGGATACGCCAACAGAGATAGAATTAGCGCCCGGCAACACCATCAGAGTCACTCTCATCGATGCTAATCATTGTGTTGGTGCTGTCATGTTTCTCATCGAGGGTAAAGGCGAAATAGTGCTATACACTGGCGATATTCGAGCAGAGACGTGGTGGGTGAACTCATTGGTTCAGAACCCAGTGCTACTACCATACACACTAGGAAATCTTCGACTGGACTGTGTGTATCTGGATACGACTTTTGCTACCAAGAAGATGCCATACCGCGAGTTTCCGAGCAAAGCAGAAGGCATCCGCGAGTTACTCAGTAAAGTGGATGAGTATCCCGACGACACCATCTTCTACTTTCACTCCTGGACGTTTGGGTATGAGAATATTTGGGTAGCACTATCTACTTACTTGGGGTCACGGATCCACTTGGACGACTACCGAGCACGCATATACGGCTCTTTGTCCACGTTGGACAAGCGAGGTCTCCGAGAAGCTGGGCTAGACGTCCCGATGTCCAACAAGTCACTTCGGGAGTCTGGCCTTGAAATCCGCGAAGAACCTGCTTTGTGTGGTCTTCGAAATGGAAACCGCATACAGCCAGGCTGCTTGACATCCAAGGAGAATGTTCGCATACACAGCTGCGAGCGCAGGATGGGATGTGACGTTATGGACAAAGAAAAAGACAACAAAGTCGTGCACATCATCCCGATAATCACCCGTGCCGATGGGTCTGAGATTGCCGAAATTGGTGCAGGAGGTGGCAAGGGCGATTTGGATCAGAAAGAAGAACTTGAGACAGGTGGGACAGCCGAAGTAGGCAAACTGATGGAGCTTTGCGCTGCATCTATTAGCGATGAGAACACGCTTGGCGAGGTTCTCGCATTACTCCAGCAAGCCCTCGGTGAAAATGGCAAGTTAGATCTGGACGTTCACTTACAGAAACAAAGCGAAGACACTCAAGACGACTTGACGCTGCAGAGCCTCGTTTCAGTACTATCAGGACACGCTTCAAACTCAATACCGGAGCGCTATCCAAACAGGACGATTCGGTTCCCGTATAGTCGGCATTCTTCGTATTCAAAATTACGTGAGCTCATCAAGGTTTTCCGCCCCATATACATCCTTCCATACACTGTCGATGAGAAGACATGGACACCGGAAGTCAGTATGGAGAGCCTGTTCGGCGACCTTTGCCATGTCCAGCTCTTCCGCCACGATGCCGAGATGGTAGAACTTCACAAGACCAGGATAGCTCGCGAAAGTAGGAAACGAAGCAGAGATGACAGCCAAGTGGACACACAGACTACTGAGGACGAGATAACGAGTCCATTCGTGACAGGAATGTCTACCTCCATCAAGAGTCTCGAATGTGAGGGACCAGTTACACCAAACGTGATCACTAGTGCCGTGGACATGACTGCCAGTTCAGGAAGACAGGTCTCGACCACTTTGCCTCCGACGGTGACGGTTCTAGAGCCTGAGCACGTCCCTAATGACGAAATGGTTACTGAAGACCCAAAGCCCACACCTGTCCCCCTCTTATCAGTATCAACTACACCAATATCGAAGGATCTCTCAGTATCAATATCTGTTCCCTCCATCACGGTTACGCCGACGCCTAGCAAAGGGAGAAGAAAGAAGCTTCAGAATAAGCAAATTGCCGGATTCGCTGCCAGGAGAAGTTACGGCCTTAATTGGAGCGACATAGAATTGATATCGACCCGAAGCAAGGCCGACCAAGAAGAGCTAGAATTGTGAAAAGGGAGCATGTTTCTGTGATCACATTCACTGCGCCAAGTCCCTAGTATTATCATACGAAGTAACCATGTTATCTTTGCCCTGCGCTTACGGTCGGTAAAAGCATAATCAAGCCTCGCTTTTTCATGCGTGGGTGAGCTTCCCATGGCATGTGGGAGGTCACGAATTGTAAACGTGGAATGTTCGTCGCGATGGTGGACATGACGAGCTAGGAACGCGAAAGTAGCGCGTCCATCGTTACACAGCCCTTGCCCCCTCCAATTTTCTGTCCCCAATATTCTTATGTCCGTCCACCTTTCATACAAATTAATTACCCAGCGAGTCGGGTTGGTGGTGCTAGGTCGTTTTGCCAGTTTCCCATTCCTCCCTGGCCGGCCGCCTTGCGGTTGTCGACCATCTCCCTTGCTTGGCAGGGCATATATACCAACACTATGCGAATATGATGGTATATCGTCAACACGCTTACCCAGTCACTCGTTCATACAGTTCTCGCGTCAGGAGCAGCAGTCATGTTTCACTCCAGCTCCGCGCTGCCCTTCGCTTGCTTACCACGGCACTGCTAGCCGCCAGCATCGCCAATGCGATAGCACTTCCCGCCCCAGATGCGTCAACAAACGAACTCCCATCTCCATCGGACATTGAAGCAGCTCTGGCAGTAGCTGCTGAGCCCCAGGAGAACTACTTTGACGAGATGGAAGACGGTCTCCGATCGCGTACCGGATTGCAATTAGTCAAGGACTTCTTCGCTCGTCTCTTCGGCTTCGACCCTGATAGTAGTGATGCCGCAACTACCGTTACCGTTACCGTCTCTGTTACCCCCTCTTCTTCCATCGTCACCCCGCCTGGTCCTCCATCAAGCAGCAGCAGCACAGCAGACGTCAGCACCCCAGTAACTTCTTCGAACCCAGAGACAACCCCCAGCCCAACCAACGATATCTACTCCATCCTCCCCGTCGGCTCAATGACAACCGCAATTAACATCTCTCTCCCCGAGCCCATCTTCTCCACCGCCTCCTCCCCCGTCCCCATACTACCCCCCTATCCCGCAAACACCTCTCTCTCCCTCACCGGCCCCTCCGCCACCGCCGCAACCATAACCGGCTACTTCAGCACCAACGCGCTCGAAACCGCCATCCCAATCGCAGTAAATGCCACCACAAACACCACCGTAACCCTAACCTCCGAATACACCTCCATCATCCTCGTCACCGGAACAGGAAGCGGAACTGGCCTCCCCCTCCTCCCCACAGACGCCGCAGCCCCTCTATGGACAAACTCCACTTCCGCACCTACACCGCTCAGCACCGACGCCGCACCTTTGGGCACCGGTATCCCAATCTACCCCAACACTACCCTCGTGATGCCTATTGTGGTAAACGCAACAGGTAGCCCAGGTACCGTATTAAACGTCACGCTCCCGCTTACCCTTCCTACCTCGACGTCTACTTCGTTCGCTAGTGCTTCTGGGACGGCGGCGGATACAGATGCTGATGATTATGGGTACGGCGGATATGGTTCCATGACTATGATTCCGCCGTATGCAAATGGTACTGTTGCTGCGCCTACGGGCACGGGGGTGGTGGGAACGGCGGTTAGTACGAGTACGAGTACGACGACGACGACGACGACGATTGTGGAGGTGCCGACGGATGTTGCGGTGCCTGTGCTGCCGGTGCCGGTGGAGGGGTTGAATGGGAGTTTGGTGGGGTTGGGGGAGGAGTATGAAGGTCAGTCTTATTAGAGATTTTGTGTCTCTTGTTTTTCGTATCGTTTGAGAAGGAAGAATGTGTGTGTGTGGAGATGTGTCAAGAAAGAAGAGATGAGAGAGTGTGTTCCCTGTTTTTCTCATTATTTGTCTGGTTATCTCATGACACGAACGAAGGTATGCGTAATGATGGTCTCTCTGTTTTATCCCAAAGCACTGCACTGCACTTTTCTAGTCTGATTTAGGATAGCAAATATATGTTATACGCCCCCCATCATGTGTTCGTGTCATCTCTTGTATACTGTGCTTTCTCCCCACAAACACGTCAAAGCTAACACACAAACCCCACACAGATCTCACCCCCCTCCTACGCATCTGCGCAAACCCCCGCATCCTCTCCCTCTTCTACTCCCTAAACGACCCTTCCTATCCCGTCCTCGCTCCCTTCCCCGGCTGTATCCCCTCCCCCCTATCCTCCTCCACAGCCCTCCCCAACTGCACACTCCTCGGCTCCACCCTCCAAACCTGCCGCTCCCAATCCCCCACCCTCCGCATCCTCCTCAGCATAAAAGCCTCGCCCCTCTCCTCCGTCGCGGGAAACGCCCTCTTCGGCGACCCAGACGCTGGCTCCGAACCTTTTGGTCATGTTTTCGGCACCGCCTCCTCATCTTCTTCTTCTCCCACAGCGAACGACGACGACGATGACGGATTCCCGAATCTGTTCGATACTAAGCATACCCCGGATACACTCGCGGAAACGCTTGTTTCGCTCTTCGGACCCATTGTCGATACGGCGTCTTCTTTGTCGGCGTACCCCCGTCCCTTAGGTTCAGATGTCGTACTTGGCTTCGATGTACAGGTTCCGGTGCAGTGGAAGGGGACGTATCAGGATGGGCGGTTTCATGACCTTGTGGATGAGTTGAAGGAGAGGATTGGTGGGAGTAGTGCTGTGTTTTGGGGGTGGGTGGGGGAGATGGTTGGTCGGAGGGGGGTGGAGATGGGGGGTAGGGAGGGGTGGGTTGAGTGGGATGGGATAGGGATGTGATGGCTGGTTGAGTGGGAGGGTATGGGAACAGGAATGCTGGTAGACGAATAGAGAAGATAGGGGATAAGGAATATACTGATTTTGGTACGGATGATGTTTTATTAAGTCTTTGTAGTCGTATCTAGGATGTGGCTGTAAAATCTTACAGGTATAGGCTAGTTTCGGATAGAAGATAGCTTCTCTTGGAGGGTGTCTGAGTCACTGACGTATTCGATGTAGGTCCAAAACTGTTAGTTCAGGATTGTGAGAGCTACATGGGTCCTGTTCCCTGCGAAAGTCTTCAATTCTCAATCAAGACCTACAGATCCAGGATTGCACGTCTCACAGAATTTCATGCATACGCGACATAACACATTTTTACTCGTTTTCATTTCTGAATAATTCGCCCCAAGTGACGAGTACCTAGCTGTACATGACCTTGCTATGCTCCGATTGGGTGCAAGTCCGTAGACTGCCTCCGAATCTTAACCGTAATCTTTTTGCTCTTATTGCCTCAAATTGAGACTCATACCATTAAAAAGCGGTCAAAGAAGTCTCGTATGCTGGGCGATGATAGAATATCCCCCTGCAAGCACGAAACCACTGGAGCAGCTTACCATGCAGCAGCGTTGTCATCCGCCCAGTTGCTAGTGGATGCAGCAGCGGCGTTACCACCAGCGTTGCCCCAGTCACCGGCAGTAGGTTCGGCAGGAGGCAGAGGGCAACGCTTCTCACCGTGGCCAAATTCGTCGCAGTTGCGACACTTGACTCTGCTCCAGTCGCGGGGCTTGTCACACTCTCGGGAATGGTGACCCTCTGCATCGCAATTACGGCACTTCATGACGCGGGGCTTGTCGCACTCACGGGAGATATGGCCTTCTTCACCGCAGTTGTGACAAGCGCGACCTCCACCGCCACCGCCAGTAGGAGCCTCGGTACAGTCAGACTTGTTATGGCTGAATAAGTTAGTAGATGCATGAAGTCAAATTGAGAGAAAACATACCCGGGGAGATTGCAGTTGAAGCAAACACGGTCACTGCCGCCCATGAGCTTGCGAGGTGCAGTGCAGTCTGACTTGCGATGACCAAGCTCACCACAGTTGAAGCATGCTTGTCCTCCAGATCCCTGAGGGCAGTCGCGCTTTTGATGTCCAGTCAAACCACAGCCGAAACAAGCACGGTCGTCGCCGCCGCCACCGTTGTTCTTGAACGAGGATCCGTTGGTAGCAGTCGTGAAGGCGTTACTGGAGCCAAATCCGGCGTTGCCACCAAACTCAGTGCTGCTCTCGAGGCCAGCATCGCCGCCAAAGCCAGTGGGGTTCTTGGCCTTCTCAGCTTCCTGGCGCTCTTCTTCTTCAGCAGCGCGATGCTTCTTTGACGACTTGTGACCATGAAAGTCCTTTGTGAGGATTTGCCGATCACATAGCTCGCAGATCGTATAGCGAGGAAGCTGCTGCTTCGGCGGGGGGTACGGGTTGGAGACCAAGGTCGACTGGATAACAGACGCACCACGGGCCATGATGAAGAGTGAAGATGAACGGGAGGAGTCTGGGCTCGTACAAGGTTAGCTGTTTTCCACGGCGAGGTGAGAGTGAAGCCAAGCAAACAGATTGCCGTTAAGCCTGAGTTTGCCAGTCGAGTCTGTGTATCAGCCGCTGAGCAGTTTGCTGGCACTCACAATCGCTTGTGTGCTCATGCAATTTTGCTAGCAGCTGCTCAGGATAGCAGAAGGGAGTATAAGTGTAGAGATGAAGAAGACTTACGTGTTAAGGCTTTTGAGGCCGTCGTAGGCAGTTGCTGGTACAGCTGCTGTTGGCTGACCTCGTTGTTGAAGTGAGGTGAGGTGAGGTGGAGAAGCGGTGGTGCTGATTAGAGGTGAGAGATATATGGGCAGGCGCGAGGCACCGTGCGCTAGCAACAGCAAGCACACCACGCGAGGCCGGGGCTAAGCGGATATGGTATGGAAGGTACTGGAATGAGAAGGCGGGAGGCGTGTATGCATGGCGGATAGCTGCAGAAGAAATGAGAAGTCGCCAACAGAGCGTGGCCTGGAGCCTGCACACAAACATCTCGCACAATGTTCCTGCACCCAGACAATATCAGAGCCGTCGAAATGCATGGTAATCGGGTTCAAATGTGGACAAGGACTGAATTGCAGGTATTCGCAACAAGGGCGGGCGAGGTAAGGGCAGGACGAGAACTGTACCCAACGTCTTGATTGAAATATGGGAGTTATCGAAGACAAAGTAAAGGGTCTATATAATTCAGCCTAACATGCACTTGCTCTACATACGCCATATGGGTGTCGCTCAAGCGCCGACAGGCACGCCGTCTTCTTCTTCGGCCTCGTTGGCTCTCTGCTCTTCAGTCTTCTCAGGCTCCCTCCAGCCCGTGCATGCTTGTACAAACACTACAATGACTGACAGTCCGACAGCACACAGAAACAATGCTTTGAGTGCATCCGCGTAAGCCCCGATGGCGACTTCCCGGTCCTTCCCCTCCAGTTGACCTACTAACGCAGGACTTCCCAGTAGTCTTCGGGTGAGTTCGTCGCGATTCTTCAACCCGGCTCTCGCAAAGCCATTGTCCAAGGACTTGTGTAGCACACGAACAAAGTATCCGCCACCAATCGCCGAACCGAACGAACCGGAGAAGCCACGAAAGGTCGCAAGGAGAGAAATGACAATCGGATGCATCTCCGGTAGTGTGAGATGAAGGAGGTGGACGAGCGCGTAGTTCATTGCAGCACCAGTGGCAAGGCCATTCACAAAGACCATGACGACGTACAGACCCCAGGGACTTGAAGGCGTTGATATGAGTGCGAGTACGGTCATGGCGACGGGAAATACTGCCATGGCGATGACGGTGTGCAGGTAGAAGCTTCCGGTTCGCTTGATGTGGAAGACGCCCGCAAGTAACCCACCAGTTGCGAATCCCGCATTTGTTGGTATGAGAATTGATCCGGCAACTGCGGGCGCCCATCCTCGAACAGCAATCGCGTACACTGGAGTGTAAAAAAGGATACTCCAACGAGCCATCATGAAGCCAGTCGTGGCAAGGCAGGTCAACAAGGTCCCACAAGACCGTAGAACGGAGACTGGGATGACAGGGTCGCTGGCTACGTAGGCTTCATTAAGCACGAAGATTGGTAGAGCGAGTGCTGATAGTATGAGAGGTAGGGCAAGAACTTTCGGACCTGACAGACCGAAAAGGAAGAGTACAATCGTGGTAGTCAACAACACCGATCCGGAATAGTCGATACGGGTAAGTTTGTCGCGAATCGAAAGATGGTCATACTTGATATTCTTGGATGTATGGCTTGCTGGAATCGAAAACAAGAGACCAAAGCCGGCGATGAGACTCAACGGTGCCTGGATGCCGAAGAGTGGTTTCTGCAGACGTCAGCTGGGTCTTGGCAAGATCTATCAAGAACAACTTACCCATCCGATTCTAGGTTCAAGGGCACCTGCAATTACGGCTCCAAGCGAGACGCCGACTGTCATTGCAGTATTGGCAAGACCCATGTACAATCCTCTTCGTTTGGGACTTGTCATCTGGATTGCCATGATACTAGCGACAATGAAGATGCCCCCACCACCCGCTCCAGTGATAACTCGGCCCAAGACGAAGTGCCCGAATGACACCGAGGTAGATGTAATGATCAATCCAATGCAAATCAACATGGTAGAAAAGAACATGCACAAACGTGGGCTGAATATTTGACATAGTCTGCCCATCAAGGGAGCTAGCGATGACATGGCAATGAGATATGCAGACGTAAACCAGCTAGCATTCTCAAAAGCATCTAAATCCGCAGCGATGGATGATTGTGTCGTGGTGAGTATAGATATGTTGGTAGCTGATGATGTCAGTCTTGGTCTGACTACTTTCTCACTTGATAGTACAAGACGCGTGAAATGACGAGTTCAACGCGTAGAAAAAGGAGATGTATGACATGGATAGATGAACATGACTGGAGATTGGAGCCTACCTTGCAGGAAGATCAATAAACCAACATTGACCACGATAAATGCTCCTCTAGATGTTGAAATGGCTGATTCTTCATCCTTGGCATCTCTAGACAGGGGTGGCGATGACAGACGTTGGAGCAGAGGGTCTCGTTCTGCCGAGTCATTTGAGACGGTCATAATTTGAAGATGTGAAATAAACTACAAAAGCAATTTACACGCCAGAAATGATGTTAGAGAGAGAAAGCGAGGATAAGTCATAGCACGATGATACGTGCAAGGCTGTTAGTGCATGCTCGGATTACAAATGCGGGATGAGCTCGCTGGTCGGGTGGCCCAGGAGCCCGATGGCTTTCGTCCGCAAAAGCAACAAGATATGAATCATGACATATGCAGCGCGTAACAAAGACGATTAAAAGTGAAGCTTGGCAGTGGGCTCAAGAGAGGAAGCCGAGAAGACCAGGACGAAGTTGAACGCGCGGGCATGCGACAGATGTGACGTCAACGCTCATTGGCTGCTCAGGCCACGCAGGCGCAACTGCCACCGGGCTTCATAGTGGAAAGCTGGCCTCTACAAACAATATCATCAGGACCGTCCAAGGCCTGTCGCGCGCCTGCTTACTCTTTTTTTGCCATGACGCCATGAGTCTCTTTCTTTCCACGACTTTATATTTCAACAAATACCCACAATGAGGCCACCATCGCAGCGCCTCGTGTCGCTGATCTTCGGTATGCACTTGCGCATGTGACTGCGGTAGCTTCTGACTGACTACTAGACACATAGTTTTTCTTTCTCTGCTCTTTTGCGTCTCTTCACGAGCGTATGCCGAGCACGAACAAGACCATGCGCACCAGAAACCACTTGGAGGGGGTCAAACTTCGGGCAACCGGGGCTCGTCAGCACAGGGTCGAGAGGCGTGGAAGTCAAGATGGGGGAATGCTGATGGAGGTGTGAACCCTCACCAGGGCGTATTGGCCTATGATGAGGCTATGGCTTTGCTCCACCAGATCAAACCGGCAACAGCGCCATGGTGGAATTTCGAGAAGAAGTCTGGCATCCTGGGCACGAGCGCATACTATGCAAAAGAGGTCTTCTTCCTGCTATTCATGAACGGACCCCCACAGCAGGAACTCTTAACGACGAACCCGCAGCCGAAGAAACTTGGTCAATCGCTGTCCCAGGCCGTCACGCTGCTGGAAGAGGCAGCCACGCAGAAGAACCCCGATGCATTATTCACCCTGGCCGAAATGAACTTTTACGGAAACTACACGCACCCGCGCAACTACTCCGAAGCATTCCGACGATACCACGAACTCGCTACGTTGACCGGAAACGCCTCGGCACAACACATGGTTGGCTTCATGTATGCGACTGGTATTGGTGGGGCAACCAAACAAGATCAAGCCAAAGCCATGCTTTACTACACTCTTGGTGCCGAAGGCGGCGACGTGCGGTCAGAAATGGCCGTTGCGTACAGGCATTCGGCTGGCATATCGACCCCGCGTAACTGCGAGGAAGCCGTGTATTTCTACAAGGAAGCTGCGAAAAAGGCCATTGCCTACCTGCGTTCTGGTCCACCGGGTGGCCACTCAATGCCGCGGGAATCATACAATATCGCCGACGATGTAGGCGGGGTATATGGCGAGGGTGCAAGCGCAAGCAGTTCGGGACCAAACGCCAAGGTAGCAAGCGCTCAATCGGATGCCTTTTCTTCACTCGACGACGTGTTTGAATACATGGATCTCCAGGCTCGGAAGGGTGACGCGAGGGCGACATTCAATCTTGCCAAGCTCAATTACGACGGCGCGCGGACGCTGAAACGAGACCTTCCAGCGGCCAAGAAGCGATTCTTGGAGCTCGCTCGCATGTACTGGGCCCCAGGTGGAAAGATCAACGCCAACGTATCACCCACCACCGAGAAGTTGGCCGCGAAGGCTGCTGGCTACCTTGGCCGTATGTTCATGCGAGGTGAAGGCATGCCGCAGAGCTTCGAAATCGCAAAGACTTGGTTCAGGCGTGGCATAGACCTGGGCGACGCACTCTCGCAGTACTCCATGGGTATAATGTACCTCAATGGTCTTGGAGTGCCAGAGGATCCCGTCAAGGCTGCAGAGCTCTTTGCTGCAGCTGCAGATCAGGATTTGGCAGTAGCTCAGGTTAGACTCGGTGCGCTGTTCCTGGACCAGGGAGACATTGCAATCGCTATCAAGTACTTTGAGCTTGCCGCTAGGCATGGACATCTCGAGGCCTTTTACTTTTTGGCTGAGATGACGCACAATGGCCTTGGACGCGACAAGTCTTGCCCTGTGGCGGCTGCTTACTACAAGCTCGTCGCAGAAAAGGCCGAGCTTGTTTCCACATCGTTCCCAGAAGCCAACGAGGCTTACACAAATGGTGATCTCGAGACGGCACTTGTCAGCTACATGATGGCGGCTGAACAAGGTTTCGAGGTCGGACAAGCCAATGTGGCCTACCTACTTGACCAAGTCAAGCCTCGCTTTACCCTCAACTCGCTCATGCCTTTTATGAAGCAAAAGGCTTCGCTGGCTAGTGACGCTCTCTTGGCTCTTATCTACTGGACACGCTCTGCCGAACAGAAGAATGTCGACTCCATGATAAAGATGGGCGATTACTATCTCATGGGCCTTGGCACGTCTCCTGACCAAGAAAAGGCTGCTGCATGCTATCAAGCAGCAGCAGAGACTATGAGAAGCGCCCAGGCCATGTGGAATCTAGGCTGGATGCACGAAAACGGTATCGGTATCGACCAGGACTTTCATCTCGCCAAGAGACACTACGACATGGCTTTGGAAACCAATCCTCGCGAAGCCTATTTACCGGTAGTACTGGCGCTGTACAAGTTACGATTCAGAAGCTGGTGGAACACCTTTACAAACGGTAACATCAAGTCCATCCAAGAAGAGCCAGGCAAGTCCCACTCCCACTACACCATCTCCAACAAACCCCCTTAACTAACATTTCCCCGCAGTGGTCAAAGAAAAATGGACCTTCTTCGAATGGGTAAACGCCTTCCTCGAAGCAGAATTAGCCGTTTGGGACGACTACGAACCAGAGGACTACGACGACCACGGTGACTACTACGGCGACGGCTACCACGGCGATGACATCGATTCTGATATCCTAGAGTCCCTCATCATACTGGCGCTAAGCGGCGCTTTGGCCTTTTTACTTTACTACCGCACGCAGCGCCAACGACGGCAGGAGGAGGAGAGGAGACGCCAGCAGGAGCAGCAGCAGCAGCTTAATAATCAGGGTATACCGGTGCCTCAGCAACAGCAACCGCAGGTGCAACCACAGGTGCAACGGCAGCAGGATAGGGGATTGTTTCCTAACCCTGATGATCCTGAGTTTATGAATTGGGTTGCTGGTGGTGTGGGTCATTGAGTGCGTAGAGCATGGATTGGCGTTTTTCTACTTTTGGGTGTTTGGGAGGGTTAGATAGGTATTTCTGTATTGCAGGATATCAGAATGTGAGGGATGTTTGTTACGTGTATAGGGTGTGAAAGGTGTATATTCTTATACCTTTTAATTCAATGCTGATAATTGAACTCTTCCTGTTCGTCGTACATATATGTCGTATCATCCATCACCAACCTTCTCTCAAACATTTGTCACGCAGAGGACCAAGAAAATACAATTAAAGTTTTCTTTTGTTATAATTTCCAACATTTGCTTGCGGACAAGGGCGTGAGTCCATCCCGGGCGCCACTTTGCTACTTTTAGCCCTTCCACCAACAGCACTAGCCTCTACCAGGGCGTATGCGCTACCTGCTTATTAAACATTACAGCCTCGTATTATGTGTATGTATGACTCAACCATTAAACACTTATGACTTTGTAATCGTAGACCCTCCCTTTGTTTATATCTTGCCTTCTCCCCTGGGATCAGGAAAAGAAAAGATGGTATCCACAGACTGCGAGTTTCATCCTTTGTTGCTGCTGCAGACGTCATGGCCGAAAACGCAAGTACCACCACGACGACGACGGCTACGCCGCCGCCGCTGCCGCCGCGCATAGCATACATCCACACGACCTTAATGCCCGACTGGAACGAACAAGACTTGCACAAAACACTCGGAAAGTGCGTGAGGCAAGAAGACCCCTCGCTTCTACCACCGCGTCCACGCCACCACTTCCTCATCGGCGCGTGCAACGAAACCGACGAGCGCGTCCGCAATATCATCGTCAGCTACCTGCCCCCAGGTAACGAGTTCTACTTCCGCCACGTGCGGCGAACGAACCTCGAAGTACGTATCTCGCGCTCGCGGGCCGTGACACCGGATGGCAGGCGTTTCCTCCAGCGGTGCACCGACGATGGTGTTCCGACTGTTCTTCGCGGCGAGACGGACGAGGAGTGCCATGAGAGTATGCTGGCGGACAGCGACTACATCATCAATAAGGCGACGACGTATGACAAGGCCTGGTTCCTGAACAATGCGCGCGTCGGTGTACCGCAGGATAGCATGTTGACGAATGCCGAGTACGATGTCAGTAAGCACGACGCCTCCAAACACCGGTTGTGGCAGCGGTACCAAGGACGTGGGTGGAGAGCTAGCTCCGGTGCGTTCCACGGGAATTACGATTGGAAATGTCGAGGATGCGGGGGCAAATGTAAAAGAGGTCAGTGCAAAACGACATCCTACGAGCCACCGGTTTACGCAAATTATTACTTATTGCCGGAGAGGGGGGGTCGCGAGTGGGCGCGATTAACGGCCTATGAGGTCATGGATCTTTATATGCTGCAGAAGGCGCATAGTAGACATGTGGTGCAAAAGGAGTTGCGCAATAGCGTCGACACTTTCAGCGGAGATTGAAGCGTGAGTTGTCGTCGATGACTTCGCGGACGGGGCCGGGTTTCTCCGTCGACAGCATGAGCCAGTCTGAGCGTTCGGAGAAGCCGGGGACGGGCCGGCGGAAGTTGGATCCTTCTTGATCGTAGCCCGTGGCGTTTGAGATGAGGGGTGTGCTGGAGGAGCGGCGGAGGAGAGAGGCGTCTGGGACGGCGGAGCGCATGGTTAGGAGTTGCGTTACTAGCATACCGAGGACAACTGTGGATATTATTAGCACTTGAAAAAGAATGCAAATCAATGTGTGTGTACTCACCATCAGTCAGGCACATTAGCAGACAAGCATGCCCCATCTTTGCGAAATTCCAGTTCAGAAAAAGACCGTTGTTGCAGAGCGTGACAATCAACATGAATCCAGACCCAACTACATTCCTAATCAACATGACCCTGAAATCGTTCTGCGACGAGCTACGGATAAACTGATGCGTCCTCTTCATCCAAGGCTTGGATCCACGAGCGGGGAACTCGGTTCGCAGTCTAGGTGTACCAGGCGCACTCGACAACTCTGGCAGGACCGAGGCGAGCGTAGGGCGAATCTGCCATACAAAGATGCCGGTCAGACCAAAGTTAATGACGGTATCCAGGACGATGATTGCAATAGCCGCGCGGGGTTCAATGCCGATTCTGCATTGGCCGTCGTCAGGTGATATTACAGCCATCGGGTTCACAAATTGGTAGCCCATTATGCCGAGGAAACCGCCGATTGTCAGTAGTGATCCTACAACGTAGATGGGGTCGCGCTGGCGGTCGACAAAGGGAGCGCGGACAATGTGGACGCGCTCGAGGAGGAAGAGGTAGCTAATAAGAGGTTAGTATGAAAAGTGGATAGGACGGTGTAGTGACGTACAGTGGGATCTTTGCAGCAGCATACATGGCGATGCAGACACGTATCGCAGCGTAACATTGAGGCTCCGTGTGCAGTCCCAAGCCTGCAACTATCATAGCGGTGGCGAATACAAAAGCAGTACAGACGAAGCCTTGGACGAAGACGAGAACATCTGAGAATTGGGTTTTGGTAGGTGGTTTTCCGGCTATGCGACCAGCGCGATATCCTGTATCGTAGTTAGCAAGATGCAACCCAATATGTTGTGAAAAGACTCGACTTACCCTGAACCAATGCAAGTATAAAAGCATACAATATACACACTACGACGACGATAGTCCTCTGTAGCGGACGCTCAACCCTTCCCACATCGCGCTCCTGATACTGCACCGGCGACGCCTCAACGCACACCACCAGCGTCAAGCAAAGGAAAGCAGCCAAGAAAAAGAAAGAGGACATAATTATCGACTAATACAAACAACACAACACACACCCCAGAGATAAGGATAAGGTAAAAAAGAGCGTTACGGGACAACGCACATATATGGAAGGGGGCAAGTCGCACAACGTAACGTAAACGTCAACGTGCCGTAACAACCATATAGACAAGTCTCCTTTATTCTTCCTCTCCGACAACCGCAGCAGCAGCCCAGCCAAACCCTACACGACGCAGCCAAACCAACCGAACCGAACGATCAAAACGCTCGTTACGAAACCGGGCCGGGCCCGAGGGCGAACACACGTTAGTTGCGGGTTAAGCCAAGGCTAAACTCGGGCTGGAAAAGAGAGAAAGGCTGATAAGCGGATGATAGCGAGTGAGCGTAGGAGAGAGAGAGAGAGAGAAAAGAGAGAGAGACAGGCCGGAAAAGCGGCTTGTAGCAGAAAAACAGGTAGGTTGACTAGGTTTGGGTAGCGAAAGTTTGGTCGAGCGTCGTGTGTTGTGTTGCAAAACGGGGAAACGTGGGCTAGATTAACGTAACGTGTGTGAAGTGGGACGGGGTTTTGCGAATGACGGAAAACGGAGTAAAGAAGGAAGCGCGCGCACACGTGGCTTAGGTGCTGCGTGTTGGTACTTCTTGTAGTGTGGAGTGTGTCAAACCTTAGCTGGGGTCCTCTGATGTTGCGTGCACCTGGGTGTCATAAAATACTGGACATATTAGTGTAAAATGGCCACTGTAGTCGCCAGACACGTTTGTTGGGTGCTTTACCCCACTGTCCAGTATTTTATGTCACCCAGGTGCGTGGGCAGGTACGTATAACCACACCCTTACCCTACCCTCTTCGCTACCAGTTGCCCTACTTTTCATGTTCCGTACACACCGCCCTTGCCCGAAGCTTATTACCGGCTTTTTCCTTCTCCCTGCTGGCTGGTGCTAGCTGGTGCTGGGTTGACAAGAAAGAGGGATGGAATTGCCTGGGGTCCTTGCATTGTTTGCGGAGCGCGCCCGCCTCAAAGCTAGGCGCTGCTGTTGGACTGGGCTGGAGTTTGCTCCGTAGTGTGGTTCCGGGGGGAGTGAGTGATCGGCGGCGACGTGCGAGCGAGGTCGGGGCGGACCAGGGGGGGACGTTTGCGCTAGGGAGGACCGCTGGGCCGCACATCTGTGGTTGGGCGGATGCAGAGTTCTGACCGCTGCTTCAACGGCGGACAAGGTTGAGGGTGTGATTTGTGAAATGTGTATATTCAGCTGATGATGCGCTTCTGTGAAGTTATTCTTTCTTCTTTGCCTGTTCTTTCCTGGTTACTTCGTCACGAGAAACTTAAATTGCGGAGGTTACATTAGAACACGGTCTCTCTTGGTCGTGCACATTCGCTATCTGCTTCAGCGTAAGACGTCGTTGTTTCGGCGCTAGGTCTTCAGGGGTTATCCCTCTAAATCCCTATTTTCGGGCAGACAGAGGAAGGGTTTTGCCAGTGGCTGGTTAACATCGGATATGGGCTAGGCCGGGCTTCAGTCATGTTACGGCGTCTTCTTTTCCCTTACAAAACATGATTTGCCCTCTTCTGTCTCTTTTTCTGTCAGGTGGGGTTTTAGGCTTCTGCATATCTTACGAATAGTAGACTTATGCATGGCGTTTGTTAGTATCTCCGACCTGTTGAATGGTCTGGTACTGGCAGATACACGATCTTGCGTTTCTTCCTTCCATCGCCTTGCTCGGTTTGTTTGATTCCAATGCGCATAGTCCTGATAGAGCATGCATCTCGACTTCAGAGACCCTGAATATCCAGCCTCACTTCATTTCCCATGCCTTTTTCAAGCCATTGATTATACGTTGGCAGCATTCAATAGCGGCTTAGTGCTTGACCTATGGTTCGGTGGCGGGTGGCGTTCCCCACGATGCGCTCGGTCGTTGATACAGTTTGGCTGCCACTGCACAATGCTGCCTAAGGCTATAAGATGAGCTGGTTTCTGGTGCGTCTGGCCTGTGTTCCAGATCTCGACGACCTGTTTTCCGCTCGCTTCCTCCCATCGGCCGAGAGATACACGGACATGTACGTTCACGGCGGAAGTCCGTGGGTGCCAAGCAAGTGTGAGACGGTAAGGCTTCCTTCGTCGCGAGTCGCGTCGCGGAGTATCTGATCCAGAATGACGTGGGCGAGTACTGGACTATGTGCGGTACAGTGACACATGTGTTTTCTGCATAATATTATGTTGTCAGCAGTCATCTCACAAGATCAAGTTTCCGATCATCTACGATCCTATGATACAGAACCTTGTAGCAATCTAGGACGCTTTCAGTTCGTATGCGCAACTCAAATTCCATGAGTATGGAAGCCGTTAGGCATCTTTTGAATTCAACTGGCTTCTTGGCTCTACAGTAGGTAGCTACTGTATAAGTTGTGGATCGCCACCCTGAACCGGTAGTTTCCTCATTGACATTCGGATACACTTATCTCTTGCCACCACGTGTGCTCTATCCTGTGGGTCTAGAACTTAGTGTCGATGGAGAGACGGAGGAAGACGCTACAATATGGCCAGACTACCGCGTTAAACGCCTATCAAGCCTAAGTCTGACAGTAGACTACCTAACCCTAGGGGCCGTAAGTAAACAATAGATTGACTGCGGGAGGCGTTGAAGCGCGAGAGCCGGATCGCGATGGGCCAGAAGTGGATATTTTCCGGGTACTATAAGATGGCGATTAGAACCAGCGGGCGGTTTTTGCGTAGGTAGACTGCGTTCATAGCAGATAAGAGCGAAAACAAAGAGTGGACGGAAGAGAGCACCGTTTAAGAGCGAGGCAGTCAAGGCGACGGTGGATTAGTAGCAGCAGCTAAGGAAGATAGACGCGAGCGGGCAGCTAAATATGATAGGCGAGGAAGCCAAGTTCCGCGGAGTGCAGGAGGCATCAATCAAGGCCATGAGCGCAGGTGAGAATTCCGTAGTGGCAATCATGCCGACGGGAGCAGGCAAGGGTTTGTTATTCATGTTACCGGCGTGAGCAGAGCAGGAGGGCACCACCGTGGGAGTGGTAGGGAATAGCATTTGCACAGTCTGAGCTTGAAAATCTATTATTACAAAAAAAGAAATCATCGCCCCTCCTAAGGCTCTTTCCCTTTCGCATAGATTGAATACGTCCATGGAATGCGACCTTTGATGCGGTCTTCACCAAAGACGTAACTGAGAACCCTGCTTTGCTTCATCCGCGGACCGACAATATATGTTTGCACAAACCATTGGAAAACATATAAAGGCACGAGAAACCGGTATAAGAACCAGTAGATTGGATTTGCCCAGGATTGGCCACGAATAGCGACAGCTGATAGGCCCCGGTCGAATTCGAGCACTGCTTTTCGTTCGGCCTGGTACTTCTGGAAAATTTCCTGAAGAGTAGGCTCGCTAATTTCGGGGTTTTTGCTCGCTTGCACAGCATCGTGGAGCAGGTTGCAGATCAAGGCTATGTCTTGGATCCCATTTGTAAACCCGAGACCTGCGTTAGGTGTGAACTTGTGACAGGAATCACCGGCGAGCACGATCCGTCCCAGGCTCCAATGCTCGAGTATGCCCTCTTCCAAGTTCGCCATGCCTGCCGTTGAGCTGTTGTAGACATCCTTGATCTTGAATTTATCATTGACCGGCCAGTCTGCGAAGCTATCTGCGAATTCATCCATCTCGGACTGGGTATATCGCTTGGACTCCGTGGTAGGCTGTGGCAATTTCTCGTACAGGAATATCCAACCACGGTCACGGCCAGTGATCCACATAGTGCAGCGGTCTTTGCCTTGCGTATCGGTAGCCTCCCCAGCTTCGCATGGTCGAGGAAAGTTGGACCATAAGCATCGGTAGTTGGCGGAGAAGGGCGGTTCTGGATTCCGGCTCGCTGAGAATTTGCTCTCGGCTGAAAGCCTGTGCATTGCCTTTCGCGTTTGACTATGCACGCCATCGGCTCCAAGTACCATAGATCCGGAGTAAGTTTTTCCGTTGGCGCAAACAACGACTACGCCGGTGTCGCTAGTGGAGACATCCACGACTTTCTGACTGAGCAGGTATTTATCCCTTGCGCTCTGTGGCAAGGCGTCTAATAAGGCTCGTACAAGGTCGGCTCGATGGAACGCGAGAGGTTCGAGGCCAAAGCTAGAAAAGCAAGTCAGTCAACATTCAGACGACCTTGGGTCAGTTGATGGAGCAGGCAAAGAAGTCGACTTACTTTCCCCGACTTATCTGGATGGCTGTACTGTCTGTGAACTTTTTGCCTTCCTTCGTAAATGATTTATTACTTATTGCTTTCTGCCCAATCGAAAGCAATTTGTCGAGCAGGCCCAGCTGTTGCATGAAGCGCATGTCTTGAGGCCCAAGCACAAGACTAGCTCCAGCATCGACAGCAACATCATCATTTCGTTCCAGGACGAGGAAGTCGATGTTGGCCAGATGTAACGCGTGAGCAGCGGTTAGTCCGACCGGTCCACCACCAATGATGATGACCTTGAAAGAGTTGCTTGGCATTGTACTTGGATGTTTTGGAGAAATGAGATGCAGTAAAGTTTTGTTCCACCTCCGACACTGAGCTTATGGCAGAATATATACTCCTGCAATGCGGTATCACGGCTGTGAAAGTGCCGGTGAGAAAATAATCTGGCTACCCAGGTCTAGCGCTTACGTGTCGAAGCCGGAATGCATCCCACCATATGAGGATACATTCGATCCCTGCACATATAAAGGGGGCTCGACGCCGGAATGGGGTCATTACACGGCGGGGAAAGAATACGCATGAAGAAGTTGTAAAGTAGGCAAAAAGAGCTAACCTTCTCCAAAGACCACGATGGCAAAATCCTGAACATCTATCGCGAAGGCATGTTATGCTGCGAAGAATGGTGGACGCTTTCTTCTATTTTGGCGTGGCATGTCTCGATGTTGGTATTAAAGAGGTGCTGCGGGTTGTTTATGGTGAAGAGCCTTATATTCGGCATTCTATTGGTTTGAAACCAGGTCGAAGTGGGTTCTTTAACGCAACGGTATCCCGCTTTCTATAAGGGCGGACCACATATAGGTTGTAGACGAGTGCGATTAGAGACCGCAGATAGGCACATAAGATGGAACAACCTTGGAAACAATGGGTTTTACAAAGATTCTGCATAGGTACTGAACATTGTTTTCTCAAGAAGTCTTTATATGCTTGAGAAATAAGAAAGATCGTCGCTGCAATTACCTATTTAGTACGTTCCATCTTACGTGCGTACCTGCAGCAGCTCTTAAGGTTCCGGAAAGCTCATAACCGGCATCCGAGAGGCGACACACGTAGGGCTGATTGGTCTCCTATCTATGGCCAAGGCTGAGCTCTCCCGCGAACTTTCGACCCTTAAGTAACGCAGGCCGTTTTTTTCGTATTGGACTAATGCGACCGATAACACGATACCTACGTCTAGTTATGGCGCATAGGTATCATAGTAATTGACTTGTAAGAAGAGATGAAAAGTACAATAGTGAAGAAGGATAATTAAGTCAATGCGTAGGAGTGGAGTATTGGAGTCCATGACCAGAAAACAGCTCCAGCCCGAATAACCAAATATAACTACAGTAAATAGGCCACTCACCGCGAGCAACCGACGAGAAAAACCTCGTGTATATATCATGTTCATGCAGCGCATCCAATGGTGTAGAAGGCCACGAGTCCCTTTAGAGTACATTTTCGTCCGAGTAGAATGTCCGCAGAAGAGATTAGTCAGGGACATCCGGAGCTGCCGTGTACGGACGTAAGTTAATGTCATGTCATAGCAACCCAGGCATCTTGGATACATTTCGCTCAGACTGCTGCGCATACTTGTAGAGACGAATGAGACAAAGTTGGTTGTAACAACTTTGGGAGTGCGATGACGCCAGCTGACATGGCATCTAATGTCACTTTCCTGTATTATCCGAGCGTCTGGCAAGCATCCCCATACACAGTATCTTCAACGTCCCTCAGACCGGCAACGACATGGCTGTTGGGAATCTCACAAACTATAGTACAGTACAAGACTAAGGCACGATAAGGTGACGTCTCAACCAATGCTACAGCTACCGAACAAGTATAATGCATTTTCCACCTCTCTAATTAAAGAGAAGAGTGCGGCTAGATTGAATAACGTTTGTACCGTGTCTGAATTGGCTGCAGCTGGTCCAAACCTAGATGCTGCAGGCGGGACTTTTTGCTTCCCTTTGGCAATGCCGATAAACGACGTGATTACGAGAAGTTATCATCTCCGCTATCTCTTTTCCTAGTGATCCTAGTGGCGCACATAGCGTTGTTTTTGCTTTGAATAGCGTGCAGTTTTTTTTGTTATCTAGTTACTTGGACTCTCGGACTGCCTACGTAGGCAATCGCTCTTAATCTTCCAAGTCGCTCAGCGTTAATTGCTCGATTACTTTCCAACAACGCACAGGTCATTAGCGGATAACGGCAAATTTAAGAGCCAAGATTTGGTACCCTTCTGTGCCGCGCAAGGATGCCTGTGTCGTCTGCGACACCACTATGGACGCGCAGCTTAGACGCCTTGCCTTTCTACATCTGCTACGAGGCTAACGATTACACCACACCATAGGTAAAATCATTGAGGGCAATCTGCCTGTAAATACTGCAGAACATTGCAGGTAGAGTCTATTAAGCTTCTACGTGTCAGTGGTCTTTACACAATATCGATCCCGTCGGCCGCGGCCGTGGCTGCGTATGGACGCGCAAGCGTTGGGGAGGCAGCCTGTATATTGATTCTTTGCCGCCGTCGTGAACTATTACACGATATTGCAGGTACATGGCGCGCCGTTTAATTTGCCAGGTCTAAGGTGCGAGATGACCAAGACAAGCCAGAAGCCGTCCTACCTAGAAGGTTTGTCGGGCCGCTGACGTCTAAGTCATATGTCTAAGAGATGGTGTTATATCTAATACTCTGTTGGCGGACTAAAAGGCTTAGAGTTTGCTACGGCTGTATGCTGCTTGCTGCTTGTTGCTTGCTGCCCTTGCGGAGATGGACCTAGAATATGCTTGTTGTAACAGCCATGCCGTCCGCCAGCGGGCCGTAACGATTTGCAACCGGTGTACTGCAAGCCCAATCGCCAAAGCCCTTTCACTCTCAGCTTTTCTATCGGTCCTGGGCGCGTTCTTTCGAGTGACCGGTGAAGAATCTAGCGTGGCTGTTCATTGAAGCATGTGCCAAGCGCAGTTGAGGCGACAGTGGAGGATGACCTTTACGTTGAAATGACAACGAGATTACCAAATAGAACAATATTAAAGGCGATAACATTAAAGGACGCTCCTAACCAACCCCTGATAGTACCTAGGTTGACTGAATGCGCAAAGAAAGGTAGGGGTGCGTTTTTGGGGGTAGTGAAGGACCGAAATCAACAGTTATTCTGGCGAATTGCCTGAAGCGGAACATCTGAAATCGATTTCTGATAGTAGTTGAGACGACCAAAAGCTCAAAGAAAGGTAGGGTCGGGTTTTTTAGGGTGTGAAGGACAGAAACCAATGGTTATCTTGACAGATTACCCAAAGCGGACATATCAATCAGGCCATGGTGAAAGCGACAGGATTTGACGACTTGGTGTTCCACAAGGCTTCCTCTAGTAACTTTCAAGAGAAGTAAATGCGTAGGGAAAGGTAGGGGTGCGTTTTAGAGGGCAGTGAACGACCAGAATCAACGCTTTCGACGAATTGCCTAAAGCGGGTATGTCTATGAGACCATGGTGAAAGTGACAGCATTCGACGACTTGATGCTCTGTGAGGCCACCTCTAATAGTATATGAGAGAAGTAAAAGCTTAGAGAAAGGTAGAGGTGCGATTTGGAGGATAGTGAAGGACTGCAATCGACACTCCTGGACAGACTACCCAAAGGGGAATGTATTTGACGAAAGTTCAGACGACGAAAAGACTAAAGAAAGCTAGGGGTCGGTTTTCGAGCATAGTGAAGGGCCGGAATCAACGTTTCTGAAATAAACTGCCTAAAGCGGTACATATTCAATAATAGTTGAGAACAAGGGAATGCGTAGGCAAAGGTAGGGGTCGGTTTTTGGGTATAGTGAAGAACCGGAATCAACACTTTGGACCAAACTGCCTAAAGCGGCACATATTCAACGATAGTTCAGACGACGAAAAGCTTGAACAAAGGTAGGGTCAGGTCTTCAGCAGGGTGAAGGACTATTATCAACACCTCGATGCGAATTACCTAAAAAGGAGTATAGTTGTAAGAAATCAGATAGGAAAGGGGGAAGGAGTGCTCGAAGAAAGGTAGAGGTGGGTTTTGGAGCAGAGTGAACGACCAGAATCAATACTTTTCAACGATTGCCTAAAGCGGAACAGGTAAAAGATGAGATGGCAAAAGAGAAGAGAGTAGTAGAAGAAAGGTAGGGGTAGATTTTCGAGCATAGTGAAGGACCGGAATCGACACTTTCAGGCGATTACCTAAAGCGGGCCATACCTAGTAAAGGAAAGGGTAAAGAAGGAAGAGTGCTAGAGGAAAGGTAGGGGTTCATTATCGAGTATAGTAAAGGACTAGGAACGACACTTCTGGACGATTGCCTAAAGCGGAACGTGTTAGTAAAGGGTAAGATAGTAGGGAGAGTATAGAAGCGGTAAATAAAGGTAGTAGATCCCGATATAGACTACATTATAGTAACACCAGAATTGACACCTCGAGACAAGTTACCTAAAACGGAGCATGTGTAAAGAATAAGGTAGTGAAGGAGAGAAGCTAGTGCTCAAAAAGGTAAGGGGTCGCGTTGTGGAACATCGTGAAGTAACTCTAGGATCAACACTTCGGCAAATTACCTAAAGCGCAATGTTTTTATCGGAGATAAGGTGGCGAGAAGGGGTAGGAGCGTATGGTGGACCCTGAAGGGAAAGAGTGAATGTGAGAACCACGCTACCTACATCCGCAACACAACACAATACAACACAACCTCGTGCTTTCTCCAACCCTCCTGTCGCAGTTATAGCAATAAGCGAGCTCCCTCGGTGTACCAAGCCATGTGTCGGTCAGAAGCAAAGTCAACCGTTGATACAGTCATCATGGGCTGACCAGTGCGCGAGCGTGGCACCTCCCGAAGATCATGCACATCGCGACGTCTCCTCCGCCAACCATCGCATGATGCCTACCTGTTATCTCGAGAGTAGAAGCCACGTACCACACAAAGAACGCAGTCGCTATTTCATCAGCCATCTATCGTAGCCTACCTCGCGACCACAACAAAAGACTCTACGCATCACCTGCAAGTCACGTATACGCAGCTCAATAGACAGCGTGCGCTTGGCCCTGTTACTCCCATGTCACGGATACCATCATGATTCTGTGATATATTAGGCAGTCACCTCGATGCTTGCATGTACAAGTAACACGGTGGTAGCGAGGCAACTCTGGACCTAGACGAAGCTCATCTCGTGGCTGACTGATAAAGCAGATGAATCCAGTCATACGAATCCAACCCTATATCCGTCGACGACGTGAAATACGCATAGATCTACGTCTTCTATTCCGTGGTATCCAAACCGTAGATGAACGCACTACCCACCAGACCTGCGCGACATGACGAAATCATGATGCTTTCCTATGTGGACATGGCCTGTGGATTCATTCGCAGAATCATGATGGGGTGAAGTTATGGCGTTTTGGGAATCGGATAAATGTCAGAACTGTTACTTGACAGAGAAAAAGTGGTACTCAAAAATTGGTATACGTCCTGGAAAATCGGTGTAAGCTTTACAGAATCGGTAGACATAAGAGGTCAAAAACCGGTATGTATTACAGAATCGGCGTAGATCCACTCGAAAATCGATGCAACTAATGAAAATCGGTAGGCCTAAAATCGTTATAGATCGAAAAGTCGGTGTAGACACACTCAAATCGGTAGCCCCAAAACCGGTGTACACCTTAAGACCGGCGTAGATCTACCCAAAAATCGATGCAAGTTATCAAAACCGGTTATGTCTAAAATCGGTGTACACTGTAAGATCGGTGCAGATCTGCTCAAAAATCCGTGTAAGTCCTAGAAAATCGGCAGACATAAAACCGGCATAGACCACATAATCGACGTACATCAACTCACAGAAAAATCGGTGCAAGTCCTATAAGCTGGTGGTTCTCCTCGATCGCAAATTTGCTGTATCGATGTAATCATTTGCAGACTTTTGGATGCGGTAGTTTTAGAGGTGCCTCGGGTTGACTGTACCATGATACCTGCAAAATTGGTAGAAGTCCCGGAAGATTGGTAGATGTTATAGAAAACCGGCAGAGGTTACATAATCGGGGTAGATCTACTCAAAAATCGGCAACTACAGGTCTCGGGGAATCGGCATAGTTACGTTGTAGAAAACCAAATGTCCAAAAACCGGTGTAGCTACATAATCGGCGTAGATCTACTCGTAGAAAATTGGTACAAGTCCCACAAAATTGGTAAAAGTCTCGGGAAATCGATGTACATCCTAGAATATTAAGACAGGTTCGGCAAATCCGGTACAGGTCCTAGAGAATTGGTACAAGTCCTGCAAAATCGATATAGGTCTTGCAAAATCGGCAGACATTACAGAAAATCGGTAGGCCTAAAACCGGCATAGACTACATAATCGGCGTGGATCAAATCAAAAGCACCGAGTATTCACTACCGTAAAGGAGCATGAGCGAGGCATAGGATAGGGATCGAGAATGGTTACTTGGGTACTATCAATTCTTCTAAAGTCCTCAGAAAACGCCGTATCTCTAGATGCTCAAGTCACCCAGCAGATATACCACCACAGTCATCATCATCGTCATCGTCGTCTCGTTCATATACATTCATCAACCAACCACCTAATCCAAACTCTGAATCTGCACCTTGATGCACCCGGTCTTTGGGTCTGCCGCCGTCTTAAACGCCTCAACCGCATCCTCCAACTTGAACCTATGGGTAACCAACTTCTTCAAGTCAATAACGCCACTCTTGTATAACCGAATTGCCTTGGGCCAGGTATTGCAGTAGCGGTACTGGAACTGGAGATCAACCTCACGAGTGCTCAATCGCATGAATGGAATCTTCATCTCGTTCTTTCCCACACCAATGACAAAGACCTTTCCGCCAAACTTGACAGTCTGGATGCACGCGTTGATGGAGCTCTCGACACCGGTGCACTCCATTGCAATTGCGGGCTCGATGCCCTCGGTTAGCTTGAGTACTGCTGACTGAAAGTCGGTGGGCGAGTGGCTGAATTCCACCTTGTGCGTGAGCACGTTGGGAACGAGTTCCTTTGCAAATTTCAGGCGGCCCTCGTCAATGTCGGTGATGACGAGGGGTGTGGCGCCCGCGGCTTGACAGCAAAGCAGCGTGACAAGGCCGATGGGACCAGCGCCACATACAATGACTGGGTCTCCGAGGCGGACGTTTGCGCGATCCATTCCTGCTAGTGCGACGGAGAGGGGTTCCAGCATGGCACCGTCTTCGAAGGTCATGCTATCGGGAAGCTTGTGGCACCACATGGCTGGGTGCTTGAGGTAGCGGCGCAACAGGCCTGTGACGGGGGGTGTGGAGAGGAAGAGGACGCGCTCACAGCCGTTGTAGCGACCAGTGAGGCAGGGTTCGCATTCGCCGCAGATGATGTTCGGTTCGATGGCTACGCGGTCGCCAGGCTTGAGGTTGGTAACTGAGGGGTGAACGGCCATTACTGTGCCGGCGGATTCGTGACCTAGGACATGTGTGTCTTCTACAATCATAGGTCCTATGCAGCCCTATCATTCGAATTAGGATACATTTCCCATGCGCTCTCCAAATTCCACCAATACGTACCGCATGCCAGAAGTGAATGTCACTGCCGCAAATTCCTGTGCTCTTGACATTGAGCAAGACTTCACCAGGCTTCAAATCTCCTCCTCTCTGAACCTCTTCCAGACTGGGCTCCGCCTCCGCGACCCAAAGATCGTGCGCGGGGTTCGTGTAAACACCGATGTTCGCCTTGCTAGCCTTGACCTCGGTAGTAGTAGCCATTTTCGCAAAGATAAGTACCAGTGATGTTTATTCCTCGTGTATATTTCAAACTACAAATACCCAGCTAGGATGTAGGTACAGTATAGAAGAGGAAGAGGAAAGAGAAAGAGAGAAGAAACAAGACACGGTCCTAAGAAGAAGATAACAACAGCTCACAATCACCCGGGCAGCGGCCGCCAAAGAAAACCCACACAACAACCTAGCCCGTAGATCAAACAGGAAACGTAACCAAAAAGGGCATGCCAACAGATCAGCTGCCCGCAATTGTGTTTACCCCATTCCGTCTGCCTCCAACATACGAGAGGGCAGCGCGCGCGGTCCCAGACTTTACCCTCGGTGCGGGGCATGACATTTCTGTGATTAATCCCCTTTTAACACAGCTCCCCCGTCCGTCGTCCCAGACCCCACAACCAACCGCAGGCCATACTTTCCACGAATGGGAGCGCATGCAAGTCCGCAATTCTACCTGTCGCGCTGCAGAGTCTAGAAGTCGGGGGGGTCTGGAGCTGGTGCCCGGAGCTATGGAGAAGGAGCTAGTCTGCTTCTGGTAGTGTATCCTGTTGCTGATGTCTCCGAAAGATCACGGGGAAAAAGCTTTTCACGATGTTTCCGGGTTGGTGTTGAGTGGGGTGGCTGCTGGATGATGTGTTGTTTGTCGGAGCGGAGCCGCGGTTATTTAGTCTTGGTGCTGTGCGTTGTGGTCGGCGAGAGCGCCGAGATGGGTCTTACACGCGTTTTTTGTGATAAGAGGGGAAGGAAGTCTCCGTATTCCTGTTGAAGAGACGTAATCTAGAGCACTGCTCATCGACTTAGCTTTACCTAGATACGACAAAGACAAAGTACAACACAGTGGTGTTATGTCTGCCACACTCCTCCGAAGCGCAACGCGATACCCAAATCCGGAAACTCCGATCTACTCCGGCCAAACCCCATCATACATCCACCAACTCAACCATACGCAACACCAAAGAACCCTATACCCACTCCCAACTACCAAATCCTCCGTCCTCATCACCATCCCCAGTGAGCGGCAAAAAACCTTCTAGAATCCCAACCCCCCGTCAGCCTACCAAACCGCCCGCGCCGCATGTCCATCATACCCACCCAGCGCTACCAAACCGTGCCGCAAATCTATATCCTGCACGACAACCACTCGATGCACGATATCTAAATTTGCATGGCTGAAATGCTTTATTGCTATGTCACTTTACTGTGTTTGTTTG